CCCCCCCCTTTACTCTCTCACAACGGATCAAGCTATGTGAAGTGCAAAAGGACGTATTCTTGTTACTTCTCTGGTTGTCTGACTCCAAGGCTGATATGGACTTGTTGCTGTACCTGTGTTCATCATCAAAGCGTTAGCGTATCAAGACATTCCTCTTGAAGACATAATTCATTCAACCTCTAACTACTCAAAAGACACGTACTCAACTGCTCCAATTACTATACAGGCCAGTAGAATCCCATTTGTTTGATGTAATTGAAGCCCGGCGTCGTCACCAAAAAGGCGCATATGGCTCGACCATGTCAGAAGCCACCACAAGATCGGCCACGTCAGCACACGACGCCCATAGGAAGCATGGAAGGAGGTGAAAAAAAGAGAGACTTGGCTGTGGGTGGAATCGAACCACCGACCTCCCGGGGGGAGAAGATAGGCCATATACGGTTCTAGGTCTGCGGGAGCGGAAAGGGTTTTAGGAGGAAGAAACTCCGGGCGCTCTACCACTGAGCTACACAGCCTTGTTGGGGAAGCTGGGGATGTAGTTTTCTTATCAAGCATACGGGCAGTCCAGGTATACAGACGGGTTGGCGCAAGTGGCGCCCATTGTAGATGGTGCTGAGGTTTGTCGGGGCTGAAGTAAGCGGCACCGTGAGGGCATCGGCCGAGCGTCGTCCAGGGGGTGTGGACCTGATTGAAGTTGCTGCCTTGACTGGAGACTGATTTGGGAAGGAGCGCTTGTACTACTATGCCTGGGAAGGAGGTGATAGGAAAATGTGCTCTTCTTCTCTTCGTCCTTCACCCTTCGGTTACCCATCTATACTACAACCTCCCTGCATAAGTTATCCACCCTTCCCATGATGTATTCTCAATCTCTGATTTTCATGTCCTTAGGAGCTCTATTTATAGTAGAAAAGTATCATACGATATCTAATATGTTTATAATGTTAGCTCAATCTACCTATCTTCGATACTTGGGATCTAAGGTAAGAATAGGAGACCGAGAGACACCATCGTGGAACTAGCGCTGGTAGTAGACTCTCAATATCATATTCCTGAAGTATACCACTTCCTACAATGAAAGTAGCCCTGAGTACCCTAGTAAGAGGATGTACATTATAAGCTCTCCTAATACTCGATTACCCCGGCGGGCTAAGGAGCAGGATGGCTGCAGCCTGTATCGAGCCTCGTAGTACAGAGCATGGCCGATCACCCTGACGTCCCCGTTAGTGATCTGGGTTTAGATGAGGACTATCGGAGCTACTTAGACGGCACCCTGGATGAGCATTCGCTAGTGGGCGATGATAATCCTAAGTCCGTAGACATCGACCCCGACGAGGAAGATGACCGTCGTGATCTAGAAGCCTAGGGTGCATCTCCAACCCCAGTCTCCCACAGGAAACACAGCTCTGGTGCAAAAAGTGTGAATGATTTAATGATTGTAGCAGCCCAGGCCACCAGCAATGACCATCCCATACCTAGCTATTCTTAAACGTAGCTTATAGATGCTGTCCTGAGCCCGTGTCCGAACCGCCTACGCCAGTACTTCAAACGCTCAATTATGTAAACCGTGCCTCGCGGGGCATGCCAATCAGTCGTCGTCAGTCATCTCCATCATGCTTTCGCCCTTTTCATCCTCGTCCATGAGAGGGCCCCTCGACCGGCCCGCCGCTTTCCCTTTGCCCTTGGCATCACCCTTCCTACGGGGTCGCGCCAGTTTCTCCTTGGCATGCGCCTTGCCCATGTCGAGGTCATTTTCAAACGCATCGAGCTCATCATTATCCGCAACGTCGATATACATGGACTCTTGAAGAGCCTTGTTGAGCAACTCTGTTGCGATGCCGTCTTGAGGGTGGATCGCCAACGCCTCGTGGAGCGGGATGATGGCCCGCTCGGGCTGACCGTTCTCCAGGTAGATCAGTCCCTTGGCGCTCAGTATCGCCGAGTCTTTACCGCCGAGACGCAGGACCTCGTTGAACTCCTGGAGCGCATCATTCCACCTCCGGAGACGACGGTAGGCATGGGCCAGATTCGTGCGAGCAGAAAGCCAAGCGCTGGGGTCGGCATCAATCTCGCCGGCGATCTGTATCGCGCGAAGGAAGAAGCGAACGGCCTCCTCTGGCTTGTCTTGGTGGTACTTGACAACGCCCATCTCATTCAGAAGGAGGGGATCTGTCTTGCAGAGCCCGTATGCAGTCTTGAGGAACTCCTCTGCCGGCGTCATGTTGTTGAGCGCATGGTGTTGCATTCCGAGGAACACTTGCGGAAGATGTGTACCCATGAACAACCTGGCGGCTGTCGAGTAGGCCGATATGGCTTGGTCGTGCTCGCCCTCAGCCGCAAAAGTGTGCGCGAAGCCAATCCAGGCTGGACCAAAGTGCGCATCCATCATGCTCGCCTTGCTGAAGTATCTGCGAGCCTCGGCAATCTTGTCAATAGCAAAATAATACGTGCCCACAGCCAGCCAAGAGCATGGCTCCTCGGGATGGTGGTCGGCCAGGTCATGCGCCACTAAGAAAAGAGCGTTCTTCATCTTTAGCTCGAACAAGCACGCAAGGTGCAGGGGATACAGGCTAAAGTTGTACTTGTCGTCTTGCAGCACAGAATCAGTGATACCGAGAGCCTCCCTGTACCGACATTGCGTGTAAAGAAGATCTGCCTTGGCCAGCAAAAGATCCGGGTTGTCGGCGAGGCGGTAGTGTGTCGATAATGAATCGTAGGCTGTCGTAAAATTGGAGGGGTCGCGGTACTTCGAGAGCCTTGTTGTGTACAGCATCTTCGTAAAGTCGGCAGCCTCCTGCGAGGCAGAGACGTCCCCTGGCACACTGACGGCGTCAAAATCGAGAGTCTCCAGAAACTGCCACTCCTCGTCGGGCGACAGCAAAGAATTGCTCATGAGTTGCTGAAAAGCTTCGTAGCACTGCACGTCGATCTTGACGGCATCCTTGTAGCACTCTTTGGCGCGGTCGAAAGCATTCTGCTTGGCATAACAGATGCCTCGCAGGTAGCACATGGCCGCCTCATATTTCCGATTCGCCGACTCCTCTTCGGCCGCCTCGTCGCGAGCCATACGGCCGCCTTTAGCGAGAGCCGCATGCCTGCTCTGGAGGCCCGTGTGCTGCACCTTCCGCTTGTTGCTCGCATTCGCAATGAGATGCACGGGGTTTCGATCACCGAGAAGACCAAGCGCTTCGTCGTATCGGGACTGCTTGATAAGACAGTGCGCAGCGAGGTAGCGACAGGAGGTGTTCCGGGTGACGAGGTCTTGTTTCGAGAGGAACGTTTGGGCACGTGTGTAATTGCCAGTCGCAAAATGAACCTGTGCCAACCAGAATGCGTCTTTATCGTCATCTTGTGGCGCCCGTGTTAGCTTCGTCTCTGGGACCAGTGTGCAATCGTATGCGCTGACTGACTGGTCAGGGCAAGCAGCTTGTCGCCCACGAAGATGGCGGAATCATACTGTGCCTTATTGAGGGCATCCTGGCGCCATTCCCGCAGGAATTTCTCCATGCTCGAAGGGTCAATGGGCGAAACGGTTGCTCAGCGCATCAGGTTCGCTCCGATTGCATCGCAAAGGGGGGGGGGGGAGCACGAGAGGCGCAGCAGGTGTTTGAATTGAGTTGGTGATTTGGGAGGCTGTTTACCGCCTTCAATGTCTGGTGGAGTCGCGACTGGGGCGCGTCGCCAGAGTGGGATGAGGTCAGAAAGACTGAAGCAAGCAGCCAGGAGCCAGGGTGAAATGCCAGCCGTAGGCGGGGTTCAGTGAGTGAGGTCATTTCATTGGACGAACTCCAAAATGGGAAGGACGGGCAAGCAGGAAGACTGCGAGCAGCCAGAGTGGGCTGGCACAGATGGTCGCGGTTTCCAAACCACGTGGGTCCAAAACCTCGCCAGTATCGGGGCTTCGTATGTAAAGGGGCATGAAGGGGGTTTAGCGGGGGTGAGGGCGAGGGTCGCACGATCAGGTCCCTCATTCTCATTAGTGTTCAAGGCCAGTCGGATGACAATAGGTTTCTCGCCTCGAGGATGAACCCACCACCTACCTACCTACACACATTTTAGTGTCCTGCATATCATCAAGTCGTAGTGTTGGTGTCGAGCAAGGCAGCAGTACCATCTGCTCACTGATATTGCAGTCAATGAGATGACATGAAGCCTTTTATTATAACAAGAAAAGGTCACAAGGCAAGGAACCAGAAGGGTAGAGAAAACGATTGTGAAGTCATCGTCAGACTGTAGCGGTTGCCATTCTTTGCTCAGCTGCCTACCTACCTGATAGCCATGCCATGTCCCCCCCGTCCCCCTCCCCTTCTGGGCGGACTCCAAACGCCCTATAATGATGCCCCGTAGCTCGGGTGGAAACCTGCCCAAGCTAGTGACCAAAGGGATCATTCTTCGCGCTGTACTATGACTTTATCCGAGCACCCCCGGTGCTCGTGCGTTTTTCGTCAAGCACTGGAGGAAGTTTCTTTGCTTTGACAACTGGAAGTGAACCCGAACCTCGAAGCAACTCGCTCGTACCTGCCTCTGTCCGACCTTACACCTTTGTGCATACTCTCCTCTAACCAAAGAAATCCTCGCCATACCTAATCCCAAATCCAACCGCAACCCGCTATCACCCAGTCGCCCACCTCACCCTCACCTCGCCAAACCAGACAACGTCGCCGCCTGCGCTCAGCGATCCAGATCCATCTTGTCCGATCCCACCCACACCGTGCAGCCCATTCGACCCAACTCCAGGCCTGCCACCACCACCACCACCACCATCCTCAGAAACCCGATCAACACACCTTGAATCGTCATCTCGCCTCCCCGACCTCCACGCGCACGCCTCCCCCCTCTCTTCCAACCAGCCACTTTGAACATTGCCGATCGCGTCCGTCACGCAAAAGGAGCCGTCCTTCACAATCGAGAAGGAGCCGTCGTCGCAGCCAGGGAATTTTCTAACAAGAGAGAAAGTGCAAGACAGTCCTCATGGATAACAACCTATGGACTCGCCGCACTAAGTAAGTCACGTTGCTTCTTCCTCACCACCAACTTGCCGCGACCCATTTGCGTCGCTCTCCGTTCTCCCAAGACCCATGCCTAACCACATGCCACAGCTCAGGCAAGCTTTCCCTCTCGACCCCCAGCCATGGCAATTCGACGTCAACGGGCGGCGATTCCGCCCGCAATGGCTCCGGCTCCTTCTCCAAGAGATTCGGCGGCGCCACCTCCTCCCAAGGCAAAAATGACCCCTTCAGTGCGACGGCCGCTACGACGCCCGGCGGCGGCTCCTCTTTAGCTTCCCCCACCACGGGAGCTTCCAATGCCTTCGGTCTAGGCTCCGGAGCTTTTGCGTCCTTCGGTTCTGCGAAAACCCCCAAGACCCCTGGCAACCCTTTCGAGCTTGCCATGGGCAAGGCACCTGCGTCCAAGACCCCCGGTGCCGACGGCAAGGCCCCCTCAATGGCCTCTATCGCCGAGACCGGGTCGTCCGCCAACTTCCGGACCGGCCAGGGCTCTCAGACCAGCTCCGCCCGTGGGTCGTCTGAGGTCGCCCGCCCACAGGCCGGCCTCAAGGTGCACCCTCTGAAATATGAGTGGGTTACCTGGTGCCGGCCGTGTCAGCCCAAGGGTCAGCCGTACGAGGAGTACGCCAAGTCCCTGACTGCCATGGTGCACTGCAAGTCCATCGAGGAGTTTGTCGTCGGCTTCCGCCACCTCAAGCACCCCTCGGAGTTGCCTGTGGGATGGGAGTACCACTTCTTCAAGAGAGGCATCAGGCCCATCTGGGAGGACGAGATCAACCGCAGCGGCGGTAAATGGGTCCTGCGTCTGAAGAAGGGCATTGCCGACCGATACTGGGAGGACACGCGCTTTGCGCTCCTGGGCGAGGCCTTCCAGGACGTCGGCGAGGAGATCTGTGGTGGCGTTGTCAGCATCCGCAACGGTGAGGATGTTATCAGCATTTGGACTCGTTCGACTGGCGGCCGCGTGCTGAAGATTCGGTATGTTCATATGTTGCTCGTGCCCGCTCCACATCCCATGACGCTAACGCTTCCGGTCACAGTGAAACCTGGAAGAACTACCTCCAGTGCCCGCCCAACACAATCTTCGAGTTCAAGTCTCACGACGAGAGCATCCAGCACCGAGCCGCGATCGAGGAGTCCCGCCGCGAGAAGCACCAGGACAAGCGCAAGCAGGCCCCCGGCGATGAGCAGAAGCAATCTAGTTAGGCACTTCCGGAGCGCGCTCACCTCGCCAACAAGGCCGCTCTCTCCCACAACGCTTTCGAGTCGTTGTTCGACGGCGAATACCATGAATTTCTCGCATGCGACCACACCATTTCCGAATCTCTCACCACCCCTGTACAACACCTTTACCATTAGCTTTCGTCGACCGGGCTGCAGCTTTTACCACTAGGGACTTCTTATGGGCTTATGAATGAGGCGGAAGGGAGGGCCTAGCGACGACGGAGGATTGACTTGACGTATCGTGTCTCGGGCATATTTAGGGGGGTTAGCTTTGGTTGATTTGTTGAGACTCGGTGTACCATACCTATGAGGATGCCCAGCCGACTCGAGCGCGAGGGGCGATGCCTTGTAAGCCCTTGAGGCTGAGGTTTGAAGCTTGAGAAGGAACGACGTGCATTGATGTACCCATGAATTCAACTGTTTCCGCCGGACATTGTTTGCGCGGCAATCGAGTAAATTGGTCCTTCACACATTTTCGACAACGTCCAGCCCCCGTGAATATGACATGGCAGACGCTCACGACACTCTCGGGTGATGCCTATTTACCGGACTTGGCATTTCGTCCGATGGCCGTATGAAGCTCGTTGCCTAAATATTGACGATTGAGGGCCAATTGCCTACTGCGGAGCCATATTTTACATCGCCCACATGTTGGAGGACAACACGCCATATTCCGGTCTCCTCAGTCACGCAACGAAACACCGCTGGTTGTCAGTTCTCCGATTTTACATCCACCTAATTAACATGGTATCAAGTCGCCCGTGCGTCAACCATCTCATAAGACCACTGTAATGGCATGCGACCTTCTAGTACATACGCCTCCGGGCTTAGGCCCTGCCCTTGCCCTTTGGCGTCCTCCTCCGCTCCCAAACCTGGAGGTACGTCTCGCCAAGGTAGAGCAGCTCGCTCTGCACCTTGTCGACAAACAGGTCCTGGCACACGACCCACTCGTCGCGGCCCTTGTCCTTGAGCTGGACCTTCCACGTCTTGCGCTCCTCGCCGACGGCGTCGGCGACGTCCTCCCGCCGCGCGCGCACGGCCTCGTGGACGACGTTGGCGACGAGGTCGTACCAAATGGGCTCGCCGGGCGGGTGCTCGGCCGGGTTGGGCTCGACGTACGGCGCCATGTCGAGGTTGCGCGCGTCAAAGGTGACAATGGTGGGGTTGCGCTCCGAGACAAACTTGTTCTGGCTGAAGCGCTTGACGTGCATGACGAGATAGGGGGGCAGCGGGTGGAGGAGGCGGTAGCGCTTGCGCTGGGCGAGGTGCTCCTGGGCGTGGCGGCCGTCGTACTTGGCGAGGATCGTCGTCAGGGGCACCTGCGGGATGATGTTGCGGTTGTTCTCGTCCTGGAAGAGCGGCGCCGCGGGGAGGTCGAGGGTGAGGAGGAGGAAGCGGGAGACGGCAACGTGAACGTCGGCGGCGTCTTCGAAGCGGAGCCGGTCGCCGGCGTCGGCGCGCGCCGTGATGGCTTGTGACTCGACCTTGAGCTTGCCCTGGAAGATGCGGTGGATCATGGACGAGCCGGGCTTCGTCTTGGAGCCACCGAGGCCGAGGTGAAGGTTGTTGAGGAACCACGAGAGGAACTCGATGGGGTCGGACTGGTTGGTCAGCGTGAAGCGTTTGTTGGAGTCGAGGGCGATCTGTTGAAGGAGCTCGTGCGGGGATACGTGCGCTTTGAAGGCGCGCGGGTTCCAGATCTTGCGCACGAGAATACTCGTACGCTTGGCGAGCTCAGAGCGCGAGCTGAAGTCCTCGAGCAGAAAGTAGTTGCGTAATGGTACGACGTGCGACAGCGCCTGCAGGATGACGTTGAGGTAGTCGTTTTCCTTGAGGTTGTTCATACCCACAAAGCCCGGGGCGTACTCCTTGCCCGCCAGCGTCCACGCCGGCTGGGCTCTACGATCGAGTTCCATGACCTCCTGCTTCGTATATCGCGGATCCGAGACATACTTGATGTCGTCGAGAGACTTGCTCTTGACTTCGTAGCCCTCAGGCAGGACGTAGACATTTTGCGTCTGCATGTTGATGTAGACGTGGTGATCTTCGTCTAGGGCGTGGAAGTAGGCGTGGGATTTGGGACCCCGACCCTGGAAATATCGACCACACACAAGACAGGCGTAGACGTTGATGTTGGATAAGCTGATTGAGCATAACTTTTCAAAGTCAAAGTCCAGCACGTTGCGATCTATTGTGTCGAGGTAGAGGTCATCGTAGCCGCTCGTCGGCGCGGATTGTCGGATCGGGGCCGCAGGTGTCTGATTTTCAAAGTCGTCGTCCTCGTCCTCTTCTTCTACGCTTTCCCCGCCGTTTGCCTCAGCCTTGTCGGTTGCATCGCCGTTCAATCCGTGTGGTGGTGGTGACCCCTCCGACATTGTCGCGTCGCCCGTCCTCGACCTCTTCGACCTTGGCGAGTCGACTCCTGCAACCTCATCGAGGGCATCGAGCGCCTGTCGCTTGCGGCGAGCTTGGTCCATACTGCGCGGTGATCTCGTCGTTCCTGTGGAGAGGCAGGAGGGTATGCGCTGTGCTGTTTGCTGAAGTTGTTGTGGCAGACGTCGCACGGTCGCAAGGCTCAACTGGTGAGTGGTGACAGAAACTTTGGGGGTTGATTACACTACGGAGACCCCACTTCTCCTTGTCAACACGCCCGTAGCTCGACGAAGACGAATGCGCTCTCGCTTCTTGCCGGCCGGCCGTCACAGCATGCCAAAGATTGCATTAGACAGTCTGAGACCGGACACAAAAAAATCACTGGACACACACATTGGCCATGTCACACACAGGATCAAATCCCAAGAGCCTCCTTGTGAGAGGCGCGTTCTATTCATCTACTTGTACACCACTACGCCATGACGACATCCTTCTCGTCACCCGCCTCGCGCAAAACCAGATCATCCAGAGCAGGGGCTAGGTTGTCCATCTCCTGCAGGGTATATTCCACCAAATAACTCTCGTCCACGAGCTCATCCATCCTCTTGTAATGCCTCTCAGTGTATACCTTGAGCGCATTCAGGACCTCCTTTAGACTCCTCTGGCCGCGCGCACCCTTGACGGACAGGTTCGAGAGCTTCAATGCCGGGTAGCTCTTCACCAGCGTCGACAAGATCCTTTGCGCGACGGGTGCCGTCCTGGCGTTGGTATTCCAGTCGCGCAGCCTCAACAGGAGCAGGAAGATCTGTTCGTCGGAAAGCGTCGCCAGCACCTGGTCTACAGCCTTGGAGCCGCACAGGCTGTCCGCGTCCGGCTTGTTTGATGTTACGACAGATGTGAACAGGCTGAGCAGTCGGCCGGGATGGTTGAGCTGAAGCGCCAGGATGATGGCCTCTCGGTAGGAGCCGGCATGGATGTGGTTCTCAAGCTCCTGCTCCTGCTCAATGAGTTGCAGTGCGGCCTTGGTGGCCTCCTCCTGCGTCTCAGAGCTCGTGTCTTTCCAGAAACAGACTGTAGAGTCACCGCTGCCAGAGACGATGGCGTTGGTCTCCGGGTGTACCGCCAGAGCCCATACCCTGTCGATGTGATTGTCCAGCGTACACTCCGTCTCTCCCGACTGAGCATCCCACACCTTGACAAGGCCATCACCGGCTGCAGTCGCGAAGAGTATCTGCTTGCGCTTCTTCTCCTCAGGCTTGGGCACGTTGAGCCACGCCACCTTCAGGATACTGTTGGAGTGGCCTTCAAACGTCCTGACGCAGGTGTAGCTCGACAGACTCCACAGCTTGGCCGTCTTGTCACCGCTGCCTGTGAGAATGACACCCTTGCCGGCTACCGGGCCCTCGTCACCTTGAATGGTGGGCGTGTGTTCGGGCGCAAATTTGACAGACCAGACACCTCGGCGATGGCCCTTGAGAATGCCTTGGACTTCGCCCTCCTTCACCGACCAAATCTTGACCGTCTTGTCTTGTGATGCTGTGGCGAACAAGTGACCATTGGGGTGCACATCAATGGCGTTGATGTCCTTCTCGTGCGCTTTCCTCGTGAACAAGGCCCGCGATCCACCCTTCTTGGTCTGAGGCTGACGAGGGATCTCCCACTTTTTGATCGTCATATCCTGGGAGCCGGTCAGGAGGAAAGGTGGCGGGTGGCTGAGCGGATCCTTGAACTGCGCAGATGACTCGGCGGGGACGGTCTTCGGCAGACCGACAGCACCAACGGACTGGGCGTGGCCAGTGAAGGTGGCGTAGCATGTAAAGGAATTGTTGGCTGGGTCAACACGCCAGAGCCGAGCAGAATTGTCCTTTGCACCAGTCGCGATCCAGTGGCCAGACCAGTCGACATCCATTGTCAGGACAATATCGTCGTGACCCTTCAGCAGACCAACATCTTGTCCGAAGTATCGCGATCCCTGTGCTGTCCAGTCATGCGCGCCTGTGCTCGACTCCGACCCAGCAACTGATACTAGGCGAACCTCCTCGGCGTTGGTGCCAAGTGCCATGATAGAATGATCTGGCAACAGGTAGGTGAGGTCAATGATCTCATCGTGCGTTCCTGAGATGCGTCTGAAAGGTTCCGGCGCAGCATCCGTTGTCGAAGCCTTGGTAGGCGTTTGGTAAAGTGCCAAGGTGTGATCAACTTGCACGCAGAGAATGAATGGCAGCTCTGGTCGGTAGATTGCAGCAGTGATGCCCTCCGTCTCGGCCTTAGCAGGCTGGTCCTTGGTCACTTCGCGGCCTGTGTCGGTGTCCCAAATCCTCAAGCAGCCATTGGAGCCGGCCGAGTATGTGAGGTTGCCCTCATCAACGAAACCAACTGCTTCGATGAGCTCCAGACAAGGAACGACCTTTCTAATCTTCCAGGATCTCGCATCCCACCAGATGATGGTCTTGTCCCTGGATCCTGTAACGATGGCATCCTGTTCTGGCGAATAATCGAGACCCTGCACATCCGAGACATGGGAGTCTAGGCTTGCGATCGTCTTACGCTTGTGAAGGTCCCAGACCCGGACTTTCCCGTCTTGGCTACCCGAGATCAGGCGGAATTGCGTTGTGCCAACTTTCACTTCCTCCTCCTCTTCCTCATCGCCCTGGCGGGCCTTCTTGCTCTTCTTCCCGGTGTCGGTCTCTTTGGCCCGTGCCGCTACTTCGAAGAACTTCAGAGCAGAGACGAGGACACTTGGCCCACGGAATGTGTGAGTGACATATCCTCCAGCAATGTCCCAGACCTTAATGGCACCGTCAGTGCCACCAGTCGCAAGAAGGGTGCTTGTTCGGTCGACAGCCAGCACAACGACGGGGGTGCCATGAGGCTTCAGAGATCGGACGAGAGTCGGTGTGATGGAGTCATCTTCGGCGGACTTCAGGGCGTAAATCTTCATGGAGAGCGATCGAGAGCAGATGATGAGGTGCGACGCATTCGGGGTCACTGTTATTTCAATTAGCGGGCGTCAACCGCACCAGAAGGCAAGTGACGTACAGCTCAATGTCGATATTTGCTCGCCATCCTATTACAGATCGTTAGAAAAGAGTTGCAACAGCTGGCAGGGCGACGACATACTCCTTCAATCTGCGCAAGATGCCTGCCGTTGGAGGGGTCAGTTAGGACCGCATCCTCGCCCAGAGCTGTGGCCAGCACTCGGGCGCCATTGTCCAATGCAACTGAGCCGCCAGTGAAAATAGGCCGTATGACCTTGTCGGCATTAAATGTCGTCTTGTAAGGCTGTCGGTTTGCCATTGCGCCGGTATGCAAGATGTCGCGAAACTATACAGACCAACGCTTTCTCGGCCTGTAGCGGGAGTGCTTTACCTGGAAATTTTTCTCAGGCGGGCTGCAAGTTGCTTATCGATAACTCTTCTTATCTTATCTGCGCGACCCAAGATCCGCATCAGGACGTCACAGAGGACTTGCTTGTGATCACAGTCGTTTGCGTTTACAACACTAACCCATCGCCAATCAATTGTCCCTTCAACAGGAGTGGCACCTGAGCTTGCGATCGCGTCTCTGCCACTGCAGTATTGACTGCGCTGTCAGGATGACACGGCTAGGACCTTTGACAGCGCAAGCTTTGGTCAGCGCCCCCCCCCCCCCCCCCCCCTTCCAATACCCGTCTTCAACTCTAATGCAGACTAGGGCCGATCGCCGTTCGATGACCTTGTCGAGGGCGAGGTAGACGCTGAAGATGAATCCGGCGAACCTACTCAGCAATATGACAACCGCGGACGCCCACACAACAGCAGCACAAAGCGAATGAATCGCGACATGATCAGAGCTCACAATGAGGTCATGCAGGTCATTGGGGTGGCCGAGCCAGACAACGTCCCCACTGAGGCGGACCTCGAATCCGTCCGTCGATATGTTGATTACGAAGAAACCATGGGTCATCGCCTTCTTAGGATCGGTCGGACTCTGGAGGTAGGCGGTGTTTGGGGTGTCAACGGCCTTCGCGCGAGGATTTTGCTCTACAAGCGTTACGCCGACATATCTTTCTTTGACCTCTTCCGTTATGAGAGAAGCCAACGTTCCATGTCAAACCTCTTCCTCGCCGGCCTACCTACATTCCTCGCTGGTCACGCCCTTAAGCTTGGGAGCCATCAATGGGCTCCAGCACGAACTCGAAAACGCTGGCTCAACCCTATATTGTCCTACATCCGAGTGCACTTGCAGCTCTATGTATTCATGCAACGAGCAGACATCATTCCAGCTAGCAAGTGGTTCCCATCATGGACCTACTTTATTCCCGGGTTCCCTTCTTCACCTATCCCTGCTCCAGAGCCTCCGAAGGACCTCACGGCCGCGTCGCTAGTGCAGTATCTTGGAGCCTGGTGTATCAACGCCCTACCATTCGCATCGTTCGTTCTCTGGGGTCGTCTTTGGACAAGAGTGACAACATACATGTGGCAGGAATTTTACGCTCGACTGCCCAACACTGTACATCACAGACGACACCTACCGCCTCCTCCACCACCGCAGGCCGCTCCGCCATCGCCCCCTGTAGTTGACGCACAGCCGCCTCCGCCCCGGCAACCGGTTGACCTTCCGCCGCAGAATCGAGCCGAGCTCCTACGCGATATTGACGCACAAGTGGCGAGCGAGAGCACCACACCTCCTGATCCTCCTCCATCCCAGCCTTTGCGGAGACCAAGTGCGTTCTCTACCCGCGGAGACGATTTTGGGAGCGACGATGAGGAAGAAGGCGGCATCAGTGCCACGCTGATCAGTTTCGACGTTGAGGCAACAGACTCGACGGACGCACCACCTGGTCTCTGGTCTGCCGAACTTCGCCCTAGCGCTGGGCCTGAGGGCTCACCTTATGGTTTAGCCGCGTTGCATCCGACGTACGTGGACACCATGCTCACCCGGTTGCCGGCCTGTCTGGCTTCAGATATTTTCACCGTGATCTCCGCATACGTCATAGTCGCGCCTTATGAAGCCATGGCATTGCGTCTCGTCGCTCGGGCTTATCGTGAACGGATGGGGCTGCCGGTTTTCGACATACACGAGTGGAACATCTTTAGTGGATTGACATGGCGGAGTGTGACCAACTTCGTTGGCCTTGAGTTTGTGCACCTGATCATTGCCGGTGAGTTATGGGCAATGATCTCCAGTCTCTCTCAACTCTTCCACATGACGGAGGAAGAGTGGAAGGAACTCGAGGAAATGCGCAGAGCCGAGGTGCAGAGGGAACGGGAGGCCGTAGAGAGCACAGAGCCTTGATTGCCAAGCTCGAGAAGTACTATTCATTCAGCATAGGCATGGCGTTATGGGCTTGCAGGCGGTGGCCTCAATTTTCAAGAGGGCCAGGCCGACAATTGGCTTGTTTAGATCATGGATACCCAACAAAATGAAACTTGAATTCGACATGACGTGACGCTTGTGCCTCAACAAAGAAATACATCAGATTACCAAGCAGGTCTACTGCCTGCCCTTGCCCTTGCCTTTGCTGGCCTTCTTCGCCTTCAACTCGTCGACATAGTCCCGAATAAGTTCGTGCAAATCGGGGTTCTTGCGCGCAAGCAGCACGACGTCGTCTGCGGTGACGGTAGTCCGGCCGGCGTGCCTGCTGAAACCCTCAAGATCAGTGGCCGTGGCCTCTGCACAACAGCGTCAGCAGGGTATCCCAGGCATCGTACCTAGCGGCAAGGAACTTGCCTATTTGTTCCCAGACCATTTCTGTGAGTGCGCCGATGAACTGTGGTGTGGCGTTGCGGTTCTTCTTCATGGATTCTTCGTCGACCATTTGGCCAACAGCGAACCAAAGGGCAGCCTTGAGGCGCTGAAGAGTGTTACTTTCGGGAATCACAAAATCCACTCTAACAGCACTTACCTCGCGAGTATCATCCTGGGCTGGGTCGTCCATGGTGGCTGCGAATGCTGGGAGGACCGTCAGGAGTCTTGTGGTCACAGACGGCAAGGTGGGGGGAATGTCGCAAGGGGTACTTTACGCGTTCTGAGCAAGCGCGTCGCGGGGTTTCAATGGGGTCATCCAAGGTTGCGAGTACCTGAGCGAGCCACCACGACAGCTTCTACTGGCTTGACGACAAAACCCGTATGCACTCAATGCACCATTCTTACTCAGGCATCAAAGATTGAGACAAGATAATGATGACCTTGTGAATTGTGTAGGTGTAGAAGTAGATCGCGTAAGGAGATGTTGAGGACGGGGCTGCATTACGCTCAGCTGGTTCTCAAAGATAGTCAAGCGATTTTGGTTGTAAGACTGAATGGCAAGTGCCCGAACACCATTATGAACTTCCCTTCTACTATTGCTACGGGGAATGTGAAGGGCGCTGTTTGCATATTGGATCATAGGTCGTCTCCTCCGTTGTCATGTCTCTGGTTTATGGACACCAGAGCCAACAGCATGACTTGAAGTGAAAAAAACAGCTTGAAACCTAGGATCTGACCCAAAAACTGAGCAATAGTAAAACACAGGCTTTATGGAGATTTCCTTACTTTACTGCTCAGCTTGAAGATTGCCGATGGAATCTTCTCACTGTGCAGCCTCTTTGACTGTCAAGTATGTATGTGCCTTCAACTGGCACACGGCAGTGTCCCAGGCCAATGGCAGCACCCAGTTCGAGCCGCCGGGGCACTTTCTCTTATACCTACAGGGCCAATTTACGTCACATCCACCCACTAACCCTTGCCAAGCCTAGCGCATCGAGGTGCTGGACACAGCGCCCCGCGTGGTGCCGCAACTCCAACGCTCGGTGCAGCCGAATGCAAATCCCAATGCCGACGGATCCAGACCAGAGACCTCCATCACGACTTTTTTTTTTCTTCCCCATCAACAGCATCAAATCCCGCAACTCATCCGACGCTGCCGTGTTCGAACAAACAATCCTCCCCGTCAGGACAAACGGAGTGGCAGTCGCACCCACAAACTCGAGTCTCTTGCGCAACGAGCCTCCTTACAATCCACTCCATCACCAATCCTCGCGCCCACGCGCCCTACTACCTTGTGAAAAATGGATATCCTCAACCGCTCGGCCGCCAACCTGCGCTCAACCTTCACGGAGCTCACGTACGAAAAGTTTATCCGCATCGTTATCGTCGTCGGCGCGTACGCCCTCCTTCGCCCCTACCTTCTCAAGATCACGGGCCGCTCGCAAATGGCCCAGCACACCGAAGCCAACGAAGAGGCTGCCAAGGCTGAGATATCGCCCAACTCCCTGCGTGGGCAGGTCGACATACCCGAAGACTCGGACGACGAGGGCGTCGAGGGCGTCGAGAGTGCCGCGACGGGCGCAGACTGGGGCAAGAAGGCGAGGAGGAGACAGCGCGAAGTCCTGAAGATGATGATGGACGCCGAGGAGGAGCGGTTGGCGCAGGAACAGGAGGACGAGGAGGACAAGGATATCGAAGAGTTCTTGATCAAGGAGTAGAACAGCAAGGCTTTTGTGCTTTTTACAGGGCGTTAGGCGGCATATTACGATCAGGACAAACCTCATTGCTGTGTTTCTTGATGTCAAAGTGGACATGCGGAAGTGTGCAGTGTTAGACTCGGAGAGCAATCGTCAGCTACGCAAAAGAACATCAGATGACATGGGCTTTCGTGCACGAGAGATACTTCGTCCATCTTCACAGCCTGGATTTGGAGAGATACCGCCGTTAGAAGGGACAATTGGCGTGGCAAAACAACTATCCGGTAGCATGAAGCCTCGCGGATGGGCGTGCACTGCCTGCCTTAGACTATTTCCGCTTGGGAAACAAAAGGGGGCTTGGATTACTTGGCTATCGCTCAAGCTAAGCAATAACTATGTCCGTACTAAAACTGTTAAGCCGTATTCTCAGGCTGCTCTCGAATACAACCCCAGCTCTTCAGCCCTTGAGGGCTCCGTCTCGGTCAGAGCCTTACCCGAAGTTTGCAATAACTTTACGGAACATGTCATTCTTGCCTGAAGGTTCATCAGATGGGCATATGGTGCAGAGCAGCGGTGTCCGAAGGTGATATGGCTCACTGGAAACTCGAGGCTGTAGTCGGGCGACTATGTGTTTGCTCCGATGCATTGGTCAGACGTACCACTCAACGCCGGCGTATGTCATTGGGCTTTGCATCATGTGCGGCCGTCTCATGGCATGCGGATTAGGCAGCATCCGGCTGGTTGCGCCGTATGATGTTGGTCACGGCTGGTTTTCTCCAGGTGTATGGACATTGACCAACCTTTATGCAATCCTCTATATTGGGCTACGTTGGTACCGATGATGGAAAATGCATGACTACAACACCTTTGGGTTAGATCAAACCATGATGGTCAACATTGAATATCTGGCGACTATGAAGCCCCTTCCTGCAACTGGACTGCATATACTAATACTTAAGAACAAATGTAGATCCAGTTCCGTTTGAAGCTTGATATCGTCATGTGGACGGCGGCTATGATAAGGCTGTCAAGCTTCACATGATTCTTGCATGCGACCCGCGCCGCTCTGACGACGATCGATAGTATTTCTAGGGCGTATCAAAGTCTCGATCGCGTCATCAAAGGCACCTCATGGAGCAAGTTAAAACGAAAAGGTAGAAAAATTGTATATTCAGTTCCGAGCATTGGGCCCGGATGTATATATGCCCAAAGGCTGTGGCCCCATCGGGGAACACTCATTTAGAAGCTGGTTAGTGCAGTCAAATGTGCAAGTTTGTCGACCGGGGATCGTGGCCATCAGGATGACTGAATATGCCTTCGACCTCGAGGCAGCGCACATTATACAAAATGAAGAGATTCATAACGCATAACCGGTTTGCAGTTTCCAGAAGTGAACCCCAGAAACGAAACCACGTCAAACTGCAAGGCGTTAGGCAAATGCATGCAGGAAACGCAAGGAGCAAGTAGTCGGCAGTTAGAGCAAGCCGACACGAGGCTAAAGTTAACATAACAAAATGGGTAGAGTCACCAGGAGGAAGAAGAGCATCTTCGTGCGGTAGAGATGTCATTGAATGTCGTGGGCGTAAGTGTCGACTACGCCGAAGACTGCACTGAGACTTGAGTCGGCTCTGACTGACATATCAGATTCGTCCACTTGGCATTCAAGTGCAACGCATAAATGGCAAACTATGCCGATCTCGCACGGCAAGTATTTGAAGAATCTCCTGATGAACCCACATGGTTTGGTCGTGCGACTTTGGGTAGCGATGCCTCACTCGATCGGCCAAAGCTACGCATGCTGCAATGTGTCACAGCGTGACACCCACAAACATGATCTATACGTCTTGTGCAACTGCCAAGCTCTGAATGGTTCTTTCCTCCCCCCCCCCCAGTCATCGAGTGCAGTAACTAATGCAAAGCATCTGCGGGAATCAGGGAAAGATGGGTTCATGGGAAGGGCCTAGAAGCCAGTGTGGAGAGGGAGTGAGGAGACTTGAGGGCGGGCCGGCTTGCGTGGCCCCGCGTCGAACGAAACGGTCCGCTCCTTGGATTTATGGGTCTAGGATGCCCCGATGGTGAGTGCGGCGGTTCCGAGTACGCGGCCCGGCGCCCACCGATCGGAAGGGGGAAACGTGTTCGGATGATAGTCTGAGTGCAGAGGTATCGTAGGATGGATGACAGATGATGGAACGCTGCAGGTTGCCGTTGAACAGGCCCCATCTGAACTGCTGTCGCGATGGCAGACGACGCCCGAAAATGCTGGAGGAGCGAAAATCGGCAGTTTACCACCTCCCTGAACTTTCGTCACACGAGGTATCGAAGGGCAATGTGCCGCACGTCGCCCAGCCAAGCAGCATTTGACGAAGTTTGCGTGTGGTGCGTCTTGGCAAGTGACCACGAGGACATGGAAAAGACGGGGAAAGCGATACACGAACTCGACACAACGCATTTGGGAATGTATGGGGAAATGGACCTTCTCAGCCTCACAAGGCGAAGGATAGAGGCAAGCCGAGGAGGCCAAGCGGCTCCGCCTCAGACGACACGCATTTCTGTGCCGGGAGGCCTAGCCCCCAGGAGACGAGAGTGCATCTAACCAATGGGTAGGCAGATGTTGATGGAGTGATCGGGCCTCAGCCGACATGCCGCTTTTGCGAGCCGCTAGGCTTGGTGGCATTGAGGTAACAAACTGGCGCCAGCATCCATGAAACGATGTATGTCAAAGATGCCTGACCTGGAGTCAATGTGTAGAGAGGTGAAATGGGCGGCCATCGAGCCCAGGGTCATTGGACGTTGGTTTGAAGACAGGCCAGACCGCTACTCAGTCTTATCATATGAGCAGATCATATGCAGGTTGACAAAAAAATCGTGCCGTTGGACGATCGTGTTTATGGAGGTATTGGCGGTGGTGATGCGGACAGGTGGGTGTGTGGCGGGCTTAGAAGTTGGAGGGGTAGGCAAGGTACCTACCACTGAAGGCAAGTCGCTGTGGCGCCTAGAGCGCCCTGTACCAAGGTACCTACATACCCAGGTAGGTACCTACCACCTACCTAGGTACCTATGCAGGCACCTACGCAGTGATGAAGGAGGCACTTGGGTGCTCTGAAGTGGTTGCTGGAACCAAGCAGGCGAGGTGCGACGTGCTGGACACGCATTGCAGCACAGCACCCATGGAACCATGCGGCGGGGCTCGTCGACCTTGGGGAGGGGCGTTGGCTCTTTGCCGTCCCTGGACCCCACCTCTGTATGTCATTCCCTATAACAGGGGGCTGCGCCTCACCGTCAGCAACTTGGGCAGCCCGGACCATCTGACGACAGAGAGTCGGTCACCCTGGCCGCTTTGTTTTGGCCTGCTTCCACGCCGTGTTCTTCCCCTCACTACCTAGGTGGAAAGGTTCCTCAGCAACAACAGTGAATGCTTCACAACACCCTTTGGTGCCCCCTTCTCTCAACTCAGCGCTGCCAATTACAACAACCCTGTTTTGGTATTACGGCCTCGAACAAAGCATCGGTCACGTCATACTCGGCCACCGGCCATTCTACCAGCCCCGCCTGTCTCTGTTGCCGCCTGTGTGACTCGGATCAACCCTCCCTCAGCAGATCGGACCAGCCTGTGGAGTGCAGATCAGCGACTCGAATATTGATTGTCTATCCCTTGGGACCGATTGGGAGGATGCAAAGCACGACCTGAGATCAACTGGTTTGCTTTGTTCTTGTCCATCTCTTGACCATAGCCCAACATGGTCGACATGAACCACCGAAACGACATTGAGAGCCTACTCCAAACGGGCTATTTTACGACTTCCCGGTCGAAAACACCCGAACCGTACGAGCCTCGGGAAAACACAGCAAGAATCGAACGACCTGTGCCGCAGCAGCGTAGGCCGAGCCCTCCACCACATGCGACCGTCATATTGCGCGAACCGCCAAGAAACATTGAACCCTCCGTACCCCGATACGTTCCGCGCCCACCAGCCCCGACCGTCGAAGACGAAGCCGAAGCCCTGTCCAAGGAGCACGGATCCCTTGACTCGGCTTCCGTCGATGTGCCGCCCTCGCGAGGAGATATCGACCAGCAGGTCCTGCTAGAGGAGGTTCACGAGCACAACCCTGAGCGACGCTTCGTCATCATCCCCAACTCGTCCGACAGCAGCACCAGTGCCCCTCCTGCACCTTCAAAGAAAGGTTCGGCGGATAAGGAGGCCCCGGTTGAACCAAAGGCAAGCACAGCCGGGGACTACGAGGCCAATACCGCTCGGAAATACGGCCCTTCCTCTGGAGATGAGAAGCTCGCAGAACCACGAGTGCCGCTGGAGAGGCGCAAGAGCAGACAGGATCTGCCTCGCATCGAAACAGAACTTGAAATGAAGGAGCTCCAGGCAAAGAACCACCACCGCAGCAAATCAACAAACCACGCCATTGACCCTCCTGAATACTTTACGCCTCAGACCAGGAAGCGCGTCTCGGCGACAAAAGAGGAGCTTCTCTCGCCGCAGGTTATAAAACACTCAACTGGCGGACGCGATAAGGTCTACTATGACTATTCAAAGAGTCAGAGCAGGCCGCTGGCACCGCAGCGAAGCCGGTCCAACCTGGTGGAGAGGAGATCAGAAGAGACGTCCGGCCGCCCAACTCAATCGATGAGCCCAGGAGCAACCAGACGTTCGACCATGAACGCCGATGCTCCTAGGCCTGTTATGAAGGAGCCAGATGACCGGCTCAGCGAGTCGTCTCGCCGCCGAGATGAATACAGAGAAGACAGCTCTTCCCGATACGAACGAAGGCGCGAGCAGCGTAATTCGACGTATCGGCGAGATTCGCCACTACGAAAACAACGCGACGGTAGTTCATCCAGCAGTGACTACGCAGCCAAGGCCCCATCTTCAAACACCCGACGAAGACGATCGACAGTGATTCACGATGACCGGCCGTACTTGTCGACTCCCACCCAGGAACGTACGAAGCCCCTGAGCGGCCGATCGAGGTCACGAGCTCCCACTTCGCCAATCCCATCTCCGCAGATTTCCGGCAAGTCCTTTGAAGAAAGTTTACAGCCGCAAGGCCCTCGCAGTTCCGCCACCTTTCCCACGCCTCGGAGTAGCCGCGAGTCCACCTTGCCGTATCCTGAGGACGACATCCTGCCGCGGAAAGATATCATGGGACCTCGTGAAGAGGAGCGTCGAGTACCACGTTCTCGCTCCCGAGTGCCGCCGACTTTGGCACCATCTGCATCGGTGCCGGCTGTGATGCCTTTCATGCCACCCGAACCATTCCATTCGGTTGACCTTACACGACCCCCAAGGCCAGTGACACCGGAAGCTCGAGCGTCGACATTACAGTTCGATCTGCGTCAGGATCAAGCATGGCCGCCCGCTCCTTTCGACCCCTCCAAGAACAGCCTGACCGTCGACCGGCCGGTGGGTGCCTACCGTCGCTATTCAGAAGATGCAGGGCGAGATGGCCCTGTTCAAATTCCGGACTGCCCCAGGACCAAAGGCGTGGCTGGCAAAATAGATTGGCTCTGCTTACCTCACTGCGACAACTTCAACATCTGCCCTGATTGTTGCTCGGGCGTCTTCGGAAAGTCGTCATTTCGCAGCGAATTCAAGGCCAACCTGTTCAGGTCTATCGACAAGCCCATCAGTTGTGACTTTGGGACGTCGCCGTGGTATCGCATCGCCTGGTTATTAACGCTCAAATACAACCAGCCCGATTTGCGACTTTTCCACCAGATTGCGAAGATTGCGAAGAACCAGCCGTGTCCAGGGGACCGCGTTGTGCTGCGGTCTTGGTACTCCATCCAGAACCCAAACCGCGATGGCACTTTGCCCGATTTCAACGTCTGTTATGAATGCGCCAAAACAATCGAAGTCCTCCTGCCCAGTCTTACAGGGTGTTTCATACAAACTCAGGCAATGGCGTTGCCTTCGAATAATATTTGTGCCATGCGTTACCATCCCGATCGCAAGCGATTCGTGCTTTATTTCGACGCCATGGAAACAACGTGCGACCAGGCTATCGCGGCGACCTCGGCACCGAATATTCCAAGCCTTGCCAAGACGATTGATCGCATCTCCATGTTCACGGAGTGTCGCGAGGATCGCCCTGTGGCGGGGGAAAATTGGTATGTCATGCAGCACTTACCAGAACTGACGGTCTGCGGCGACTGCTACGATGACGTTGTGAAACCCCGGATTCTCCAAGACGGTCAGGTTGCCCGAAACTTTTCCATGCGGCCGAAGCAACTGAGCATCGCGACTTGCCAACTCTATTCTGAGCGCATGCGTGAGGTGTTTAGAAAAGCATGTCGGCGCAACGACGTCAAGTACCTGGAGGATAAGGTGTTGGAGAGACAGAAAATTGAGGCGAGCATTCACGCCGAGCTGGCCCGGCTGGACAAGCGTCGGGGACAGGATGAGTGGACGGAGAAGGAGATGGAAAAGCTCATCAGCACGTGGAAGAAGTGGGAATGATCATGGCCATGCAAGATTCGACGATGCAATCATATGAATAATGAAATCAGAAAGAATACCAGATAGATATGATAGGATGAGAAACATTGATGATTGTTGGCGTGTCTGTTTTCCTACGTTGGAGTAATATTCACATTGTCAAGACACAGTCGAGACACAGTTCGCTCCAGCATTGTGTGCTGCAGATTCATGGACAGTACTGGGAAACTGGGTGGTGAATAGCGCTGAAACAGCAATGTGCAAGTATCGGAAACCATTGGGCAGATGGTGACAGCGGTGATGTGGATTCCATCGCACAGTGCACAATTGAGGTAGTTGGAAGCGGGCGCACGGCGATTTTCGAGGCAGCTCACGTGACTGTGCACCCCACCACTCGCCAAATGTGGGTACGTACCGCTTAGGGTCTGCCCACCAAACTGGGCACCGCAACTGTGAGAAAATAATCTGGTGAATTTCTCTCGTGAGCCCTCCGAGTCGCAACCTTCACTCCCGTCACTAACCAACAGCACGAAGTCCACCCAGACCCAGGTACGAAATTTTGCAGCCTCAATTTTTCCTCTCGCAGCTGAACCTCAGCTCGACTGTCAACCAGACAACTAATTTGACATTTTCCTCTGCAGGGTCGATCACCAATTCACAATGGCTTCGCGACCTACTGTCACCATCATCGGCGGCGATGGCAAGGCCACCGGCAACACCCACACCTGGCCCGTCGTCTTCTCCAGCCCGATCCGTACCGATATCGTCCAGGATGTGCACAAGGGTCTGGCCAAGAACAAGCGCCAGCCTTACGCCGTGAGCGAGAAGGCCGGTGAACAGACTTCCGCCGAGTCTTGGGGAACTGGTTAGTCGTCACCTGGAGATCCCATGAGAAGGATGAAGGAAGGAAGCCGAACTGCTCGACGGTACTGCGCACGGCAAGAGTGGGAACTGCCGCGGGAAGAGAAATTTCGGGCGTGCGCAGGCTCGACGTCGGCTGCCTCTTGCGTACCGTTGGAAGTTTTGTACTGACAAAAACACCACAGGTCGTGCCGTCGCCCGTATTCCCCGTGTCTCTGGTGGTGGTACCCACCGTGCCGGTCAGGCTGCCTTCGGTAACATGTGCCGTTCCGGTCGCATGTTCGCCCCTACCAAGGTCTGGCGCAAGTGGCACGTCAAGGTCAACCTGGGCCAGAAGTATGTTTTTTTCCCGCTCACCTGCACCAGAACTCGAAGAGGAAGAAAAATACTGACCAAACCTCAGGCGCTACGCTGTTGCCTCTGCCCTGGCTGCCTCTGCCGTCGCTCCCCTCCTGCTCGCCCGTGGCCACCGTATCTCCAACGTCGTCGAGGTTCCCCTCGTCATCGACTCTGATGCCTTCAAGAGCGCCGCTTTCGCCAAGACCTCTGCCGCCGCCGGTCTCCTGAAGTCCGTCGGTGCCGGCCCTGACCTTGACAAGGTCAAGAAGTCCAAGAAGCTCCGCGCCGGTAAGGGTAAGATGCGTGGTCGTCGTTTCCGCCAGCGCCGCGGCCCCCTGGTCGTCTACGACCCCGAGGTTGACGGCAAGGAGCTCATCTCCGGCTTCCGCAACATTGCCGGTGTCGAGACCTCCGCCGTCACCGACCTCAACCTCCTCCAGCTCGCCCCCGGTGGTCACCTCGGCCGCTTCATCGTCTGGACCTCGGCCGCCTTCAAGGCCCTCGACACCATCTACGGCACCACCACCACCCCCTCCGAGCTCAAGAAGGACTTCCTCCTGCCCTCCAACATCATCTCCCAGTCTGACCTCAGCCGTCTCATCAACTCCCAGGAGACCCAGTCGGCCATCCGCGAGGCCAAGGGTGGCCCCACCACCCGCCGCTCCGCCGTGCAGAAGAAGAACCCTCTGCGCAACAAGCAGGTCATGCTCCGCCTCAACCCCTACGCCGCAGTGTTCGCCAAGGAGGCTGCCCAGAAGAAGAACTAAGACCGCCCTCGCAAAGAGGAGTGGTTTCGGTTTCGGTATCTGCGTACGACGTCGGGAAAAGGGACGAGAGTTTGGCTCTGGCATGCATGGTTTCTACTCGGGGCGTAATGGCAACTAGGAATGTTGACCTCTTCATCAATGAAAGAAGATTCCCATTATGACTCTACACCCACGTCTTCCGCTACCCCCTGTGATGTACATGTGCATTTTGCTGACAGGAAAAAAAACGTGGTTTCGCACGTCTCACGTCAACTGGTCGCGGCATGTTTGTAGTCTGTCATGATTGTCGTGTCTCGTAGACTAGGTATGATTCTACCACCGTGAAGGCTCCATCGTGAGCCGCACTCAGCATCCCATGCCCATGCCCATCAAATTGCCCATGCCCTCGTCCCCAAGCGCCTCGGCGCCATTGAACTCATCCAGGAGCTCCTCAATCTCGCGCACGCTCTTGATCCGCCAGAACTTGTGCACAGTGCCAACGAAGCGCTCCGAGCAGGGCTCAATCTCCTCCTCCGCCACAGCCGCAAAGCAGAGCCTGAAGTACGCCCACGCGCTCTCGGACCTGATCCTCTCGTCGGCAGCAAACATGAGGCCCGGCGCCGGGATGACGAGGTGCGGCCGCCGCGTGCCGAGCGCCAGGAGAGCATGGCTCAGCACGGCGCCGTCGACGACGTCGAGGCCGCCGTCGGCGGTGCCGCGGCCCCGGGCCTGCCACAGCGGGTGCGTCTCGAACCGCAGCCGCAGCCAGAGGAACATGCCGCCGCGGGCCCAGTCAAAGTCGTAGAGGCGGGTCTTGGTGACGACGCCCCAGTCGGCGAGGTCGTCGCGCGTCGGCGTCGACTGCTTGAGCTGGTGGGCGCCCGCGTCGAGGATGCGCGCCATGCGGCACATGCGCCGCTCGTACTGGCCCCGGAGGCCGGCGAGCCAGCGCACCCAGCCCGACGTGTCCCAGCCGGCAAAGGCGGGGCGCTGGGCCGCCGGCAGGGCGGCGTACGCGGCTTGCGCGTCGGGCTGGGAGCCGATGATGAGCTCCGAGACCAGGCCTTGCACGAAGCCCGAGGGCTGCTGGGTGGTCGTTTCGGTGATTCTGCGTCGTTGATGTCAGGTTGGTGCTCTATGGGGGGGAAACAATGGGTGGTAGACTGGGCTTACCTTGTGAAGCGCTCGATGAACTCAGGTTGTGCGGTTATCCAGCCGAGGCGGCAGCCGGGGGCGATCGTCTTGGAAAAGGTGTCGAGTCGAATGACTCTGCCGTCGACATCAATGCTGAGGTAAGACGGCACCAGGGAATCGAGAAACTCGTAGCCAGACGAATTGACCGGCTTCGGTGTCGGCTTGGGCGGCGGCACAGGCTTGCCTCGCGAGGCGGCCTCCTCGGCCGCAGCGGACGGGTACTGAAGATACCAGTACGGGTCGTCCTCGACGATGATGACATCGTACTTCTGGCACAGCGCATAGATGGCCTTGCGCCTCTCGACAGACAGGACGCCGCTCGTAGGGTTGTGGCCCATGGTGACGGTGTACATGATACGAGGCCTCTTGCCGTCCAGATCGTTCCACCCACTGAGGACTTCCTCAAGCCCGCCAGGTCCGTCGGCACGCATGCCCTCGGCGTCGATCTCGACGGGCACAGGCCGCACGCCACGGGGCATGCTCTGTGCAAGGACGTTGGAGTAGAGGAACTTCTCAACAAGGAGGTGGGGGCGGTCGCGTGGGGAATCATGACGGGCATCCCACGGGGTCACGAGGAGCTCGAGCGACTTGGCCATGCCGTCTGTCGAACCGCAGGTGAGGATGACCTCGGGGCCCTTTGCATAGGGGATATTGGGGTGAAGGTTTGTGCGGGCAAAGTGGCGTATGTAGGCCAGGAGTGGTGCGTAGCCTTCTGCGGTTCCGTACTGGAGAGCCGTGGTGACGTCAATCTTCCTGAAGGGATCTGTTTGAGGATCGCTCATGGGCACAGTAAGATGCTGTGCGTTTTGAGGCCCATCGTCTTTGTGCTTGGTCGCCTTCGTCTTGTACGTGTCGGCATGCTTGCTCTTAGCCACACCATTCGGAGCCGACGACAGGCCAGACACAGCCAGCCGGTCGGCGAGGGCCTCAGGGCTTGGGGGCTCGTTGGGCGAGGGTGTCCATCGTTCAGGCTTGGCGGCTTGCGCTTCGAGTGTGTCGAAGGGGAAGAATTGGGCGTTCGGGAGACCTGGAAGACTGAATCAGCAATTGGCACCCTTTATGCCGCTGGATTGTGGAGGCGAGGGAATGGAGACAGCCTTTGCGATCGAATCATGGATGGGCTGGAGATGGGGTATGCAGTGTGACAGTATAGTTGTTGCTCGGGTAGGACGATTGGGGATGCATCAACGTCGAGCTTTATCAGACTCACCTCCCGCTAGGTTGCCCAATCCTGGAATCTGAAAGTACTTGTAGTACTTCTTAATGGCGCTGGGCTCCCGCAGATTGGTGATGGTCGAGTAGTGGTGGCTCAAGTCCAGAGGCGGCGGCTTCGGCCGAGTGGTCAACGGGGTCTCCATGTCGGGTCCGTGCAAGTCTCACTCGGGGCTGAGACAGACTGCTTTTAGTGATCGGTGTGGAAGGCAGAACGGTCGGACGGCGAATTCCCACGTGGCCACTCTTGGACAGGTCGTCGGATAATAGTCGACAAGATGAGAAAGTACAGGATAGATCTGGGGAGATGGACTTGACCTCAGCAGCCCGTCAGGACAGCTGGGAAGGATGCCTGCAACGACATCGGATTACAAATCGCCGAATTCAACGCCACTATCGGCCATCGATGGAGCGTGGAGCGGCCATGGCGACATTCCCGTTTGGAAATTCGTCAGAACCTCCACTCTTCACGACATGTACGACGCTACCAGCAACTGACTCCGGTGCTTTGTGGCTTGGACCCTTTCGCTTCCCCGTGCTCAGCGCTTGTCATCACTTGGTATACCTGAATGATGGCCACCCAAGCAACAGCAGCCTCAATGGACGAATTCTGGACACGGTCTGCACAGCATACCTCTCTCTACGTAGGTAGGTAGATAGCGAGCATCTGCTCTCCGATAAGGTTAAGTGTAAGTGGGTCGGCGACCGATCACTGGTCATCTCTCGATGCAACCATGTGGAAGTCATGCGACCAATACACTGCACATCTGGAAGGTCGGAACTTGGGGCCTCGTCACCAACGGGACTGAGCGTGTTGGCCCGACCTTTCGCCAGCAGACGTACTGATGCACTGACTCGGGTTCCTCGGCGTCCAACACTGTAGGACGTACTGGATCACGCCCCCAAGATCAGCGTGTGCAGCGACCGAATGCAGCAATTCCGGGTCGCCTTTGGAGACGGACATAGTTGAAGCAGCCATCGGAGGCGGCTTGGCCATATCCGAAGCTTTTCAAATGTTGCATCTGATGCACTATCGTGAAATGGAATTCGACTGAGAGCAATCGTGCCTATCCGCAGGTTGTCATGCAATAGCACCTTCACCACTCTCAGCAGTACCCGCGGATGATCAATGAGAGGAGGTCCAATACGTTGTCGTCGCAGGCTGCGTTGCTGAGCTAAGAAGTCCAACGCCACAAAGTGCACCAGCCAAGCCTCATCCCCCTTCAGCATTCCTCTCTCCCTGTGCCGGCACCCAAGTACGCCAATATACTCAATTGCCGGGATATCGTGCAGAAACCAACATCCGTTATGCGGTTATCATAATCGACCCTACTATGCCATTGACGAGCGAGACCTCTTCGCGCTTGTGTGGGGGGCCCCCGCCTATCCGCCCCCAGGCTCCCGACTGTCGGCGCTTAATAGCACGCTCCCATTCATCACAGCCCATCGCGATGACCATCCAAGCGACCTCATCCAGCTTCCGCGCGTTTCAGTCCCCGCTTCGACAGGCACAGCTGCTGTGCCTTGCATAACCTCGTACCAACCGCAGCTTGTCACCGGCGAATCACAGGCCGGCGACATGGAGGCACACTACGAGTTCATCTTGGTCGACCGTTCCACCGGGACCGCCCCCTCTCCATGGGCGGCTCTCTTAGTACCATAAGACGCGGCAGCGTTCCCGCGTGGGACGGGCCGCTCGTCTCTGGGCTTCTGTCCTCTTTCTTTCTCCTCGTCTCGCCCCAGGGCCGTTTTCCCTTTTCTTTGTAGCTGCCAGAGGTTACTCTTCTGGTGGTCATTTTGTTGCACCTCGCCATGTTCTGGACGAGCAAGAGGCCTGTGGTCGCGCTGACAGAGGTCTCTTCGTATGATAATGGCTCACGGAATACCTCCCCGGTGGAGAAGACGACATATTCTCAAGATCCAAGGTCTCGAAAGTCGAGTTTCCCGTGGACACTGAAAAAGACGGACAGCGAGTGCAGCCTTGAGGGTGGTATGGGAATCCATTTCGCGTCCATCGTCGGATGACGCTGACCATTGTAGAGCACAAACATGGCTGGAAGCCCGTGACGCTCAGCGCTCCCGTGCTCGTTCTCTTTGCTCTCTTCTCCCTCGTTCTCGTTGCCATCATTGAAATCCTCGCACAACAGAGCCAACGCGAAGGCGGACTCGCCCTGTCACCGTCCGCGGACGACCTTCCCACCTATGTCACTTTCGGCTACCTCTTCCTGCCGACCATCATTGCCGTCATCTACAGCTTATTTTGGAGTTGGGTTGACCTCGATGCGAAGCGCATACAGGCCTGGTTCGAAATGTCCAAGGACGAGGGAGCCACTGCCAAAAACTCCATTCTCCTGGCATACCCCTATGATTTCGTGGGCACGGTTCCTATCAAAGCCGCGAGGAGGAGGTAAGAATGATAAGCTCAACTGGATAATTTCGCCTTCGTCGCTAAGTGCAATCTTTTAGACACTGGCCGACGTTCCTCGCAGGGACTGTCATGGTCATCATCTTTTGGTTGATCACCCCCCTGCAAAGTGCCATCATGGGCACCGGCATCGTTTCAGTCAAACGCGATGTGGCCTTCAGCACCAACACCCAGTTCGAGCCGATTGTGGAGCACGAATACCTTTTGGATCAGTCGGTTTTAAATGAGGGATACGCAATCACATGGCTCAACCAACCTCTCCCGCCATTCACAGCTCCGGATTACACCCTTCTCCCATTTTACCCCTCACAAAACAGTTCTCTGACCAATGCAGCCAACTGGACGGGGATTACAACCAAGTACTCGACTGCTTTGAATTGCTGGCCAGCCCAAACGGCCCAACAAGGCCCAGCCTCGAGAAGGACCTTTTCCTTTGACAACGGCCGAGGCTGTAATGTCAGCGATATTGTCCCTCATCCTTCGAGTGGCGGAGCCACTCCGTTTAAGATGCTTTATTTCGGATACCAAGGGAGTCCGTATGCTGATTATGCTTTGGGCACACCGACGTGTTCCTCCAATTCCACGCACCAGTTCCTCGCTACATGGTCGACCTTCAAGAATTTCAACAAAAGCGTCGATGACATCCATCTTGAAGCAATCTTTTGTGAAACAAGCTATCACAAGCAAAAGGTTCAAGTAACGATCGCCACTGACCAGCTAGCCCCAGTCTCGGAATCCATCCTTCCTCTCGAGTTACCTCAACCTCTTTCGGCAACCGAATTCAATGTATCTTCTTTCGAGTATCTGCTCGGCGCAGGGGTCTCGGCGGTCGAGCTCTTTGTCCAGAGAGAACATCCCTTCGGCAGAGTCCTGGAGCAGCTGCCGAAAATTAAGGACTTGGGACTTACTTGGCCGATGTCACCAATGGTGGGCTTCGCGGTCGGGTCGCAGAAGGTTACCAACATGAACGAGCTGAACAACCAGACGGGACTTGCTGAAGCCTACAATTCAACACATCAGCTTATGTTCTCTCTCGCGTTACGTCGGCTTCTGCTGAACGTCACAACTTCTTCCATTTCTGATGGAACAGTCATATTTGACCTCCATGGAGTCATAGTCAGCCGTTTGTTTTCAGCTGTCGTCGAAGGCCTCCTATGCCTCGTTGCCGTCTTGACACTTTTACTCTGCTGGACATGCTCCATAGCTCCCTGCAATCTGACCAGAGATCCCGCTTCCCTCAGCGATTTAATCAGAATTTGCCGAAACAGCTTGCCACTCCTGGAACAGTTCGCTGGGAAAGACTGCCTCACCGAGGATGGTATGAACGCCACATTTCCACAGCAAAGATTCCGACTCGTGTGCGGCTGTCGCACAAGATCTGGCGAGATGACGATTAAGATACTCGACGACACCGGTGACCGCGATGCTTCTGAAATCATGCTGGGCCAAGAGGACGCGCTCTCAATGACTAGGGGTCACTACTCCCCCGTACGACCATACGTCATGCGACGAGATTTCGGCTCGATGTTTATCGTGGTCATGATAACCGCTGTCGTGGGGCTTGCAGTTCTCAAGAGCAAAGAGAAAGCTGACGGAGGTGAGTGAAGAAGCAAGCAGACATTGTCTGATACGCGGACGCTGATGAACCCAGGCCTTGCTCAGCCGGACGCAAGCTTCGAAGTCCTTCAAATTCTTCTCAATTATCTGCCAACAGTCTTCGCCACCCTGCTCGAGCCCATGTGGGTTTTGCTTAACAGGCTCATGTGTATGATACAGCCTTTCAAGGACCTCTGGTCTGGATCGAGACCGGCCAAAGGGTCTATTGATGCCAGGTACACCTCGGTTCCGCCGCAGTTGGTATTCTGGAGAGCTTTGGGCGCCCGGCACTTTCTTCTCGCCACTGTATGCTTTGTTGCTCTCATGTCCAATCTTCTTGCTGTCGGACTCAGCGGTATCTTCAACCAGCTACCAGTGAAAACTTTCCAGCCGCGATCATTCGAACAGACACTAGTCCCGCGCTTGATCAACAAAACCATGTACTCACTAGATGTCCCTTGGAACACAAGAGCTATCTCTTACGAAGAGCCTTTCTACGTCGCAATGAATAACCTGTCACAAGGAACGCCCTTGCCGCCTTGGCACAATCACGAATACTTTTTCCAGCCCTTCACCATTGACGCTAAAAAGGACGAAACAAAAGTCGAAACCTATAAAGCGCGAACACGAGGTCTGGGAGTGGTTCCGACTTGCAGATCAGGCGGCGCTTTTACATCAAAAGGGGACGGACCAGTGCTACAGAACGTCAATAGTCTCAAGGATATGCTCGCCTTCGACTGCCCCGAAATCTACCAACCAGGAGCGCTTGATACGAACAAAGAGATGTATACCTTACCATCCGGTAGGTCTTCGGCGGAAGTCGTAGACACGGTCACGCAGAACTTCACGCTTGAGGGTTGCGACGTCACATTCATCCTAGGCTGGTCCCGCAGCTCCGAAGTCGAGGCCGGAGACGGCAGGATGGAGACGTCATTTGCCATGTGTCGACCAGTTTTCACTACAGCCATGTTTGATCTTACTGTCGACACTGAGGGATACGTTCTCGAGGCCGACCGCGTATCCAACCATGAACAAGATCTCGGGTATCCCGACTCCATCAAGCACGTCGAATCCATGATCATCGTTCTGAACCACCTCCTCAGAGACAACCAATTGCACTGGCACAACGACACGGTATCCCGAGATTGGTTCAACTACCTCATCAAGATACAGCCTGGCTTTGAAGACCTACTCGACCCCCAGACTCCGGTCCCGAACCCGGACGATCTGTTACCGACCATTGAATCTCTCTATCGTCAGCTGTACGCACTGCTGCTCGGTCTAAACGACAACATCTTCGAGCGCAGTGAGAAGCCAGCAATAATCGAAGGAACCAGACAGCAAACCGAGGTCAGGATCTTCATCCCTCTCGCCGCCTTCATCATCAGCATTGCGGTCCTCAGCCTCAACATCCTCACGGCTGTGGTTCTTTATACGCACGGCGTCAAATTCTTCTTGCCACGCATGCCGACAACCGTCGGTTCGGTCCTGGCTTACGTCGCGCCCAGCCGTGCCGTGAGCGAGTATCACGACGGGGGTGTGGCGCTCAACAAGCCGACGACCTACAGTTTTGGACGGTACATCGGGGTGGACGGTCGAGCGCACGTGGGGATTGAGATTGACCCTTTCGTGGTTCCTGTCAGACTTTCATCGTTACGAAAAGGGGAAACACAACCGTCTTCGTTGTTGAGACGGACTTTCGCGAGGAAGAGCACCTCTGAAAGTGGAGACACTTGGTTGTGATACACTACACAGGCAGGTAAGGTAAGGTGGTCGAGCGAATCAATTAAATAAAGTTTCAAGAACAAATGCTCAAAATGGATTCTCGTTCGCCTCTTGACTGTAGCCACTTCTACTGCTATGACCAGACTCGGCAAGCTTGTACCCCATGACTACCAACATTCAAGCTCTTCAGTAATACCGTTACGGAATGGTAGATTGTGAGAGGCGCAAAACGAAAGAGTCACACGTCAAGCATCACACAGGGCATGGAACGCATGGTAGAGTAACAATGAAGTTGATGTCTAGTGAGTGTGTGACCACTCATGCCTGATCAGCCGAACCTGGACACAGTCCTAGTCGAACTGCTAAGTTGTACAAATCTATCTACAGAAGAGGTTTTGAAAAGAAAAAGATTCCGGTCCGCACAAGAACGCCCCCCCTCCGTAAGTCATAAAAGCCCATCCATCCAGACCCATGCCGTTGTTCCGTCGCTATCGCCATGATTCATGCCTACCGTCCCATATTTGCTGCTGAATCCTTCCCACTTGATACATGCCCATACATTGTCGCGTCTGCAGCAGTCCGCTTAGACAGACATGCTGCGGATGGCACGCTTCCTGCCATTGCGGGTTACGATCATGTTGATGTTGGCGCTCTGGCCAGCCTCGCAACTGGTACCAGCAGCAAGCTGCATGACGACGGACCAAGCTCCGCTGGCGCAGCGCTGGAAAGAGGTGCCGCCAACGCAGTTCCATTCACCCTCGTTTGCACAAGCTGAGCCAGGAGTAGTGGCAGTGTTGTTGTCGGTAGGGGGGACGGGGGCTTCAGTCTCGGGAGTGTCCTGAACAGGGGCCTCAGAGATGGGGTCGGTGATCACGGGAGCCTCGGGCTGAGGGGCAGCGTCACCAGAGCCAGCGCCCTCCTCGGGGGTAGGCTCGACAGGAGCAGGCTCCTCGGTGGATGGCGTCTCAGGAGCGGGCTCGAAGGGGGCAGTGGAAGGCTCCTCAGGGGCGGGCGCAACGGGAGCGGAGGTGGGAGCGGGCGCCTCAGCGGTTGGAACGGGGATGAAGACACCTCCGGGAAGGGTCGGGGCGGAGCCGTCAGCACCACCGGTGGGAGTAGGGGCCTCAGTGGTAGGAGGAGCGGTGGTAGGCGCAGGGCTACCGCCACCGTTGCCGTTGCCGCTGCCAGGAGCGCCGGTAGGGCCGCAGCTGCCGTTGGGGGGCTTAAAGGCATCAGTGGCACCATTGAGCTTCTCGACGGCTTGGCCAGCGTTGGGGAACTCGACATCAGTGTCGCTCAGTGTTTCACACCCATTTCCGATGTTCGCACGGAACATGTCGGGAAGAGCGCTGTAGGCAGTCTCGGAGCCGCCAGAGCCAGTGAGAGTGACGGGACCGCAGTTCATGTACATCTCACGGTTGCCAACCTTGTTGAACCATGTCCAAGCAATGGTACCGTTGCCGGCGGGGATGTCAGAGGGAATGTCGAAAGAGTACTTGTAAGGGACTTCTTGGGCGGCATTGTCACCCATGTTGCCGACCTGATCTTGAGCAGGGCATCCACCCTCGATCGACTTGATGACCTTCCAGACTGAGTTGGCGTTGGGCTGGGCGTCGTAAGTGATGGAGACCTGGCATGAGCCGCCACCGTGGACCGCAGAACCGATGAAAGCCAGCTTGTTGCCGCTCGATCCAAGGCCGTAGACGTTGGATGCGCCCTCAGCGTTGTAGGCACTACCCTTGCAGGGGAAGTCTGAGCCATCAGGCTTGAGGGGACTGTTGTCGAGGCTAGAAGCGCCGTACGGAACAGGGTCGCTCATCTTGATGTGGGCGCTGGCGAGACCGACCAGGCCGCCGAGAACAAGAGTCTTTGCGTACATTTTGATTTCGTGAGTTGCGTAAGAGATTTTTGAGTGTGGGTTGCGTGAGTGATCGTGCGAGTTGCTGTGAAAGCTGCGGTAGAGTGTTTCTGAACGTTCCGGACGTAGATGTCTCTGTGTAGTGTCGTTTGATATCTGAAGAGATTGTGGTAAACCGGCGAGCTAGTCAAGAGATGTCTGCTATGTTTGATTGCTGAAGCTATGGAAGCTGGTAGACAGGTGTAGACTGTTCGTCGAGTTGATGAAACTTGGATGCTGTGAAAGGATGGTAATGCGCCAGGCGTGTTTGGATAGATAAGCAAGTTTGGACAAGGGCTAGCCTCGTGTGAAGGAGTGAAAAAATGAGGTCGAAACGACACAGCTCTGATCTGAAGCCCACGAAAGGAATGTGAAAGACGTGATGAACGAAAGAAGGGTGCTGGTCAATGTCGGGATGGAGGGGGTACTTTATAAGACAAGGAGAGGCACTCAGGGACGTGAGGAACGGAGGGGACGTCAGTGCTCCAGGAGGAGGTGGTCTGCGAGGCCTGCAAGGCCAGGCCCCCCAAGGACCAACCATGACGGCCAGCGGGCACGAATGCCGGCGTAGGCGTACGGATCACGACGCTAGAGGCGCAAGTGGAAGGAGAGGGCAAACAGGGTCAGGAACAGACGCGGGAACGGACATCGATCCCGGGATGATTGGTGGTCGATGGATCCAGGGTTGGACGCGGGAAGGGGGAGTGTGTTCCCTTCGCAGGTCGGCAGAGGACTGGATCAAGAAGGTCCCACTTTGGAGTGGTCGGGAGACATGGCGTCGCTGCTAGGCGGCGGCCCAAGACAGGCGAGCGAGGAGGACGGTCCAGTCAGGCCAAGACTTTGGCATCTGGACATGGGATTTCGAGGCATGATGGATCGACCCAGGGGGTACGGGGGGTCCGGCCGGTGATGGTGGCATGGCCGACTGCATGCTGTGATAGGACGGTGCCTTGTGATGCCTCCCTCCTCGGGCTGTTTCGCCCAGCTACTAGCCAGGGACCGAAAAGTGGAGGGTCGTGGCGATCTCCAGCGCGGGACGGATGGCTAGAAGGCCCCCCCGCCCCTGACTCGGATTGACGAGAACACGCGCAGCAGGGAGGCTGAGGTGAGGTGAGCGAGGGGCGCTGGGAATGAAATGCACAGACTGTGGAATTTTTTTCGTACTGGTGGCAATACCTGGGATCAACCCCGCAAGCCGCAGCCCGGCATGCGAATGAGCAAAAAGGGGCAGCGGAGCGGGCCAGCTTGGCCAGGTCCAGGTGGTGGTGACGGCAGACAGGCTACTGCAAGGCACACCAGTGTGATACGACGCTTCAACGGGGGGGAATCGCATCGTCGAGGGGACACTTGCAGTGCCTAGCTGCGGCATGCCTCTGGAGGGAGCGAGCGTGAGAGCAAAGGATGCGCAGGGTGCTGTGCAGGTGTCATCGTTCCCCTACCCCCATCGTGTGTGCTTGTCCTAGCCTGTCGATCTGCTTCGCTTGCCGACTTTTCGCGCACAACAAGTCCCTCACACACGTCCATCGCATCACGATGGGGATGCCCAGGCGCCCGGCCACAACAGCCACCGTCGTCCATAATCCAGGGCAACATGTCGTCGTGTCGAGACGATGGTGCTTCCTGAGGCGGGGATTGGTAGTGGTCTCACGAGGCGGCCGCAGGCGGTCTCCAATCAGGTCTCGTCGAACCGTGTCCTTGGAGCCATTGGAGGCCGCAGCTTGTGACCCAAGGCCGCCCTCGTGGCCAGTCAGATGCGACGCCAGCCCCTGGCACAAAAACACCAAAAGAGACGTCAGTGTGGACGCCGACTGGGTGGATCTGGGGCCCAGAGTCCAACCCTCCTCCCCCTGTCATCCAGCCCCTGGCCCCTGCGGCTCGACCCCTGATATCTTTTTTGCATCTAGGTTGTCCCTCCCTGCCTCCCCTGCGCTGTCGTCTCTGCAGAGGCCATGATCATTCGACATTCCCTACCCGGAAAGGCCTGGAAGAGCACGGAGGCCAGGAAGGACCGCCGAAGAAGAGGATGGACGAACAGCCCCGGGCCCCCAGCTTGCCGTGTGACGTTGCCTTGTAGCGAGCTGGTGGCAGGGGCAGCAGAAGAGTGGCCGAGAAGGAAACATGGCGTGCAGCGTTACAGCAGAATGGTTCCTCTGCCCCGGACGGCTGTGGCTGCCATGGCTGCCATGGCTGTCGAACTTCCCCTTCTTTGCTTCTGTTTGTTTCAAGGTGACAAGAGTCGTGACGAAACGTATGGTCGCGTCGTTCAAGACAATGGACTGGTCGCTACTAAGTCTCCCAGCCAGTGACGAACAAGTCAGACTAGAGCGCGGGCGGCACGGGAAAGCCAGTCGGTCTTTTTGGGTGGGTTGGTCGGCCGATAGCTCGCCAGCCTACCATGGCGATCAGGATGCGCACCTTCAAACGGGAGACGGACATCCTGCTGACAGCCACACACGCGCGCTCTGGCGACCCAGCGAACACGCGAGTCACAGAAGCGGTCCTGCCGCCGGCCATGGACGCTCAGGACGCACAAGACCAAGTCGTCCCATGTTGTGTGCACCGGCTGGTCTGCTCCACAAGCTCCCACGGGCCACGGCAGGCAGGCAGTCCGATAAACATTTTGCGCATACGCATTCCTGAGCCTCCGTAGCGAGCACTGCACAGAAATGCGCTGGCCTATTTCTGGGGGCTGTGTGCCCTCGGCTGCGAGTGGGTGGAATGCGGTGAAGTCTGGCTTGGCTTCTGGAGGTCGCCAACGTGGCCGATGTCACTCACCCTTCGGATCTTTTTCGCTGTGGATCCCTCCTCCCCACAAGTCGCTGGCACTGCCAGGCAGCATAAAGTCGATCATTGATGCGGAATACGATGCTCGTGTGCTAAGTATGGAGCAGCCTTGCGTTGTCTGAGTAATGCGCAACCAGGTACGAGCAGTCGTGTGGCGAGGTGAAGAGCTGAACGCACGCCACGGCAACAGGGAGCCGTTCGTTCGTCGCCCTGCGCTGCGCTGCGCTGCACTGCTCACGTTACTTCTAAGTCTGTGAACCATTGGTCGTCGTTCAAATGCCTCTTCCCATGATGCCAAGCGCATTCCGCTCCGTCCACTGCCTACCACCCAGTGAGATCTCGCTGGCACCATGCGGAGGGCGGCCGACAGGGACAGGCCATCGAACACGCTACACCGGATCCAGGACGGCGTTGACGGATGGCTCGTGCTCGCAGGGATAGATCCAGGGGGCCCAGCCACGATGTGACTCTGCAATGGAGAGGAGAAGGGCGAAGAAGGCTGGGAAGAACCGGGGGCCAGAGACGACCAGAGACCACAAGCCCAGCAACTCGGCCTCGGGTCTTTCATTCGCTGCCACCCACATCAGCCCGTGGCCAGCGTGGTAAAAGGTGCCATGCCACTACTGGTGAAACACTCTTGGTTTCAGCGGCCAAGCATTTCCGATCCTGTCGTCGTCCGCCTGGCGGGCCTCTTTGAAGCCTGACTGCTGGCTACCGTGAGGAAAACGGACACCGCTCGACAGCATGCATCGCGAAAGAGTCGAATGACAGTCATCGACGTCCTTTGAAGCGCCAGCCTGGTGTCAAGTGTCTGGTGTAAGCGCTCAGTCCAAACTATCGGGACCGGTCCTGGAGTCGTGGCGGTCACGGAGAGGAAATGGAGCCCAACGCATGCGGCCCTGCATGCGACCCTTAACCTCTCATCGCCCGTTCGCTCGTCATCGCAGTCACTGCAGCATTTGCCTATCTTCCTTCTTCGCGAGCCGCCTCTCCTGCCCCCTCCAGCCGCTCTGGCCACCGGTGCTTTGCCACCCTGTGAACTTCACTATCCAGTCTGCCTCGTCCCAATATTTTCATCCGAATTATTCGTCCGAGTATTCGGCCCCGGTGCTTGCTTGCCTGAACGCCCACTACAGTGACTGGCTGAACAGCTCAGGGGCTCGGGTACGATTTGCAGAGCCGTTGTTTTACTGCCCAGAGCTGCTAGCCTGCCTGCCAGTGGCACTGCGCGTGCGCGGCATTCTTCAGACGACGTGTTGCGCGGCTCTGTTCTCAGTACCCAGAACATGTGTTCTTGGCCTGCCCGAGCCTACACTCCATGTAGTTGCTACGAAACAGATTCGCGTCGTCGCATGAACCCCCAATATTACCCTCCTGGTGCACAGGCCTCGGGTGCTAGAGCCTTCTGGCGGTGCACGTCGTTCGTTGAGGACTTCCCCAGGTAGTCCTCGGCATGAACTGACCATCGCAAAGACGGGTTAGTCGACAGTGCGTCAGCTCTCGCCCATGTCGTGCCTGCTAAGAAATACGCGATCCACGCTCCCTGCCACGCCACTGAATGCAATGGAGCCATGGTCTAGCCACATCCTCCCTCCCTCCCATCATGTGCCGTCCACTGAGCTACTGTTAGAGCGCTGCACATGAGACCCAGAAGCAAGGCGGCTAAAAAAAGCACATAGGGTCTGTCAAATGGTGCCTGGAATGCTGTCGGAAGCTGTGGGAAGACAGAGCATGCCGCCTCCAATGTCGGTGTCTTGGAAATGCCAATTCGCGTTGGTGGGCACTTGGCGCGGCCACGAAACGCCATCATCAGCATACCGCAGCTCAAGCCTGATCATTCAAGGAGCTGGTGTGACAAAGACTTTCTTTCTTGCGGTAAGACAAATCTTGCAGTGTTGAGACCTAAGTACTCGGTCGAAGGCCCAGACCCGCAGAAGTGATGAGGCCGGCGGTTACGCTGACTCCAATGCGCCTGTCAATGGTATGCTGACCGCTTTTCTCACATGCGCGGTCCGGTCATCGTATCGGGCTGCTGTCCTTCAATCCCCATAAGCAAGAAAGACAAACCCGTCCTGAGAAAGAGGGGAGGCAGCTGCTTTACTTTCTCAATGGTACTCGGAGGGTCCTTGCCATCACATCTTACTGCTGCTTGGTCCGAACAAAATCGAGCAGTGTTAATCACATATGAAGTTGATGTGTTATTGTCAGACATAGTACAATACTTTCCCCTCGAATAATCTTCGAGCGGTTCTCGAAACGATGCAGCGGTCGATTTCGAGGCCATATGGCCCTAGCTTGGTCCAAACTTCAACTTCCATAGAGCCGCTGCCGTGGGTGATTGTGATCACCTGAGTGCTGTAAGAGCTTAAGCTCGGCGCCAACAGATCAACTCTCTTTTCGAGTTCTTGTATGTCCCGTGCCGCTGTCCCAGGTGGGCTGGGAGTCCGCTCTGGAGTAAGCGCCTCGCTTTCGCCCGATGTCTGTCCACGTGCAACGCTCTTGGCAACAGTGCCTTCCATGCAGACTGCACTTGCAATACACACTGCGCCGGTCAACTGCAAGCTGGGGTGCGGTTTTCCCATACTGTACGCCAGGACTTGGATGTCTGAGGGCGAGCAGGGCGAAGGATCGGGCCGAGACACGTAGGCTATCTTTGGCGTGCCTCGAACCATAGCTGCCGCCTCAAGATCTGGCGCAAGGCCCATCAGTACAGCACCGTGTTGGCGAATGGCTTCGGTGACTGTGATGGTAAGTGGCGAGTCCTGCTGTTGGCCTTTCAAAAGCGGCGCCGTGGTTCGGGCATCTACCAGGACGAATGGATTCGCGGAGTCGATGAGTGTTACATCTACCGAGAAAGGCGACAAGCCTGCCACTTCGTCAACGACGATATTCTCGGCGCGAACTCCGCTGGGGAACAGCTTGTTCGTCATGCTCCCTGCCGGATCAACGAACGCAACCTTGATTTCGCTGCCGGAGCCCCTGACGCCAGGAATGATACAATTGCCGTCCTCCTTGAGCTCACCATTTTCGTCTATCTGTACAGTTTCGACAATGGTTCTTGAAGTGTTGGTGTTGAAAATCCGTACATCCACAGTTCGTGCGCCAGACTGAGGCTCCACGAGTTTTTCCTGGACGGCGAACGGCCCGACACCAGAACACATGTTGCCGCAATTGCCGCTCATGTCGATGGTTTCTTTGCCTACGGCTACCTGGACAAAGGTGTAGTCGACATCAACGCCAGGGCGACTTGAAGGAGCTACCACTGCCACCTTCGATGTGACGCTTGTTGCGCCGCCAACGCCATCGATCTGGCGGGTGTCGTTGTAACGTGAGCCCATCGCGGCCAGGAGGGGAGCAGCCCATGCATTCTCTGACGGTGGAAGATGCGCTCGATGGATGAAGAGGCCCTTCGAAGTGCCAGCTCGCATTAAGACGGCTGGCAATGAACGTCGAGTCGTTCGGGCAGATGAGGAAGGGGGGGTGATTGTCATTGTAGGTGAAATTGATGGCCACAAAGCTGGATATAGTTGGCGACCAAGTCTTTCTTGAAATATTCGCTTGCTGGCGTTCATCTGTGGGTGCGACAGGTTGGTGGAGGCTTGTTGAAGAGGCTCAGTCACCCTGAAACTTCAGGTATAAGCAGCATATTTAAGGCTTCCGATGGAACAACAGATCGCATGGAAAATATCAAATATCAAGATATTTCTCGTGGCTCTGACTGCATTTCGCCGAGGCGGTTGTGACATTTGGAGTGGAAGGGATGCTTCCCGTGGACACCCACGGGACGTGACGTTCCCGCGGGAAGGCAGCAAGGATTTCGCCCCCGTCACCCGGCCCCCCTTTTCCGCCCCTTGCCCCAGTTACTGAGCATAAACGTCGGAGAGTTTTTCCTTGCCATCAATTCGTCTTTTTGACAGCTCAAACTGGGAGTCTCCGCTATCGAGGGATTTTGCGGTCTTGTGGCGATCCTCAGAACGGGAAACTGTCAAGGGCTGAGCCGTTAAACCCGAAGAGCAGGTCATCAATCGAGGCTGTCCCACCCGGTGCGTGGATATCCGTGGACCAAGTTGTGACTGTGTTGTCACTCGGGTTGCGATCATCAAGAGGTCTTATAACTTCGCTGTTGTGGTAAAAACCGCCCGATGGGATTGGTGCAGTTTGTGCTGGTATGAAATTGTCCATATGGCCCAGGTCGGCTTGATACTCGCTCGCTGCGGCAAACCCGTCCTGGCCCCTGACAAAGCTTTGGATGATGCCATCGATATCGGACCACCCTGCACTAGGTGAAATATTGTCGGGCACTGCAATCTCAGCCTGTTCTGCATGGTCAGGTGCTGTGGCGATGTCGGTACTTGAAGGTTGAGCCGTAGCTCTTGGCGCGTTTTGGTAGTGAATATCGGAACCAATGTTTCCTTCAGCCACACTAACACCCAGCCTCTTCATCAAGCTTTGCACTATTGCATTTGCTTTCCTCACTGCCCAATTTGTCTCTGAATTCTCTCGAAATACAGCCAAACATGTCTGCAGGCTACGATGAGCATCAGACTCGTTACTCCGTTTGGCGGCGATGCGCGCATGTATGGTTGCAGCAACATAGGTAGCATAGGAGACCAGATAAGGCGCACGTCGCACAGTAAATGCCCGGTCGTATGCTCTTAGTAGTGCGACAATGCTATTGGCAGCAGATGCGCACGTAATGAATGAGTTGACCGACACAGAGCGTGATGTAGTGTAGAGATGACCATCTGCCACGAACGGTCGGTGGAGCAGAATGGTAAGAACATGATACATGGCGCTGCAAATCGTCAGCAAGTGAGCAGCAAAGATATTGCGGGTTTACTGACTGCAAGCTCAACACGTGCGGTGGAGGTATGCAAGAAGATTTGTTTGGGTCGAATATAAGATGTGTAGGCAGCGATTCCTTCCAAGCACTCAGCTTGGCATTCAGTGTCTCTAGCATCTTGGACAGCTCGGTCGCGGCCTGGCTGAAACTTCTCTCCGTGTAAATGCAACCTAGGATGTCGCTCATGGCAACCGATAATCGACATAGCGATGTGAAGGTTGAGACGCTGTATGCCGGCGAGCCAGGATAGTCATTCGATTGACTGATATATGCGAAGGGCCTCCAATGCTCAAATTCTTCGTAGGTGTCGAGGAACTTGATGGGCACAAGAGTATCGGACTCCTTGATGGTGACGGGCCGACCCTGGTACAGGCTTTGTATCTTATCGACGACTGATATTTGTGATTAGTTCAGGATAATGGCATGGTGGTCGAAGAGCTCATTAGGCGGGAACATACCGAAAGCGCCCCAGAACACGCGCCTTCGTATCTCAAGGTCCTCGTCAGAAAACTTGCGGCCAAGATCTGGGACATCAACATGCATTCCAAGATCAATGATCATTCGAAATGCGAGACCAGCATATAGCCAGGCGGCACTTCTCTCGTCTCCGAGTGCGAATAGAGAGTTCGTCATGACGAGAAGAGCCTGGATTGTGGTCACGTCACTGCGATCCAACGCGCTGCCCAGCAGTTCTCGAACCCGTTCGCGGAACTCCCATCCAGCTGTGCGGACGTCGTTAGGATCTTTGCGAACATCATGCCGAGGGCTGAATTTGGAGGCACCGAAGTAGATAGCGTTTAGGAGCAGCTTCGAAAAGTAAGGGCCACCACAAGCCATATCACGCATGAAAGCAGGACGATACGTGATAAGGAAGGAATGGTGCTGTCGATTCCAGTGAAGAGAAAGAAGATGCATCCCAAGGACGGGATCTACACCATCAAAGTCGAGTGCACCGGATTGGTAATTGAAATCCTCAAGCTGGCCTGTACAATGGTCAGCGGGGAGTTGTATAGACATCAAGCATCACTCTCGGTAGGTAGGCAGAGCACGCACGTTGCGTGGCAGCTTCAGCAACTAGGCCTTTTTCAATCCATGCTTCTGGCATCCTCGGATGCAGGTCAGCCGCTGGAGCTCGCTCCTGAACGTTGTCCTCGTACAGGGCACTCGTGCGTCCATGATAACTCGAGACACCATTGGCTGACACCACAATGCGAGATACGCCAGCCCGAGGAGTCGTTGCTGGGCTGGTCTCTGTGCCGTGCTGGGACTGTTCACAACGTGCAGCATCCACATCGTGATCAGCAGCATTGGGGTTGGACGTGCTAGCATCATTGACGCGGGGTAAATCCGGGTTGCGTGGCTCGGAGCGGAAGGGGGAGCTGCACCGTTGACCAGCAGGCATGGGCCGCTGACGGCGCCGAGTGGATGTCCGAGGCTGAGCGGAGGCATTCGTTTCGGTCAGTGGCTCGTAGACACAGTCCTTCGCGTACGTCCTGCAATTGGCACATGTCGGCTGCTCGTTGTTGCACTTGATCTGGCAGGGAGATTAGCCGCGGATGCTGGCTGCTCGAAGTCGACGATCTGTGCAAGGTAAGGAAAGGAAACAAACCTTGCGCTTCCGGCAAAAGGTGCATGCTTCAACGGCCCGTCTCCGCGGACGACCTGATATGGTGGTGGATCCTGGCGATAATTCCATACCTAGTTTAACATCATGTAAGAGAGCATATGACGGGAAGGCTCATGATCAGAAGACGAAACTTGTGTGAAAGGTGATGCGTTTGACACGGGCGAAGTGACGGGAAGGTGCAATCTAGCATGAATGAGCTACCAGCGGGAAGGATGGGCTCAGGTGTGTGGTAACTTCCCGCGGACGGGATGCACCTTGGCAGGAATGTCACGCCAAAAAGGGTGGGGCAGGAGCAGCCGCCCAACCTCTTAAACGGCAGAAGTGGCCATGCGCTTGCACAGCCATTGCCTTCCCGCGGGATTCGCGCCCAAGACCAAACAACTGTACCCGCTCTAACGTACTCGATATCTGACCTCTGAACGGACTACACAGCCTCTGACAACAAGCGAGGAAAAGTCAGAACTGTAGCAGAAGCTTTAGAAATGCGTAAGAGACTTGAATAGTGTCCTTGAAAATGTTTTCCTCAGTTTATGCTCTCTTTCTCGCATTTGGCACTTCTTGATCACTTTCATCACAAATAGAAGTCGTCAACGAAATGACATCGCTGGCCACCGAAGCATCCAGAGCCCAGGCTCTGAACACGCCAAGATCACATGTAGGAAAGCTCAACGACTCAAAGGCTTCAGCGTTGAACCGGGATGAAAAACGAAAGATCTCCCCGGCACTGTCGTTGTTCTCTGGCGGTGTCGCTGGAGGTGTCGAAGCCACCATTACTGTATGATGTCCCCTGACTTCTCCAAGACCCAAGTCTTCCATGACAAGACAAGGAGAAATTCTGACGAACATGCTTTCAAGTATCCTTTCGAATTCGCAAAAACTAGGGCGCAGTTGCAACCAACCCATTCGAGAAATCCCATGGCCGTCATTTCGCAGGTCATCCGCCAAGACGGAATACGAGGCGTTTACACGGGCTGTTCAACTTTGATTCTAGTATGTGATATAGCGTGCCTGGCGAACTCTCAGTTCCAACTACGCTAACGCGTGTCGACTTAGGGAACAACATTTAAGGCTGGCGTCAGGTTCCTCTCTTTCGACTCCATCCGAAACCTGTTGATGGATGACAGAGGGAGGTTATCGCCAGCTCGGGGAATTCTTGCTGGAATGATCGCCGGTGCAGTTGAGAGCATAGTGGCTGTGACACCAACAGAGCGTGTCAAAACAGCCTTGTAAGGACCAAATGATACTCACTCAGGGCTCATCATCTGACATGTGTTACACAGGATTGACGACGCCAAATCCGGGTTGCGCAAATACCGCGGCGGTGCTCATGCCTTGAGACTGATTATGAGCGAGCGTGGCATTAGCGAAGTATACAGAGGTTTAGCATCAACAACCTTGAAACAGTCGGCGACATCTGCCGTACGCATGGGCGCCTATAATGTCATCAGAGAGCTCTCAAACCAGTACGACCTGCCGCAAAATAGTATCACGACCTTCGCTTCTGGAGCTTTAGCCGGCATCATTACAGTATATGCCACTCAACCTTTTGACTCTGTCAAAACAAAGGCGCAGTCTGCAAAAGGTGCCAGTACTTCTGAAGCGTTCAAAAGCATTGTGCATGAGCGAGGAATTCGGGGCCTGTGGAGTGGCAGTACGATGCGACTTGGACGGCTGGTGCTGAGCGGTGGCATTGTTTTCACGGTGTATGAGAAGGTATCAGGACTGTTTAGCGAGAGACCGTAGATAGGATACGTCTGGTGACAGTGAAAAAAGCAACGGCTTCCCAGGTTTTCTCGAGTATCTATGGTCAGAACCTCGTGACAACAGCCCTATCGTAACCCCAACAAGATACTCTAAGTTTCTGACGAGATAATAAATTTTTCAACCAAAATCTTCAACTGGATGGGGCAACGATATGCCCAAGTACGCAGTTGCTGGGTTTCTGAGGGTCTGGTAACTTGGAACCCAGTATCTATCTACGCCATCATGTCTTTGGAACCTCTTCCGCAAGATCAATAACAAAACAAGATGTTTTCGGACGGAATTGCGTATCAATGAGGTATCCGGCTAGTAGCCGGGACCTCCTCAGTTTGACACTGGCTTCGGGTGAAGAAACGGGTGGGATCTGTGTTCCCTTCCCGCGGGAGGCACAGTAATGCGGAAGCGCATCAACCCCGCACCAACCTCTAACATGGAACTCTCCTAGACAGCGCCAGTCCGACTCGTGGCCCAATACTAGGCCCAAAATATTCCTTGGCCGGGCTTGAGGGCATGTGGTGACTCGTCCGGGGCCCCGCACTACCCCGGAGCCAGGTCGCTCATCGGCGCGACTGGCGGCCGACTAGCCCTCAACTTCTACCCGCGCGCCTTTGCCGTCGCAACTTCGAGGCATGATGGAAGGCGTGGGGAACTCAGCTCCTTTCACAAACAATAATGTATAAAGATCAGTCGTGTCGCTCGCTAGATGGGTCTTGATATACCTGGGCAAACCGGCACTGGCTTTTCATCAAATTATCGCACACAACCGAGCTACCAGTGCAGCAATTTGACTCGACATGGCGAAGCAAATTCCAATGACTGACTCCACGGTCAAGGATACTACCATGGTCGCTGAGAATACAGGCAAAGAAGACCAGGTCGATGTTCAACTCGAGGACAAGGCCGACGCCCGCGAGGAGCACTTCTCGCCTCGCGATATTCAGGGGCGATTCGACCTTCTGCGCGACCTCAGCGATGCTGAAATGGAAAAGTTGAACAAATCAGTTGTCAAGAAGATCGATTGGCGTATGATGCCCTGCATCACTATTATGTTTCTCATGAAGTATGAAATCCTTGCTTTCTCCTTGATGCATCTTGACGAAACACTGACACATGAAGCTATCTTGACCGCATCAACGTCTCCAACGCCAGGCTGGCGGGCTTACAGGAAGACCTCCACATGACGGATACGGTATGGAATACGGGAATCTCAACTTTCTATATCGGCTATCTTGTTGGCCAACTTCCTGGCAACCTATGGCTAGCCAAGGCGAACCCTCGATGGTTCCTCCCGTCAGTCATGATGGCGTGGAGCGCCGCGACCATCTGCATGCCTGCCATGAAGAGGTATGCGTTGATCGAGATACAAAGCGAGACTCTAGACTAACCTGAAGATTAGCGGCGCTGGCTTCGCTGTCTGTCGCTTTTTTATTGGCCTTGCTGAGGCACCCTTCTTCCCTGGTATCACCTTGAGTAAGCCCTTCCCAAGCTGTACCTGTTGATGTCCACTACATATGCTGACAATATGCACAGTGACGTCCTCTTGGTATACAAAGGCAGAGAATCCTATGCGCATGGCCATCTGGCATGCCGGAAATACCATCTCCAACATTTTGTCTGGTTTCCTGGCAGCGGGTATCCTGACAACCATGGACGACATTGGTGGCCTGCATGCCTGGCAATGGTTCTTCATCATCGAAGGTGCTGCATCCATCCTTGTGGCTCTCGCTGCTTTTTATCTGCTGCCCGATTGGCCGCACAACACTCGCTTTTTGTCTCCGGCCGAACGAGAAATGGCCCAATATCGAGTGCTCTGCTCCAATGGTGGAAAGGATGAAGGCATCGGTGGCACTTGGGACGGCATCAAGGAAGCTGTCATGGATCCTTTCACGTGGTTCTTTTGCCTGATGCACTTTGCCTTGGTCACTGCTCAAGCTTTCAAGGATTTCCTGCCTTCGGTAAGTCAGACCTTGGACACGGAGCAATACGAGACCCAAACTAATAAGCGTGCGCAACAGATCGTCAAAACTTTCGACTTGGGCGAGCTCACGACCTATTTCATTCAAGCGCCTCCTTATGCTTTTGCATATGCATTTGCATGCGCCTGTGCCTGGTCGTCAGGACGCCGTCAGGAGTCATTTTGGCATATTGTCATTCCCATCATCGGGAGCATGATCGGTTGCGCAGTGCTCATCTCGACGGAGAACATAGGCGCCCGCTACTTCGGCCTCTTCCTTCTCATCTCCGGCACCTACAACGGCCTCAATCTGCAACTGTCTTGGGAGACGACCGTCGTGCCGGCACCGCGAAGCAAGAAGGCTGCCCTGATCGCCATTGCCAACTGCATTAGCCAGTGCAGCCATTGGTTCAGCCCTTACTTCTGGCCCCGCGCCCATGAGCCCTTTTACCGCCTTGGCGGCGGGCTCGTCCTAGTTGGTTGCGTGCTGGTTATCGTCTCAGCCGGACTCGCAAGGTGGCGTGCGCAGAAGCTAAACAAGAAGCTGGACATTGCCGAGGGATGGTCGGAGCATTCGGGCGTGGAGCGGGGCTGGAGATTCGTATACTGATCGTGACGCCAAACCACACCAGATCGTGGGGAACGAGAGAGACAAGATTGGGACAGTATTTGGGTCTAAAGCTGCATTTGAAACTAGTCAACAAACGATGAAAACGAATATTGATGATCTAGAATGACTGTGCAGCCGATCCTTCTACAACCAAGCCTTGTCGACCGGGCCCCGTGACACATCTTTGACTCTCATGTAACAAGAAGCCTTCTCGAGGATTTCGCAATCACATACGACCATACCTACTGGAAAACTCGGGATCCCGTCCGCTCTCCCCTTGATAAACCAGTAAGGGCCGAACTAGTAGTTGGGTGGGTGACCACCAGCGAATCCTCGGTGTTGTATGTTTTTGGTGTTTTCTCCTGTGGAGACACCCCTGTTCAGGTACACCGAGTGCCACAGGTACTCTGCCTTGAGTCTCTTGCGCCGAACCAAGTCACCTCGTTAGATGTTGTTCATTTTTCAAATCCTTTTTTGTGGTTAACAGCCTGAATGTAGTGGTGTGGCGGATCTCACTTACCTTCGGAGAAGAAGATCTCTTCTCGAGCCCACATGTGCAACTTCTCCTTGCGAAAATGCTCAAAATCCCACTCACCCCTCTCAATACGATTAGGACGAATGAATATGTAGGTGGTTGTTTCCTCCTCCTCACCCTCGACCTGACCTTCACCCTGCGCGTTGCCCAATTTGGTGACAAGCTTTACCTTGACTGCTCGCCTATCGTACTCGCTGCCTTCAAAGCTGTCGAGTTTTTGTATGTTCGCGTCTGTCAAACCCGTGACATAGCTGCCCAGGACGGACCGGCCTTCTTCTGGAATCACGCCTGGATAGTCTTCGCCCTGGACACGATGACGGCAATGATCATGTAACACTGCAGGAGTGAAGGTGTACAGGCTCTTGATGACATCAGAGGGGTGTGACGTTCCCTGAACAACTCTGAAGAAGACACGCGGCTCCATCTGCCAGGAACAAAAAAGTCAGTGTTCATGATCATGCCATGAAAGGATAGACCGATGCTACCAGAGTGCCTGGGTGCAATGTTAGCACAATGGCCATCTTCCATTGGTCTCTGTGGTAAGAACAATAGAGACTCACCATAGAAAAATGCGGTATGCGGTCCACTCATGGTGTTTTTACTCGCTGGGCGAAGAGCAAAATCACGTATAACAGTCGGAGCGATGCCAGGAGGTCATCAACGAGCTAAAAGACCTCGTTATCGCGATTGGCTGTGACTCAAATGAGAAGAAGTTGGAAACCGGAAGGTGGAAGCACACGAGATCGGACGTTCCGTACAAGGATGACTTCTGAGGTGAGGGGTGAGTTACCTAATAATCGAGTAGGGTCAATAGGATATGGAACACGAACTATCTAGGTAGGTAGTCAGCCTGGGTAAGGTGTCGAGTCACAGCGGGTTTAGGAGCGGACTGGAGACTCCAGGGACCGATAACGGGGAAGCTCCACCATTTCACGATCTACAGACTTTGGAGATAGAGCGTTGATAAGATTAGATCTCTCTATCCAGTCAAAAAGACTTAAATTACACACTAGTAGCGGCCTGCATGTCTAGCGTCGGAGTAAAGTTATTACATGCCCTAGCGTCAAATGATTTGGCGGCTGGCGCCCCCAGCTCTGTTCGTCGCGTCGTTCGTCGTGGAAATTTCACACCAAAGGCTGGCTTCTGAAGGTTTCCCATAATCCAAACACCCACACCCACCAACGTTCAGCATCCGTGCCTGAATCGACCCGAACCCCACCACGACATATCACCGAAGGCATACTGTGGATGACGGATCACAACGGCATGGTCTCCTGATTCTTCTTCTTCGTCTTTCCTTCAGCAACTTTCCTTTTCCGTCGCCAAAGATACCCCTCCTATCACGCGAAGCAAGGCAACCAGCGCAGCCTTGCGACGAACCGTTCCTCGAACACATCGGCACCGAGCACCCCATGCCCTCATGATACGCAACACACGAACCTGTCTCGACAGCCTCCCACAATGTCGGGCACAACGATTGACGATGTCGTGAAGCGATTGAGCACTCCGGAAACGGGTATGCCTCCCTTTCGACAGCATCACGAGATCGTGCCTACCTATTGCTACAGAGCGGCTAATAGACGCGAATACAGAGACGAAGATCAAGGTTGAAGCTGCTACAACGCTTCGCGACAGTCTAGACCACTACACGGCCGGTCCTATCTATGCGCCGTTTCTCAAGAAGCTAATGCCCATCTTCATCAACATTCTCAAAGGACCATGCATCTTCCAAAGCAACTCTCCAGAGCAGGTAGGACAATCTAGCTGTTCCCGTCACCAGAAGTGCAAGCAGTAACACTATCAGAAACTCCGAAACTGTATCCTGGAGGTTCTTCACCGTCTACCAACACATCCCTCTCCAACCGAGCCTTTCGAGCCCTTCGCTGAAGAGATCGTCGACCTTTTGATGCATCTCGTACGAACAGATAACGAGGAGAACGCGACATTATGCGTCAAAATCACATCGGATATCATGCGCCATCAACACAAGGTGCTGGCTCAGAAAGTTCAGCCATTCCTGACCCTCATTCAAGAGCTGTTTGAGCAGATGGAGAAGGTCGTACGCGAGCAGCTGGACAATACGTCAATGCCGACAAACAGCGCCTCTGGCGCCCCCTCAACCCCTGGCTCTTCCCAGACCAACTTCCAATCTCCTCGGCCAGGCTCGCCAGTAGCATCCGTGACGGACCTTGGTCCCGATCCCCAGCAGCAGAATCGGCTGCTCCTGAAGGGCATGTCCTCGTTCAAGGTGTTATCAGAATGCCCGATCATTGTGGTTTCGATCTTCCAGGTCTACAGAAATACGGTCGGATCCAACGTCAAGCTCTTCGTGCCCCTGATCAAGGGTGTTCTATGCCTGCAAGCTAGCGCCCAACGACAAGCACACGCTGATGCGAAGGCCAAAGGTCAAATATTCACAGGTGTCAGCCCCCTGATCAAGAATAGGGCAGCGTTTGGAGAGTTTATCACTGCTCAGGTCAAGACGATGAGCTTCCTGGCCTACCTTCTGCGGCAATACTCGCAACAACTGCAAGACTTCCTTCCGACCTTGCCGGAAATTGTTGTCAGACTGCTGAAGGATTGTCCACGGGAGAAATCGAGCACGCGTAAGGAGCTTTTGGTTGCCATCCGCCATATCATCAACTTCAACTTCCGCAAAATCTTTCTCTCCAAGATTGACGAGCTTCTTGACGAGAAGACATTGATTGGCGACGGCTTAACAGTATACGAGACGATGAGGCCGCTTGCTTATAGCATGCTGGCTGATCTCATCCATCACGTGCGGGACCAGCTCAGCCCAGAGCAGATTCGGAAGACAGTCGAGGTGTATACCAAGAACCTCCAGGATAATTTTCCCGGCACGAGCTTCCAGACCATGAGCGCCAAGCTCCTCCTCAACATGGCGGAATGCATCGCGAAGATGCAAGACAAGGTTGACGCTCGACACTATCTCATGATGATTTTGAGTGCCATTGGAGACAAATTCAAGGCCATGAACACGCAGTATCCCAATGCGGTGAAGCTGTCCAAGTTGTACAAGCAACAGGCTGCTGAGGGAACTGCCGATAGCTATCTTGCTGACAAGGAACACCCGCCTGACTGGGATGAGACTGATATCTTCACGGCAATGCCCATCAAGCCCACGAACCCAAGAGACAGAGGTCTGGATCCTGTCGCCGACAATAAGTTCTTGTTTAAGAACCTCATGAACGGTCTGAAGAACACGTTTTACCAGCTTCGCACATGCAATGCTGGCACCACCGTGAACCTTCAGAATGCCCCGGCGCAATGGCAAGAGGTGGCTTATGGTTTCACGGCGGAAGAGGTCAAGGTTATTGTCAAACTCTTCAGGGAAGGTGCCTATGTCTTCCGTTACTACGAAATTGAGAAGCCTGCTAGTGAGTCTCAGTACATGTCTCCCGTGGAGTACATGGCCAACTTCTACATGGTCTCGAGCAGTAAGGAGGAGAAAGACCTGTTGGAAACATTTGCTACAGTGTTTCACTGTATCGATCCTGCGACATTTCATGAAGTCTTTCAGCAGGAGATCCCTCATCTGTACGACATGATCTTCGAGCACACTGCCCTGCTGCACATACCGCAGTTCTTCCTCGCCAGCGAAGCTACGTCGCCCAGCTTCTGTGGCATGCTGCTGCGATTCCTGATGGACAGGATTGATCAGGTTGGGTCGGCAGACGTGAAGCGATCGTCCATCCTGCTCCGGCTTTTCAAACTAGCCTTTATGGCAGTCACTCTCTTCGCCAACCAGAACGAGCAGGTCTTGCTTCCGCATGTGGTGGACATTGTGACAAAGTCTATTGATTTGTCTACCCGGGCAGAGGAGCCTATGAACTACTTCCTGCTCCTGCGCTCCCTTTTCCGAAGCATTGGCGGAGGCAAGTTTGAGCATCTCTATAAGCAGATTCTCCCACTCCTCGAGATGCTCTTGGACGTACTCAACACATTGCTCATGGCTGCGCGTAAGCAAACCGAGCGCGATCTCTACGTTGAGCTGTGCTTGACCGTTCCTGCTCGGTTGAGCAACCTTCTGCCACATCTCAGCTTCCTCATGCGACCATTGGTCGTTGCATTGCGCGCAGGAACTGACTTGGTAGGTCAAGGACTCCGAACCTTGGAGCTGTGCGTCGACAACCTAACGGCCGACTACCTGGACCCCATTATGGCACCAGTCATTGATGAACTCATGACGGCGTTGTTCGACCACCTTCGTCCGCATCCCTACAGCCACTTCCATGCGCACACGACAATGCGTATTTTAGGAAAGCTCGGTGGCCGAAATCGAAAGTATATTACCGGTCCTCAGCCGCTGAGCTTCGAGGAATTCGCCGATGATGCGACTAGCTTCGACCTGAGGCTTGTGGGCTCAAAGAAAGACAGAGCTTTTCCAGCGGAGTTGGGCGTTGATTTGTCCATCCGCAAGCTGATGGAAGTGCCCAAACCCAGCAAAGCCAATCAATCCCGTCACTTCGATGGCTACTACAAGAAGCAGTCTTTCCACTTCATCAAGTCCCAATTGAAGCTTAGGATAGGGTTTGACAACCTCCCGGATGACCTGCCAAGACTTCTCCGCCTGCAGGCGCAAGACCTTCTGTCCAGAAAAATCGAAGTCGACCTGTCGGCATTTGATGCTTCCGACAGGGATCGTTCTATCGCCAAGAAGGATCAACAGGATGAGCTTGTGAGGCGTCTGCTGAAGGCAGTAATGTTTGCTGAGTCTCTTCCAGAATTCAAGGATGAGGCGGCGTCTTTTCTCATAAACGTTGCAAGGCACTTCACTATTGTCGACATCGGGCGGTCGGTGGTCGATGTCAAGCACACCTACAGCCAATTCAACCCCACGGCTGGCGAGGGCCCCCTATACATCGACACCAGGGTCTTTTCTGACGCCATTGTCGAGTCACTATCGTCCGAACACCCTGATGTGCGAGATTCTGCGCGGAGAGTCATCCGCGAGATCTACAATACGGCATCGACAATCTTCGGCTCAGCACAATCGGCCGCCCGCCTGCCGTTCTTCGGCAATCTCAGCACGACATTTTGCCATGCCTGCTACGAAGAAGAATGGTTTACGAAAGCCGGTGGCACCCTCGGCGTCAATTTCCTTCTCACAGAATTGGAGCTGGGCGATCAGTGGGCGATCAGCAAGCAGACAGACTTCATTAGGGCGCTCATGTATGTCGTCAAGGACATGCCCCAGGACTTGCCAGAGAAGACAAGATCATCTGCCCAGCTCACACTTGAGATTCTCCTGAAGAAAGTTACCAAGAACGCCAAGAAGGAAGACGCTTTGCCATCAACTACACCCGGTCAAGCTCCGCAGCGGCACCGACTGGCTCAGATTTGCATGCATTTCAATAACGAGCTTGCGCATATGAATCGTCATGTGCGCGAGACGGCGAAGAGATCACTGGAGCTGATCGCCAAGGCAGCCAGTTGTGAGGTTTGGGAATTGATCGAGCCGTACAAGGAGCGCTTCCTCCAACCGATCTATTCCAAGCCCCTGCGTGCTCTGCCGTTCCCTGTTCAGATCGGGTACATCGATGCGATGACCTACCACATGACACTCAAGCATGACTGGGTTACCTTCGATGAACACCTCAATCGTCTGCTCATGGAGTCTCTTGCCTTGGCAGATGCCAGCGACGAGTCACTCGCGAACAAGCCAGCGGAGTTCCGTACTCATGACTATATTGTCAACCTCCGCGTAGCATGCATCAAGATGTTGAGCACTGCCATGAGCTTTGATGAGTTTGCCAAAGGCACAAACATGGCAGCCACGCGAGCCAAGATTGTCTCCGTCTTTTTCAAGTCCCTCTACTCCGAGTCGCAGGCCACTATTGATGCCGCCAACGACGCCCTCAAGTCCGTACTACAACAGACCAACAAGCTGCCCAAGGATCTCCTTCAGGGGGGACTGCGGCCTGTTCTCGCCAGCCTTCAAGATCCTAAGAAGCTGACATCCCATGGTCTGGATAATTTGGCTCGTCTCTTGAAGCTTCTTACAACATACTTTAAAGTCGAGATCGGAAGTCGCCTTCTCGACCACGTCAAGATTCTGGCGGATCCGAACGTGTTGCAAGCGATCTCCTTCACCTACTTTGAGCAGCATTCTCAGATGAAGGTTGTCTCTGCGGTTTTCAACATTTTCCACCTCCTCCCTCCCGCTGCTGAGACCTTCAAGGAACGTCTGATCGATCTTGTCCTCGACCTCGAAGAGAAGTTGCGCCGCACTCATGTCAGCCCTTTCCGACCTCCTCTCTACAAGTATCTCAACCGCTACCCGGCAGAAATGTGGGCTTTCTTGATGCCGAAGATAGGCGAAGTCAAATACGGTCGATTCCTGGCTCAGGTTCTCTCCCATCCCGACAGTGGACCCCTTCGAAAGGAAGCCGTGTCCGGCGTGGATAACCTAGTCAAGGCCTGCAACGAGATTGTCACGCAAGACAAGGAGACAAAATTTGTGGCGATCATCAACACGATCCATGTTCTTGACTCTCTGGGTCAGTGGCCCGCGTGCGACGCTTGGATGGACAAGAAGGAAATCTTGACATGGATGAAGCAAGTGGGCAAAGAGCTCGAGGCACAGCTGCGCAAATACACACTGGCAGCTAACCTCCGAATGCCGGCTGCTCAAGCTTCGGAGCAACTCATGAACATTCTTCTCAAGTCTCTTGAGAGAAATCCGAAGGATTTGGAGTCACTGTTCAGCATCGTCGAAGCGGTCACATCCGAGGACTTCCGAGATCCTCAACCCCTCATCGCTTATGTGTACAAAAACATCATCAACAACGATTCTGTGGAGATTGGCGTCGCGGCAATTTTGAAGTGTTTGGAGGCCTACTCTTCCCGCAATGTTTCTCAGAAGATGAAGTGCTTCTTGCTGCACAACATTGTCAACCCCACCATTGCAATGGATGTTCAGCGGCATTGGAACTCCACACAACAGGGCCAGCCGCGCTTGATAGATCGAGCTGTCATTGATGCTGTGGTGGCAAAGGTCTGGAAGTCAAACCAAGACACCAGCCAACAGGATCACGACGATCTCGCTCAACCCGGCATCGATCACACCAAGTTCGAAGTCCTTCAACTGTCCGCACTGCTCTTGAAGTACCACTACCAGACGATCCAGGAGACTAGGAAGGATATCATCAAGAGCTGCTGGACCTTTATCCGCCTCGATGATGTCATCAATAAGCATGCAGCTTATGTGGTCATTGGGTACTTCATTGCGCTCTACGATACGCCCATCAAGATCGTTACTCAGGTCTATCTTTCGCTGTTGAAGGCCAACCAGAACGAGGGCCGGGCCCTGGTGACACAAGCCTTGGAGCTCGTGGCGCCTGTGCTCCCCAAGCGACTCAACACTCCGCAGAACGACCGAAACGCGGCTTGGGCTATTGCACCGAGAAGAGTGCTGGCCGACGAAGGCCAGAACGCGCAGCAAATGACGAGCATTTTCCATTTCCTCGTTCGACACCCGGAACTGTTCTACGACTCCCGCGACAAGTACGCTATGCTGATCATCACGTCACTCAGAAAGGTTGCCGCACCTGCAACCGCGTCGAATGAGTCAAAGAAGCTCGCCTTGAACATGATGTGGCTCATCTGGCTTTGGGAGCAGAGGAGAGTGGAAGGCAAGGGTGATGCCCTAGCACGCTCTCAATCACAGTCGCCAAACTCAAAGAAGAGGAAGCTCGACGGTGACCAGCCCATGTCGTCACCTCCTTCTGTGAAGCAGCAACTCGCGCCCAACGATTATCAGATCCCTCCAGTTGGACGTCTCAAGATGATCCGCTATCTGATTGAGTTCATCGCCCAGTTGAACGAACGGTATCAGGTCCCATCTGCCAAGTTCAAAGACTCGCCCACGTTGGCCGGTTTCGCCTCGCCTAGCGCATCATCAACTGAGCTCTGCAAGAAGTCCATGTCACTTCTCTATCATCTGCTGCAACCTCAATACTGGAGTGACCTCGACATTGACCTCTTTCCTCATGTCACTGATGCCGTCCTCGCTAGTGACAGAACGCAAACTGTTCTCACGGCGGATCCGAGCGACAAGGAGAAGTTTGATAACAAGTTCATCACCAACATCATCAACACTCTTCAAGTCGTGCGGATCATTCTCAATGTTAAATCAGACGACTGGGTCCAAAAGAACATGTCCTCTATACAGAAGGTTCTTGACAAGTGCTTGAGGAGCGAGAATCCGGAAATACAGGACTGTCTCCACACTGCGGATCCTGAGAACGATGACAATCGGGAGCTCAAGGCTATCGTCAAGCGCGTTCTGGAGGCCGTTCCCGAAGATGTCCCCATGGAAGATGCCGATGCCGACGGTGAGACAGAGGCGCAAACTTCAGAAATCATCCAAGCTCTCTCCACAACAGCTGGAGAAGCTATGGCAGCAGGCAACTACACTTCTGGAGTCAACACCTTGTGGTCACTTGGCAACCGTAAGCCGACAATCATCGACCAGCACATTCCCGTCCTCATGAAGGCCCTCCAGAGTAAGCTTGCACGTGAACATGTTCAGCACTACAGTATCGTCGCGAATCTGCAAGCCGGCGGAGCACCTCCTAATAGGGGCCCGGATGCGCCACCGTCTGGCGAAATGTCAACCTATGACCTCGAGGTCTCAACAGCTCTCATGCTCAAGGCTATGCAGGTTGTCGCTCTCAGGATGGAGGTCCTCGGCGACAACCGTCGCCCGTTCCTCAGTGTCCTGGCCACACTAGTTGAAAAGTCTATGCACATCCCCTTGTGCGAAGAGATTCTCGTCATGGTGGAGGGATGGGTTTTCCGATCCGAAGGCACGTGGCCGACTCTGAAGGAAAAGACTGCCGTTCTCCACAAGATGCTCTCTTTTGAGCACCGACAAGATCCCGCCATGCTCACAAAGTTCCTTGAGCTCGTGATTCGGATCTACGAGGATCCGAAAATCACCAGAACTGAGTTGACTGTGAGGATGGAGCACGCTTTTCTCATTGGCGCCAGGGCGCAGGATGTTGAGATGCGAAATCGCTTCATGGCCATCTTTGACAAGAGTCTTTCTAAGACGGCAACTGCCCGCCTGTCGTACGTACTCACGGCTCAGAACTGGGACACTCTTGCAGATAGCTTCTGGCTTGCCCAAGCCTCGCAGCTTCTTCTGGGTGCTGTGGAGCTGAATGCCGCTGCTCAACTGCATGCCGAAGACTTTAGGACACTGCCGGCCAGCCAGTTGTGCATGATTTACGCCAAGGATACCAGAGAGCCGGCAAACATGGCGGACGACAAATTCGACACCCTCATCGCACAACATCGTCGCTTCATGAACGAAATCGCGGATGTCAAGGTCCGCGACCTTGTCGAGCCCCTCAGTCAGCTCCAGCACATCGACAACACGTTGGCCCATCAGCTTTGGGTTTCGGTTTTCCCAATTTACTGGTCTGCGACGGCCAGAGATGAGCGCATTGAGCTTGAGCGTGGAATCGTGACTCTCCTGACGAAGGATTATCACAGCCGTCAAATCGACAAGCGGCCCAACGTCGTCCAGTCGCTGCTGGAGGGCGCTGCGAAGGCGTGGCCCAGCTGCAAGATACCGCCACACGTGCTCAAATACGAAGCCAAGACGTACGATACGTGGTACACGTCGCTCGTGCAGCTTGAGAATGCAGCAATCAAGCCGGAAATGGAGTCTGCCAAGGTTCGCGAGAGTAACCTCGATGCTCTTGTCGATCTTTATGCGTCATTGCAGGAAGACGACCTCTTCTACGGAACGTGGAGACGCCGCTGCCAATTTGTTGAGACAAACGCTGCCCTCTCTTATGAGCAGAACGGCATGTGGGATAAGGCTCAAAAGATGTATGAAGCTGCACAGATCAAAGCTCGAACTGGCGTCATCCCTTTCTCGCAGGGAGAGTACATGCTGTGGGAGGATCATTGGGTCCTCTGCGCCCAGAAACTCCAGCAATGGGACATCTTGCAAGACTTTGCCAAACATGAAAACTTCCAAGACCTGCTCCTGGAGTGTGCCTGGCGCAACACGGAGATGTGGCAGGACGGCAACCAACGAGATGCATTGGACACTCTGATCAAGGGCGTTATGGACGCCCCTACGCCTCGCAGGGCGTTCTTCCAGTCATTCATGGCCCTTCTCAAGTTCCACAACAAGTTGGAAACGCACGCCGAGTTCGCCAAGTCTTGCGACGAAGCGATCCAGCTGTCCATCCGGAAGTGGCACCAGCTTCCTCAGCAGCTCACAAAAGCACACATTCCGCTGCTACAGAACTTCCAGCAGCTGGTCGAATTGCACGACGCTCAAGTCATCTGCCAGAGCTTGTCGAGCACCAACCAGTCGAACCTTGACGTCAAGTCCGGTGAGCTTAAGTTACTGCTTGGTGCGTGGCGAGACCGCCTGCCCAATGTATGGGACGACATCACAGCTTGGCAGGACCTTGTCACATGGCGCCAACACATTTTCGGGCTCATCAACCAGACCTACTTGCAACTCCTCCCACAACAGGGTGGCAACCAGAACACTAACGGTGCTTCGTTCGCGTACCGCGGCTACCACGAGACGGCGTGGATCATCAACCGTTTCGCCCATGTCTCTCGCAAACACAACCTGCCCGATGTGTGCATCAGCCAGCTGAGCAGGATTTACACACTGCCCAATATCGAGATTCAAGAGGCGTTCCTCAAGCTTCGCGAGCAAGCCAAGTGTCACTTTGAGAACCCTGACGAGCTGACGAGTGGATTGGATGTCATCAACAACACCAACCTCAACTACTTCAATCCACCCCAGAAGGCCGAGTTTTACACGCTCAAGGGCATGTTCCTGGAGAAGCTCAGCCAAAAAGAGGAGGCTGACAGCGCTTACGGTACCGCCTTGTACTTCGATATCACCGCGGCCAAGGCGTGGGCTGAGTGGGGCTACTTCAACGAACGAAGGTTCAAAGCGGACGCCAACGATGTCAACTCGGCTCGTCAGGCTCTGACAAGCTACCTGCAAGCTGCAGGAAGCTACAAGAACGCCAAGTCGAGAAAGCTCCTTGCGCGGATCCTGTGGCTCCTCAGCCTCGATGATGCCACGGGGACCATTGCTGCTGGTTTCGACGACTTTAAGGGAGAAACACCGATCTGGTACTGGATCACGTACATTCCCCAGCTGCTCACAGGTCTCGCCTACAAGGAGGGACCCCGCGTCCACCAGATCCTCACCAAGATTGCCAAGTCGTACCCTCAAGCGCTTTACTTCCAGCTCCGCACCAACCGGGAGGACATGGCGGTCATCAAGAAGAACCAAGAAGCCAAGGAACGGGCCCGCCAGCGCGCCCAGTCGGCTGCCTCGCAGCAGGCCAGCGCTTCTCCTCAGCTGCCGAAGAATGAGACCGTCTCGGGTGCTGCGTCGAGCTCGAGACCGGGCACCGCCAACGGCGACAGCGCTCTCGTTAAGACCGAGGGCGGTGACACCAAGTCATCGTCGGTGCCACCGGCACCTGCAGACGGCGGCACGCCCGCACCAGCAGCAACCCCAGTGCCCGCTCCCACCCCTACGCCTGCACCGGCTTCTGCGCCGGTACCGGCGCAAGCGGCTCAAGCTCAGAGTGACCAGCAGCAGCAGCAGTCCGGGGCCGGCCAGAAGAAGCCGCCCTGGGAGCTGACCGAGGAGATCATGAGCCACTTGAAGTCTGCTTTCCCACTGTTGGCTCTGTCAATGGAGACCATGGTGGATCAGATCCAGAAGCACTTCAAGTGTCCTCCGGATGAGGACGCGTATCGACTGATCGTGGCGCTGCTGAACGACGCTCTGGCCTATGTGAGCCGTATGCCTTCATCATTTGCCAAGATTAAGCTTCCGTCGGCGACTGAGACGAACATAACGCGGTTTGCCGAGACAATTCTGCCTCCGCATATCAAGAAGTCGTTTGAGGCCGACTTTGTGCAGACCAAGCCGACGATGGACGACTACATTTACAAGCTCCGAAGATGGCGCAACAAGTTTGAGGAAAAGCTCGACCGCCGATCAACGCGTGTGTCTCTTGAGGCCTTCTCGCCGCATCTCAGTGAGTTCCGGTACCAGCGATTCGACGACGTTGAGATCCCCGGCCAGTATCTGGAGCACAAGGACAAGAACCAGGATTTCATCCGCATCGAGCGATTCCTGCCAAACGTTGAGCTCGTGCGGTCCATCAGCGCCTCATACCGGCGGCTCAAGATCCGCGGCCACGATGCGAGCGTGCACTCGTGGGCGGTGCAGCACCCGGCGGCGCGTCACTGCCGACGCGAGGAGCGCATCCTGCAGCTCTTCCGGCAGCTCAACCAGACGCTCAACCGGCGCAAGGAGAGCCGGCGCCGTGACATGCAGTTCACGCTGCCGCTGATGGTGCCGCTGGCACCACACATTCGCATCGTGCAGGAGGACACGTCGTACATCACGCTGCAAGGGGTGTACGAGGACCACTGCCGGCGCAACTCGATGAAGAAGGACGACCCAGTGCTGTTCACGATGGAGAAGTTGCGGGGTGTCCTGGACACAAAGAACGCGGTATGTATCCGCGGCGATGGGCATCCAACGGACGCACGTACTGACCAAGCACAGAAACACGGAGAGCAGACGGCGACGGCGCGTCTCGAGGTGTTCAACGCGATCCAGGAGAAGTGGGTGCCGCACACGGTGGCGCTCGAGTACTTCCAGAAGATCTTCCCGAGCTTCACGGACTTTTGGCTGTTCCGTCGGCAGCTGTCCTACCAGATGGCGGCGCTGACGTTCATGACGTACATTCTGTACATGCACAACCGGTACCCGCAGAAGATCAACATTGCGCGGGCGTCGGGCAACATTTGGGGCTCGGAGCTCATGTCGTACATGAGCGCGGGCAAGCCCTTCTTCCACAACCCGGAGCCGGTGCCGTTCCGTCTGACGCCGAACCTGCAGACGCTCATGGGCCCGCTCGCGATGGAGGGCATCTTCAGCTGCTCGCTCATGGCGATCGCGCGGTGCCTTCTCGAGGGGGAGCACGAGCTGGAGAACGCGCTGACGCTGTTTGTGCGGGACGAGATGATCTTCTGGTTCACGAGCTCGCACCGGGCCGTGCAGATGACGGAGCACCAGCTGCGCGAGTCGGTACAGGTCAACAGCGACTCGATCGTCAAGCGGGCGACGAGCCTCGCGCAGAGCCCGGCGAGCAACCTGCCGGCCAACCAGACGGTCATCGACCTCATCGCCAAGGCGGTCAACCCGATGAACCTTGCGCAGTGCGACGCCCTGTGGATGCCGTATCTGTAAGGGGCTGTCGTGGGGTGGATGAGATTTGGGGAGAGCAAGTGGGAGACATAGCAGAGAGAGAGAGAGAGAGAGAGAGAGAGAGAGAGAGAGAGAGAGAGAGAAGCGTGAGCGAGAGCGAGAGCGAGAAAGCGAGGACATTCTTTGTTTGTCTGTACAGCATGGCGTTGGGGATCGATGGATGGGAGGGAATGAATGGGGAAGTCGGCTAGGATGGGTCGGAACGAGGAGCTGCGCTGATTTTGTCATGGTCGTCGTTTTTGCCACGTTGTATGATCAGTTATGATTGTCGTCACAAGGGCACGAATAGTCTCTGTTTCTTCTTATTAATTCGGTAATATTTATCAGCCTGAACATTGTCCCTTGCAGTGTGCTGGTTTCGTGATCCACATCACATCGTACATCGAGGCCTGCCATGTTCGGGCGTGATACGGGACAAGGCCAGGTACAGTGCAAGCAGCCGCATCGCTGTGGAGCGAGACACTGTAGAATCCACTCGAGCTGGATCCAACATCTGCGTCGACAACCTCATTGTCAAACTCATACCGGGTCACTCACTTGTCACTTGTCGCTTGTCGCTTGTTCTCAGGCTCAGCAACACTTGGGCCGACGCTTCACTTTGCTTGGCTGCCTCTTCAGTGCTGCACAGCGAAGTGCACCATGCCGTCAGACGAGCTCAGCGATGAGATTGAGGCTCTCAATTCCATATATGGCGATGGCACCCTGTCGCCGTCAACATCATCAGATGCGGTAGATGTGTACGTGCTCGTGCTGCCGGCCGAGGACACAGATGCCGGCGCAGACTCTTCCGACCTCGCCGGCCGCGCCGCGCTACGCCTGTACATCCCGCCGTCGTATCCGTCCTCGGAACCCCCATCGGTGCTGGCCACCCACTCAGCCGGCGCCCACGCCAAGCCCGGCGCCGCAGCCCACGCGCTGACGCTCTTTCGCGCCGCTCTCGCAGAGACGTACACGCCAGGCGAGGTATGCCTCTTTGACGCCATTGAAGACTTCTCCCAGCGCATGCAGGCGTCGGCGCCGGACGCCGCCGCCCCGGCGTCGCACACGCCGTCGCCTTCCCGCTCATGCGCTACGTCGCCAGGCGCAGCAGGGGCATCAGCAACGTGTGCAGACACGCAGACGCCGCCGCCGTGGACGCTCTCGGACCCGCTGACGGAGCTCAAGTCGACGTTTCTCGCGCGGGCGGCAGCCGTGACGTCGCCGGCGCAGGCCAACGCGTACGTGGCGCATCTGCTGGCGACAGACAAGAAGGCGCGGGCGGCGACGCACAATATTACGGCTTGGCGAGTGCGGGGCCCGCGGGGCGCGAGCTTCCAGGACTGCGACGACGACGGCGAGAGCGCGGCTGGCGGCAGGGTACTGAAGCTGCTGCAGATGATGGACGTCTGGGACGTCATGGTTGTCGTGACGCGGTGGTATGGCGGGCAGAAGCTGGGGCCGAGGAGGTTTGCCGTCATCAACATGGTGGCGAGGCAAGCGGTCGTCAGGCTCGTTGGTGAAGCTGCCGGTGGTGGAGGGGGAGGCAAGGGAGGGAAGAAGTAGCCGCCGGGCATAGGGGTTGTAGAACAGATGAATTTGGGCATGGAGCAGAGCCATGATGCAGGACATGTCAAAGACAGCACGATAGTTTGTGGAAGTGGAAGAATTGCTGCCTTTGGGTGTTTGTCGCTTTCGATATTTCATGAATCAGCCTTGTATTTTCATGGAAGCTGCCAGTGGCCTCTGCCTACCGCCTGCCTCGATGTCCTTGATGCTGCCTGCCCCAATCGTTTCTTGATACCGCCTGCCCGATGTCCTTGATGCCGCCTGCTCCAATCGTTTCTTGATGCCGCCTGCCCGGTGTCCTTGATGCCGCCTGCCCGACTTCCTCGATGCCGCCTGCCTCGATATCCTTGAAGGCACCTGCCTCAGATCAGGCTCATGCTCCATGGTCCCCGCTCGTTTCCCTTCGTGATGCATCATGACCGTCGCCGTTTCTTTGGGCTCCAGTAGCCCTGGTATATATCTCAACAGCCCTCCCAACGCCCGGCTACATCCAAATTCAAGCACTGCCTACCGCAGCAGTGGCTCCAAAATCTCCACCGCCCGCCTCGCCTGCTCAGGCGCTAGCACCACCGTTCCCGCAAACGCCGTCGACAGATACGACAGCCCATGGCCCGCAATGACAGGATCCTGCACGAGCCGGCCCGCCACGCCGCACACGATGCCCGTCGCCTCGAGCGGCAGCCCGGCGAGGTCGAGCGAGACGGCCACGAGCTCCTCGTCGGCCGAGCCCACGAGCGTGTCCCCAAACAGCGGCACGAGCGCCCGATCGAGCAGCAGACTCGGCGGGTCGTCGACGGCGAGCGTCAGGCTGAAGAAGCGGGGGCGCGCCACGAGCGCCGACACGACGGACGCATAGAGCCGCGCGTCGGACGTGTCGAGCCAGGTCGGCGGTGGCGCGCGCCGCGACGATGTCGACGACGTCGTCTGGCGCGAACCCAGGCCCGGCCGCGAGAAGGACGTCGGCGAGCCGTGGTTCGGCAGCGGTGTCTCGCGCGCCGAGAGCTGGACGAGGCGCAGCGTCGGGTCGACCGAGGGCACGACGTTGCGTGTCTTGAGCTGGGCGAACGTCCTGTCGAAGAGGGTCGCGAGCGTGGCGGCGTCGGCAGAGGCCGGCGACTCGGGCGTCGCCGTCGAGCTCGCGGCGAGACCAGAGCCCGAGCCCCCCGGTCGCGAGGCCACGAAGCGGTTGCCGTGGTCGGCGGGGCACTGGAAGCCGCGGGCCGTCAGGGCGGCGAGGACGGTGGCGCGGTCCTTGGCGGGCACGAGGATGAAGTCGCTGTAGTAGGTGGAGATGAAGAAGATGGGGATGCCGGCGAGGGCGAGGGGCGCCGTGAGATCGAGGATGCGGGCGACAATGTCCGTGTCGGCGCCCCCGCCGCCGCCGCTAATGACGGAGAGGACGAGATAGGTGTCGGGCGACAGGAAGGCGGGCTTGCGCACGTGCGACGGCAGCGTTTCGAGGATACGGTCAATGGCGGGCCGGAACACGGTGCGCGCCCAGTCGGCGTGGCAGACGACCGAGGCCTCGAGGGGCGTCACGCTGACGTTGAGAAAGTTGTGCTGGTGGTCTTCTGTGAGGCCGGGCAGGCTGTGCTGTGGCCAGGGCGGCGTCTCGCGCGCATCGTCAGGGCTGATGGTTTGCGACTGAGGGAGGAGGGCCTGGAGGACGGGATGCAGAAAGTGGGCGTAGAGCATGGGCGGGAAGTGGATGAGGGAGTACTCCCCGGGCTGTCATTGCTGTTAGGAGGAGAGGAGCTCATGCCTGGAGTCGGCAGGGGGCCAGACTTACGAGGATGGTGATTAGGACATTGGGAGCCACCATGTCGCTCTTCGCATCCTCGAGGGCGGATGTATCACGCCCTTCTCCGAATGTGAGGCAAGGGGTCAAGAGGTCCTTATGCGTCGAACCTTGGTGGAGGTCAATGTGGTGTGTTGACTAGGGCGCTTGAGTCTGGACTTGGTCCTCGAAACGTGAGAGTTGTTGCCCTTGGGAGGAGTCAATGGTGATGGATCGCGAAGTGACTGTAAAAGCCCCCAGAGACCAGATTGAAATAAAATAAAATATCCCCGGCCGGTCTGTGCTGGACCAGTCGCCCAGCCGACTGGGCAGTCCGCCGGCGATGCAATACGATGCGAAGCGGTGGCCCACGACGTGGTGTAAGTGAGGGCCGACAGCGGGCCGGGCGAGAGCGGAAGAAAGAGGGAGAGAGAGAGAGTGAGTGAGAGATAAGGCTGGCGGTGATGAGCTAAGACTGTCACGTCACGGAGATGATAAAGTCGCCGGCCGTGCTACTGTCTATACGAGAAGGAGGTTTTTTTCTTTTGGAAGTTTGCCTTTTATTGGTATCTTCAAAGGCTTCTTCTCCCTTTTTGTCTTTTTGGCGAGTGTGTACGAATTGGGCCCCAAAGTTTAAACGTCACGATGCTTGTGAACGAGACAACGACATTGATGGAAAGCAGACGTCAAAGGAGCGCGATGAAACCCTTACATACAGCCCCCCCCTCCTTCTTCACCCTTCAGGTGGCCTGCGGCCGCAAGACGGGGCCCCTTATCTGCATTCTGCATGGCATCTGGGGGGGACTAGCGACAATGGGGTCTAGCAGGTCGGGTGGTGCTTCGATTGCTTCATGCAGGTTCACCGGGCGGCGGTGTCTCTCTGCTGGCCCTCTTCGGGAGGTTTGGCATCGCTTGAGGGGGCCAATGGTCAGTGGGTTGGTCGAAAGCAGAGACGTACGATGACATGTCTTGTCATGTTCTGCTTTGAGCCAGGGCGCGCCAGCAAGTCGGCCTCTTTGGGTGAGCTGCAGCCTTGTTTCGTACCACTCTGCGTCGACGAGACGGCATCATCCATTGATCGGTCCAACGGAGGCAGGTGATGGCCAGCTGAAAATAATGACATGGCCTTGTTGGCAGATGATGTGAGTGCTGTTCCCCCACGCTGCAACTCTCGATCTGCAACCCTTGGCCCTCACTCCACAACCCTCAACCCTCGATTGCTCTCGCGACCTGATGCGCCGGGCTCGGCAAAGGCAGACAAGCTGGGACGAGGTTTCCCTCTCTACTGCACACGAGTCATGGATACACTTCGAACTTGGCAGACTCGGGGACGTGGACCCGGACTCGTACAGGGAGACCACGGCAGACTAGGCGAGAATGGACAAACACCCAACACGAAGTAGCATCCTTGAACCCCCGAAAGACAATAGCATCACTTGTGCCTATAATTAAAAATGAAAAACGAACACCAACGGCTGAACCCCGCATTGTGCCCTTGTACATGTATACTCCCCAACCCCCTGCTCGAGGTTACACGTGCCGTAGGTGGCTCTCCCAGCTTCAGTTCGAAGCTCAGCTGTGGCGTCTTGCTATGCCTTTGTTTTCCCCCTCATGCCGGCCCAGGGTCTTGTTCCCAAATGTGACAGGGGTCTACCATAATCATCATCGTCGTCATCGTCATCATCGTCAACATGCTCGTTCTGCCGTTTGCTTCTACCCCCTCCCCCCCCCCAGTCTATCTCCGTCATCATACAGCATGTCCCGTATACCTTGAAATCCGTATGCCTTGAGACCCAAGAGCCTGCTCCACGCAATGCTCCCAACGCCCGCTTCGTTGCCGTCTCTCACCTCTCCCATCTGCCCTCGTGACACCCCGTCCAGCCCGCGGCCCCCAAGAGATTCGACAGGTCACCCTGGCGCTGACTGTCGCCAGTCCGTAAAGGGCAGCCTCGTTTCCCTCCTCGGTCAGACAGAGACGTCACCGGACGCCACAGAAGCACCAAAGCACCAATTCCTCCGGCAGGCTGGCCCCTTTTGTCCATAGACAAAGGACCAGCAGCTCACACATTTGTGAGGAAAATTTGTGAGGAAAATTGTCCTTGGCTGACGAGAGCATTGTGATCTATCACAGGGCCTTTGACTCGTCATGCGGCAACCCCGATGCCACTGCTGCTTGTCGATGCTGCTGCTGCTGGTCGACGCCGCCGCGCTGACCACGACTTGTCGTCTGTCAGTTGAATGACAGGCTACACCCCCATGTGCCATCACAGGACGCTACGCAAACCGGCTTTTTTTTGTACGTTGGTCGTCTGCGTTGCTGATCAGATTCTGCTCCACCGATCGGCGGTTGCCTTCGCCAAGACGGGCGCCCGCCGCGGGGGCCGCATCGGCGCCGCCGACCGGGTCGGGTTCTGTATCGTCCTTCTCTGAGACATGGCATGTGCTGTGCTCCGTGTACGGCAGTCGCTGCCATGACCACGACTTGGCGGCTCTACTTCTTGATGCCGACGACGACGAGGTTGCGCGGGCTCTGCTTGTAGTCAAACACCGTCTCCACCCACGCATCCTTGACGACGTCGGCCTCCTCGAGAAACAGCCACCGGTCCGTGACGATGAGCGACTCGACGATGCCCGCGCTAAAGGCCATGAGGCTCCAGACGGCCGACACCTCGCGCCCGCGGCTGGCGAAGCGCGCCTCGTAGTCGGCAATCTCCTCGTCCGTGACGTCGCCCATCTTGGCCTGCACAATGGCGCTGTATTTCGTGTACTCCTTGTTCGTCGTCAGCTTCTGGACGGCCCCGCGCACGTAGGCGTTGAACGACGTGTAGCATCGCTTGTTGAGCGACCCGATGGTCACGGGGTTCGTGCTGACGTCGAACGGCGTGTCGCCCTCGCCCTGGCGGCGCGGCCCACCATGGTCCGCCTCCGCTTCGGCCGTCGTCGTCTGGCCCTCGCCGCTCGGCCGGTGGTACACCTTTGTGATGACGCCGCGGTCGAGGAACATCTTCTGCAGCACGGCGCGGTAGAGGTTGCGCGTGAAGAAGCCGTGGCTCTCGGCCTCGGTCCAGTTGGCCGGCGCCTGGCACGCCATCATGCGCGCCGTAATGTTGAAGCGCACGCCGTGGCCCTCGGACTCGGTCAGCCGCCGGCTGATGGGGAACCCCTCGGGGTCGAACCGCGTCGACTCGGCCATGGGCCGCCCGTTGACGGCCTGCAGCGTCGGTCGTACGTAAGGGAACTTGTACGTTGGCGGGCCGAGCTTTTCCGTCATGAGGTTGTAGCAGCACCCGACAATGGCGACGGCGTGGATCGCCGGGTTCAGCACGAGCGACCGGATGCCGTAGTGTGACAGGTTGCCGCACGAGTGGATTGACATGGCCATCATGCGGAGGCCCTCCCTGGGCTGCGCCCGCTCGTCCGCCGTCGTCACCTCGTCCTCAATCTTGCGAATGACCTCGGTGAGGTCGCCGCTCTCGAGCCGGCTGACGACGTACGAGACGGACCCGCGGCCCGCCTCGCGCACGCACTCGTGCACGAGCTCCTTGGCCGGGCGCAGGTCGGCCGCCGCGTCGGCGGCCACATTCCGGCCGCTCGCGAGCCGCGCCTCCGTCTTGACGTCGAGCGGCTTCTGGCCGTCGTCGTGCTGCTGCTGCTTCTGCTCGTCGACGACCTGCAGCCACATTTTCTTGTTGCGCATGACCTTTTCCCGCGTCGACAGCCCCGCCTTGACGTCGAGCGCACGCGACGCCTCAATATTGTGCGCCCGCCCCTCGACGGCCACGACGTGCCGGTTGTACGGCGGCAGCGCCAGCGTGCGTCCGAGGTAGTTCTGCCCGCTGCCAAAGTCGACGAGGTGCGTGATGGCCCCGCCGCCGTCGCTGCGCTCCTTGTCGTCGCCGGCGCTCTGCGCGGCGATCGACGCCGCCAGATCGTCGACGTAGTCGGCAAAGTTGATCACCTCGTGGACCTTCTTGGGGTTCATGCCGATGGCCACCTTGCGCGTCAGCCCACCCGGCACGAGCGCTTTCCCCTTCCCCTGGATCGGCGGCGGCGCGCGGCGTGGCGCGAAGCCCCGGCGCAGCGAGAGGCGGCGCACATCGCGAATGTACCGCTCCAGCGCGGGCGGCGGCCTCTCGGCCTCGGGCAGGGCGTCGAGATCGCGGCGCAGCAGCAGATCAACAAATTCCATGGGCTCCTGGGCGAGGATGTACGGCTGCCAGTCGGCCGGCAAGCTCATCTCGTAGAGACTGCGGTCGTTGGTGAAGAAGTCGAGCAGGTGGACGCCGCCAGCAAACATCTGGAACGTGTCGCACGTGTTGGCAAAGGTGAGGAGCGAGGAGACATAATCCTCGGACGATGTAAAGTCGTCCGAGTAGGGGAGCGGCCTCTCTGGTCTCATTGTGACTTTATTTTCTTCCGACTCTGACGTTTTTTTGGGGGGGGGGGGGGGTTCTTCCTATGCTGTGGTGGATATGGGTTCTGGTACGACGTGCCGTACTCGTGAGGCAGAGATCCGTACTGAAAGAGAATGAGTGACTTGTGAGCAACTGAACGAGAGACGTGTGCCCGGATTTGCGACTACATAGCAGTGAGTGACTGTATATGACAAGCTTCATGTAAAACGTACAAGTGCACCGCGGGGTCCTTCGTGAAATGGGAAATTGTCGGTGAACCCCCCACCTTCACCTTGCATCCCCTCCATCTCTCGGTCACGCTCGGTCAGATCTGGTCACCACAATCATCCGATGAACTTCCGGGTGCCTGGCCTCTCCTGAACGCGCAACGTCATCCCGCGTTCCCCCATGGTCATCGCACTCTAGCACGAGCTTCGAAAGACACACCCTGCACACCAATGCCGCGAAATCCCCCCACCTCATCGCTACCTCCAGGATAATGGCCTCCCCAAACGACGAGGACCCCTTCCTCCAGGTCCAGCAGTATGTCCCCCTCCCCCCCTGAGCTGAGCTGACCAGGGGTAGCAGCTCCTCTCGATAGTCACCATCCAAAGCTAACGACTCCAACCACAGGGACGTCCTCGCACAGCTCGACCACACGCGCCCTCTCTTCAAGTCCTACCTCCGCATCCGCTCCCTCTCGACGACCGCCTCCTCCCCCGAGCTCGCCGCCGCCCGCACAGACCTCGAGTCCGCCCTCGCCTCGCTCGCCGAAGACCTCGCCGACCTCGTCGACTCCGTCTCCGCCATCGAGGATGACCCCTCCCAATTCGGCCTCGCCGCGACCGAGGTGACCCGTCGCAAGCGCCTCGTGCAAGACGTCGGCGCCGAGGTGGCCTCGATGCGCAGCGAGCTCGCCAAGACACTCGCCGCGGGCGCCTCCCCTGGCGGCGGCGGCGACCTCCCCGACCCCAACGCCTTCAACCTCGGCGACGACGACGACGACGCCTACGCCGAGTTCGAGCAGCAGCAGCAGCAGGAGATGATGCGCGAGCAGGACACGCACCTCGACGGCGTCTTCCAGACGGTCGGCAACCTGCGCCGCCAGGCCGACGACATGGGCCGCGAGCTCGAGGAGCAGCGCGAGATGCTCGAGGTCGTCGACACGGTCGCCGACCGCGTCGGCGGCCGCCTGCAGACGGGCGTCGCCAAGCTGCAGTACGTCGTGCGCAGGAACGAGGACCGTCTGAGCAGCTGCTGCATCGGGGTGCTCATCCTCGTGCTGTGCATCTTGCTCGTGCTGCTGCTGATCTTGTAAGCTGGCTGGCGTGGGCTGGCCGAGGACAGGGAAAACCCTCGTGGGCGAGAAAGGGGTGGGACACTGCGGATATCCTGGTGCATTGGTCATGAGACAGCGATTTTTTTTATTTTATTTTGGGTATGGCATGCGTGCTCGGGGCTGCCATTTTGTCACTATACGGGATGGAGTTTTGTGTTTCATAGTGTTGATGCCTTCAGCGTCAAGCCTTCAGTGTCAAGCCTTCAGCGTCAAGCCTTTCGGTGCCATTTGTTTGACACCAATTGATCCCTTTCAAAACCGGTACTCGGAACGCACGTCTTGGAACATGACTTGCGCAACCGACTGACCTTGCTCATTCCGATGCTCTATCTTTGCAGACGCCGTCTACCCAACTAACAAGCATCGAGGCGACGCACTGTGGCCCGCCTCTCGAGGCCATGCCCCGAAACCCATACATGAATGCCATGCATCCCAAACGCCAGTCATACACCGGCCGCGGCCGAAAAGAAATTTGTCGCAAGCCGATCAAATCTGTCCCTCTGGCTGCTACCAGGCGATTTATCCCATGCAGTCGTATCTGCGCGGCCCGTCTGGTCACACCACCAGCCGACCTACTCGAGAGCCCAACCCCGAGCTTCATTGATTCACTCAGGCCAGAGCGAGACCCGAATCCCGCTGCAGGACCTGTCCCAAGACTTGCAGCGCCTGCGCCGTGTGGCTCGTGGCGGGTGCCTTCTTGGGAAACTCGACCAGAGCCGTACGCAGGGCCTCGATGGCCGCGTTGCCGTAAAACTGCAGAAAACGCGTCTCGTGCCCGTCAATCATGGCCTTGAGCACCGTGTATTGCGTGTTCGAGATGAGGGCCGGAGGTGAGTTGACTATCTTGGCCATGGCCGTCCAGTAGTGACTCGGCGGGTACGGGTTCTTCTTCGACGCCTTGCTAAAGTCGCGCAGCGATATGGACGCAAAGCCGGCGCCCAGTCCTGTCATACGGTCCGAGTGTGCCTGTTCTGAGATCCAGCGGCCGTCCTCCCTCCTCCAGCCGACCGCGATGCGGCCCGCCTCGGTCCTGTCGTTGCCGCGCGCGCCGAAAAGCACCGGGCAAGCGACCCGGAACTTGGCGATCAGAATGTCGATCATGGGCTTGCCGCGCCAGTGGAAGTCGGGATTCGAGAACAGATGCGCTGCCACGATGCCGATGGGCTCCGCCGATTTCGGGTTGGCGCCGACCTCGCTAGCAAACTGGTGGATCATGGCCTTTGACAAGTGGCTCAGGAGGTAGATGAATACGGCTGGCAGCTGCGGGCCGTTGTGCACTGCACCCTCAACGGGGTCTCGTGAATCGGCCACGAAGATCGATCCGTCGACCAGATAACTCGGCACCGAGCCGTCGAGCGACTCTTTCAAGGTGGCAACGATTGTGTTGATCTGCAGCTCGCGGGTTAGCTTGGAACGCCGGAAGACGGGGGCTTGTGGCCTGCTGTACTCACCGGCCTCGCGTTGGCGCCCTTGCCGGCCGTGAGCTGACCCATTGCCTTGCGTGCCTGACGACGCATGTCTCCAAGTTTGCCCTTCAGGGGCGAGCCAACAACTTTAGACTGTTTGTCAAGCTCTTTACGGAGCTTCTTCAGCTCCTGATGAATTTGTGCGTATCGGTCCGAGGTAGGAAGAGCCGCCACAGCAGGTGCAGCTTGGTTGGCGGTGGCCGCCGGCGCCGCCGCAGTAGCTCGGGCGCCATTGAGTTGCGGCGTCGCTGCAGGAGCGGGCGTCGTTTGTGCTGGCTTCTGTACAGGCGCAAAGGGTGAAGGCGTCTTGAGCAAGCCCGTTTGAGGTGTCGTCGTCGGTGCTGGCTGTGTCGTAGCTGCCGGCGATTCTTCCTTCTTCACGGCGGCATCGGCACCATTGACCGCCGGTGCAGCTTGCGGTTTGGCCGCTGGCGGTGGTTGCGGTTTCGGCTGAGGCGGAAGCTCTGGAACCTTTTGGGCTTGCAGGTCGCGCAGCTTTTGTTGCTCTGCCCGCACCCTCTCCTCTTCCTTCAGCCTCTCCTGCTCTCTCAGCTGCAGCGCCCTGAGCCGCTGTGCTTCCTCGGCGATCCGACGTCGGTCGTCCTCCGCACGGCGCTGCTCTTCCTGCAGTTGGTGGAGCTTGCCGATTCGAAGGGCATTCAGCCTCACCCGCTCATGCTCGAGTCTGGCATTCTCGAGGGCCTCACGATGGCTCACTTCGGAATTGCGGTCCTCGTTCAGGTAATCGGAAAAGGAGTGTCGTTCGGGGCTCGATCGGATGGGGCTGCCATAGTTCCTCTTGGCCGCAGCATCAGCAGCGGCGGCAGGGGAGGGCGAGCCGCGAGCCGCCATGGTCCAGGACTCGAAAGCGTCCTACAGCATCTGGGGGGGGTGTGGATCGCGGCAGGAAGGCGCGTACGCGATTGAGCAAAGTGTGCAACGCGCCGCGGGGGTTGTATGTCCACAAGGGTGAAGGGGCAGAGGGGGGTAAAAGAAGGCTAAAAGGCAAAGGGGGTGATTGACACAGGCCAAGGTCTGACGATGGTGTTGTGAAGCAAATCGAGGGTCCGTGGTCTTGGGTGGGCGAGGCTTGTAGTCGAACCTTTCGCGATGGGGGGAGATCTGAGAGGGGTGCAAGGGGGTCAGAAAGCCGTGTCAAGGCGCGCTCTGATGCAACCATTCGGGGCACTCAGACACGGAGGTGCAAAAGTGCAGAGCGGGTCCCAAGGAGGGGGGGTGAGAAGGGGGGTGAGCTGTCGGCTGGCAGTGGTGGGGTTTCCTTGTCTCGGACAGTCAATGTGGCAACAGCTTTTTTGGAGGTTAACAGAGCATTGTGCCGCCATTGACTCAGTCGACCATGGAAAGTCTCGTTTGTGCGCCTTGTAGTGAGGAAATTATGGTTGCCGATTCAAATGCCCTCTCCCCCCCCCTTATGTTACTGTCTGCCATGATACCGATTTTCAAGATGGAAGCCAGTACCAGACGTTGATTTGATCAGCAATTCTTCTGTTGGTACGACGTCGAGCCTCATGGCCGATGATGCCCGATCAGGCCAGCGAGCGCTGCACCTAGGGACTTGGGACAGGACGCCGGGCGGTCAGTGGCGGCAGTCCCACCTGGGGTCTCGGGAGGGCTACCAGGTAGTGCGCCCCCCGTAAGCTCTGGGGCGAATCAATAGCCCCAGGCAGGGGAAGGGGGCGATCCAGTCTCGCCCCCAAGGCCCATATATCCCCCCAATCCGGTTCAGAGCACCGGGTGGGCTCGACACAGGGGTGGAGCTGTTGGTGGAACACGGGATGCCCTGTGCTTTGCTGCCAGCCTGGCCGTTGCTGCTGGCTGGCAGGCTGTTGCCGTTCTGTTGCTGTAGCTGGCTGTCCCTGCCCATGTATGGTAGGTCCCCAGGAAGGCAGTAGGTTCTGGTGGACACGCCAGTGGGCAGGTGCTGCCTGGTCAATGAATGTGCTCGGGCCAGGCTTGGTGGGCTGTTGCTCTCCCCTTCTTCCTCTTCTTGGCTTCCTCTTTTTGGCTTCCTCTTTTTGGCGGCCCTAGCCCGCCCGGGTGCCAGTCGCCCAGGTGGACCTGGTCTGGGCTGTTGCTGGCCTAACCCCAACTTCCCCCCCCAGCTGCAGCAACCACGACCACATCCAAACCTTCCCTCCACCTTGCCTCTGCTTCCACCCTCGTCTTCGCCTTCACAATCCACCACCCACGATCGCAGCGTCCATCCTGCTTCCACACAGCTCTCTCCCGGTCTCTCCAAGAGAGGGCCATCCATCCTTCTACATCATCCATCTGACCCTCTCTTCGAACCTACCCCTCCAAAAATCTACCTACCCATCTTGTCGTGTCTCTCCACGCTCCTTGCTCTGACTCTGTAGAGCTCCAGCTCGTTCCCTACCTACCTACATTGGACCTCCCGCCATACCCGACAGACCACGCAAGATTGGACAAACACAAACTCACAAGTTGCCGTACATCCATCTACACCCTCCTTGGATCCCCCCTCCCATCCACCGCTCCGTGTGCACGAGTACACAGTCACACTCCTCCACCGTCCTTAGACATTCAAACCCATACGTCGAGATAAATTCGACGGCCGACATCTTCCAACAAGACCACATACAACCCACACACCTGCAATCCCATCCCCACTGCCAACCAGCAAGGATACCTCTGACGACTACCAACACGCGCACACGACGTGCAACTCCTGCGCCGTATCCAACATGGACCAGCAGCAGCAGCAACAGCAGCAGCCCCAGCAGCCGGCCCAGGCCCAGGCCCAGGCCCAGGCGCCGCCGACAGGCGGTGTCCACGGCCCTGCTGGGCGTAGGCTTCACATTGCGCACCGCAGAAGCCCTTCGGAGCTGACGCCGCTGGTGAGCATGTTCCAAAACCCTGGCAGTAAGTGATGCCCTTGTTTCTTGATTTATCCGTTGATGACCGGCTGTATCCTCGCCAGTCGTCATGCGTCATCCGACGGCCCCGAACCACCCCTCCATGTGTTTCGGTGTACCACTTCTCGAGTAGCACATGCTGACTGGACCTTTCAATTCTGCAGTGGAACAACTCGCTATCCAGCAGCAGATCGAGCTTCTGCAGCAGCAGCAGCAGCAGATTCAAGCTACTCAGCAACAATACATGAACATGGGCATGATCCCCCCGACCCAACAACTCGGCCCCGGCGGTGCTTTCAATCCCTTGCAGCCAGCCATGCCCGGCATGAACCACCAGAATGCCTTCCAGTTCCCTCAACAGATCCCTCAGCAGAATCTGGCTCCTCCCACCCAGCCCATGGCCCACCGCCGCAACCAGTCGGCCCTCCCCAACATGGGTATGGGACCTCCTCCCGCTCCCTCCTCTGGTGCCTCCGGCTCTGCCTTTGGTAGTTTCGAGAACCAGGGCGCCCAGGGTCGTGAGAACGCCGGCGCCAGCCGCGGCCGCGGCGGTGGCGCTGGCGGTGGTGGCCATCAGCGTAGACACTCTTTGGCGCTCGCAGACGCGAAGAAGGCTGCAGACATCGCTCAACAGAAGCGTACAACATCCGGCTTCCAGTTCCCCGGCCCCAATGCCGCTCCTGAGAATGGCGCCGAAGGCGCGAGCGCCCCAGCTCAGCCCGAGATTGCTCAGGGCTCCTCTGGTGCCGGCCGTGGTCGCGGAGGCCACGGTCGTAGCCAGAGCATGGCTGTCGGCGCCGCCGGCCGTGGAGGCGGTGCTGGCCGCGGTGGTGCCCTAAACTTCACCCCCGACGTGGCTGGCCAGTCCAACGACTTCCAGCGCCGCGGCAGCGCTACCGGCGGGCATGCCAGGACTGGATCCCGCAACTTTGAGGGCAACTGGCGCAACCAGAGCCAGACCCAGGACCAGGCCGGAGCCCAGGGCGGCCAGCAGGGCTTCCAGCCCGGCCACCGCTCCCGTGGCTCTGTCAACCAGTCCATTTCCAACTTCCAATTCCCCCAGCAGGGCCAGATGATGCAGATGCCGGGTCAAATGATGCCCTTCCAGATGTACCCTGGACAGGCTCTCAACCCCATGCAGATCAACCAGCTCCAGGCTTTGCAGGCTGCTCAGATGGGCGGTCAGCAATTTGTTGGTCTTCAGGGAAGCCAGCATGCCGGCCAGATGGGCGGCAACCAGAACCAGCAGCAACAGAGGAAGACCCTCTTCACTCCTTATCTCCCCCAGGCTACCCTGCCTGCGCTCCTCGGCGACGGCCAGCTTGTGTCTGGTATCCTCCGTGTCAACAAGAAGAACCGTAGCGACGCCTACGTTTCCACCCAGGATGGCCTGCTCGATGCCGACATCTTCATCTGCGGCAGCAAGGACCGCAACCGTGCCTTGGAAGGCGACCTCGTTGCCGTTGAGCTCCTCGACGTTGACGAGGTTTGGTCGCAGAAGCGCGAAAAGGAAGAAAAGAAGAAGCGCAAGGACATCACCGACACCCGCTCGGGATCCACCAACCAGGGACAGAACCAGTCCTCTAACAATGCCGACGACAGCACCCCCGCCGAGGGCGGTCTTCGGCGTCGTGGCAGTCTCCGCCAGCGTCCCACGCAGAAGAAGAATGACGACGTGGAAGTTGAGGGCCAGAGCCTGCTCCTCGTCGAGGAGGAGGAGATCAGCGATGACCACAAACCTCTTTATGCTGGCCACATTGTTGCCGTCGTTGAGCGTGTTGCCGGCCAGATGTTCTCCGGTACACTAGGTCTCCTCCGACCCAGCAGCCAGGCCACCAAGGAAAAGCAGGAGGCCGAGCGTGCTGCCAGGGATGGCGGCAACAACCGCCACAACGACAACCGCCAGCATGATAAGCCCAAGATTGTCTGGTTCAAGCCGACAGACAAGCGTGTTCCTCTCATTGCCATTCCTACCGAGCAAGCCCCGCGCGACTTTGTCGAGAAGCACCAGGATTATGCCGATAGGATCTTTGTGGCTTGCATAAAGCGCTGGCCCATCACCTCTCTGCACCCCTTCGGTACTCTCGTCGAGCAGCTCGGCCGCATGGGTGACCTGAAGGTCGAGACGGATGCTCTTCTTCGCGACAACAACTTTGCGTCTGACGAATTCTCTGAGGCTGTTCTGCGCAGCATTGGCCTGCAGGACTGGTCCCTCGAGAAGGAGGAAGAGGCTGCCCTTACCGAGCGTCGTGACTTCCGCGACGAGAAGGTCATCACGCTCGATCTTGACGGCTCTGTCGAGCTTGGCAATGCCATTCACATCAAGACCCAGCCTGATGGCAAGATTGACATTGCCGTCCACGTGCCCGACGTCACCCACTTCGTCAAGGCTAACTCTCTCGTCGACCGCGAGGCTAAGAAGCGCGGCACTGCTGTGCACTTGGTCAACCGCACTTGCGCCCTGCTCCCTCCTAAGATCAGTGGAGAGGTGTGCTCCCTTGCGCCTGGTGAGGAGCGCCTGGCCGTCAGTGTCCTCTTCCGTGTCAACCCTCACAACGGATCTGTCGCTGAAGGTGACACCTGGGTTGGCAAGAGTATCATCAAGAGCACTGGCAAGATCTCCGTCCAGGAGATTGACGCGGCCCTTGGCGGCCAAGCTGACTGGACCCACGAGTCTGTCCAGCTCAAGGATGTGCAAATCCTCAATGCTGTCGCCGAGAAATTCCGTGAGGCCCGTCTCGGTGCCGGCGGCGAGCCCATCGCCCCACTCCGCCTGCTCCAGCAGCTCGATGACGAGAACATCCCCATCAAGCACAACATTTTCGATTCATCCGCTGCCACCGAGCTCGTCGAGGAGCTCATGCACAAGGCCAACACCTACGTCGCTCAGCGCATCGCCCAGGGTCTGCCCGAGAAGGCCCTTCTTCGTCGCCAGGCTGCCCCCAACCCTCGCCGTCTGCAGACTTTCTCTGACCGCATGAACGCTCTGAAGTATGACGTTGATGTGTCCAGCAGCGGTGCCCTGCAAAACAGCCTGTTCAAGGTTGATGACCAAGACATTCGCAAGGGTATGGAGACACTTGTCTCCAAGTCGATGCAGCGCGCCAAGTACTTCATCGCTGGCAAGACGAACAAGCAGCTGTGGCCGCACTACGCTCTTAACACACCCCTTTACACTCACTTCACTTGCCCCACTCGTCGCTACGCCGATGTCATTGTTCACCGCCAGCTTGAGGCTGTCCTGTCTGAGGGCAAGATTGAGTACACGGAAGAGCTTGAGAACCTTGTCAAGACCATCGAGTCATGCAACACCAAAAAGGACTCGGCGCAGAACGCTCAGGAGCAGAGCATTCACATTGAGTCTTGCCGCGATATGGACAAGAAGCGACAGGAGGTCAACGGCGATCTCATCACTGAGGGTATCGTTATTTGTGTTTATGAGTCGGCCTTCGACGTGCTCATTCCTGAGTGGGGCTTTGAAAAGCGTGTGCATTGCGACCAGCTGCCTCTCAAGAAGGCCGAGTTCCGAAAGGAAAAGCGCGTTTTGGAGCTGTACTGGGAGAAGGGTGTGCCCAGCTCGGCGTACGTGCCCGAGGACGAGCGTCCCAAGGCGGCGGCTTCACAGCGCGTCACGAACGCACGCGCCGCGGCTCGTCAGGCCGAGGAAGCGGACCGCGCCCGCAAGGAGCGTGAGGAGGCGGCACGCAAGCAGACGGAGACTGGCACCATCTCTACGGATGATGTCGATGCCCTCTTCGATGATGACGAAGATAACGCGTCGGATATTACTGAGGCCATGGCCGGCGCGTCTCTCGCGGAACGGCCCACGCAGAGCGTCCCAGGCTCGCCGACTCGCACGTCGTCCAACGCCAAGGGCCTGCAGAGAACCCGATCGGACTCGAAGGTGCCCGTCTCGGAGGCGCCGGAGACGCGCCTGTCGAACAAGGAGAAGTACCTCAGCCTGTTCAAGCTGCGTGAGGAAGGCGGCGAGTACATCCAGGACGTGACCGAGATGACGCGCGTGCCGGTGATTCTCAAGACGGATCTTACCAAGAGCCCTCCGTAAGTTGATCCCCTAGTCCTCCTCATGACGAAACAAACCATTTCTAACCTAGAAACAGTTGCCTGACCATCCGTTCCCTCAACCCTTACGCCCTGTGAAAAGGATCTGGGCCAGATGGCGCGAGAGTGGAAAGGGGAGGGAAGCAGTGGCGGAAGATGAGACGAAACGAGCAAGAGGAAGATAATGGGCTTCACAAGGATAGTATATGAATTATCTGGAAAGGCCCCAAAGGGCGTCCGGGCATGTACGTATGTATGTGCTTGGGAGCGAACGGGAGGGGGGGGGGACGTCGAAGAGTTCGGCTGTCCCGAAGCGAAAAGTGGCGCAAAAAATGCGTGCCACACTGGAGAGAGCGGACAGCATCAGATAAGACAGTCGAGAATGCGTTGATGCGATTGCTTTTGCTTTTGCGCAGTGATGCTAACTTTGGTCTGACTGGTGCATTGCTACTTGATGATGTGCAGGTGTACAGTTCCAGGGCAGTGAAGAGGTCGCGGCAGCATGACAAGAGACGAGTCGGTAATGCAACCGTTGTAGGGATCGAGTCGCGAATCGTGACAGACATGATTGGGACAGCGGGACGTGGACTGGCCGTGAGGGGATCTGCGTTTCACCGGACAGACAGGCTGGGCGGTAGCCGGTTTGGGACTGAAGCTGAAGCGGAAGTGGTGATGAGAGGGGCACATTGATGCTTGTGCAGAGTGTGTTATCGGGAGGGGGCCTCTTTGACTTTTTCTTTTCATTGTTTTTCCGGTAACGAGATGGGATGGGATGCTACCTACCTAGGCAAGGTGCTCGATGATGATCCTCGCTGTCAGGTCAGGTCAGGGGGCAGGCAGGCGAGCGGTAGGAACCTAAGACTGGGGGAGAGCACAAGAGCGGGCGGGCATGACAGGCTTGGTACCTACTGTAGCTCGGTCTGCTGAAGTGACCCCAGGCGGGGATTTGCTGCCAGGATTCCCCAAATCAGGCCATTCTCCCTTTTGCGGTTTTGGAGGCGAAGAGGCGCACACATCTAGCGAGCGTCGCAGGAGGGCGATCGTACAGGGCGACGAACGGCGGTTGCAGTGCTTGGAAGGTGCTAGCCTTGGTAGGGCGCTGGGCCGCTGGCGTGCTGGGCAGGAGGTCGGGGTGCAGGAGTTGATATGCAGGAGGTGTGCGCATGGTGCAGATGCTCCGTGGGGTTCTTAATGAATGCGCTATGGGGAAGGTGGCTTGCTTGTCATACCTACCTTACCTACCTTAAAAAAGGTACCTACCTAAGGCACGTAACCTAGGTAGGTAGGTACAGCACATGATGAGACCTTGATACTGACAGGAGGCGCTGTGGCGGCGCGCTTGGCAGCCAAGACAGCTACCTACCTGGAAAGAGCTTTGCAGCTCAGCCAGCAGCTGTGGGGCTCGGGAAGGGGGTCGTGCCTTGCGACTGTTGCACCATGATGCCGTGTGTCAGGACCGTTTCGGCGGACGGCCTGTGGGCGACCCGGGCGCAGAATGCTACACGGCGCGCTCCACCTTGAACCGGACTGGCAAGGGGGAGGGGGCGGACCCTGGCCGGGACCAGAAACACCTTCCTTCCATCCCCGTGTTTTTTCGCGTTCGTAGCCTCGCAGCTTGCCTCTTGCCGTCCCATCATCGCTTCCCTGTCGCTGTCCCTCGTACCTTCCATGCCGGCCCGGGCTATCGATTTGGGTTGCGTCGGGCGTTTGTGCGCCTCCGATTGGATATGCTTGTTTGAGCCTTCTGCCAAACGCGCATGCCATCTGAACTCTGCGCGTGGCCCTCTTGCCGTCTCGCCATGGTTGCCCCTCTGAATGTCTCTATTCCTCTCTCTTTCTCTCTCTCTCTATCCCGCTCTCTCAATTCTGTGAACCCTGTATACTCATACCCATACCCATACCCATGCCGTGCTTCGTCTGAAGCTTGACCTCTTCCTCCCTCCCCCCTCTCCCCCTCTACCCCTTGGACCCCCTTGCCAAGGCCATGGTCCAGCGGTTGTGCGTTCGAGCGCTGATGCTACCTCGTCGTCTCCAAGCCGACGGAACGCTGGCGTGCCGCTGGGTTTTACCTCGCAAGCTCTCACCGGAGCCCCCATCTCCCAGCGGAAGCGCGGCAAACCTGCCAGAGATCCCACAGATCCCTCGAGATCCCGGGAGCACGCCCCCATGCTCTTGACATGTCCCTCCCATGGCGTAATGTTTGGGCTGTGCTCCATCAACCTCTATTTGTTGTCCCCGTTTCCCACGCTTCTCTGAGTTTCAGTCCTTCTCTTCTCTCTCTCTCTCCTCATCCCGCTCTTCAGTTCTCCGCCGTTCACTCAACAACCAAAAGCGCTGGTCTGCTGCTTCATTTACGTTTACTTCGTTTCACTCTCTATATCCAACAAAAAGTCAGGGACTTTTTTTTATTCGTCTAGTTCGGGATCTACTGTCATTCACTCTGGTACTTCCTCCGCTATTCTTTAATACCCCTCCTCAACGACTACTACATCGATCATACCGGTTCAGACAGCAGCGCTGGTCTCAGACTCAACGACGATTCATCATATAACAGAAAGAGACGCAAGGACAAGAGAAGGACAACTCCATCACCATACCTCACCAACATGCCTTTCACCATGAAGACCGCCCTCATCGCCGCCCTGGCCGCCGTTGCCACCGCCTTCCCCGCCGCGCCCAGGCTCAACGCCGAGCAGATGAAGCTGTACCATCTCGCCAAGCGACAGAACGCCGATGCGCAACAGGGAGGCCTGACAGATATTGACATTCTGCAATTGTGAGCCCTCCTGGCCCTCCTGACTGGGTCCCCCCGACTTTGCGTCACCCACGTTCTAGAATCATCAGCTGACCAAACGCAGCGCCCTGACGCTTGAGTGGCTTGAGGGTACCTTCTACCAGCAAGGCTTCGCCCAGTTCCCGCCCGAGCAGTTCGCCGCTCTCGGCCTGAACGCGAAGCAAGTCGATGACCTGACGCAGGTCGGCGCCACCGAGTTTTCCCACGTCACCCTACTGCAGTCGGCCATTGCTCAGGCCGGTACCCAGCCCGTGCAGCCGTGCCAGTACAACTTTGGCTTCACCGACGCCGCCGGCATGGTCGCCACGGCCGCCGTCCTAGAGAACGTTGGTGTCTCGGCCTACCTCGGCGCCGCGCCCCTCGTTGCGGACAAGTCCATCCTCGCTACCGCCGGCAGCATCCTGACGGTGGAAGCTCGCCACCAGACCTTTATCCGTGCCGCGTCCCAGCAGGTCGCCATCCCCCAGGGTTTCGATACACCCCTCGGCCCCCGCGCCGTCTTCTCCCTCGCCGCCCCCTTCATCACCTCGTGCCCCGAGGGCTCAAACCTCGCCATCCAAGCCTTCCCCGCTCTGAAGATGACGTCCCCTGCCGCGCCCGCTGCCGTCGCCATTGGCTCCACCATTCAGCTCCAGGCCGACACAACGGCCCAGGCCGTCGCCTGCGGTTTCACCTCGGGCGGAATCTCTCCAGGCGGCACCGCCTTCACCGCCTTCAACCCCCAGACGGGCTGCGAGGTGCCCCAGGGCTTGGCCGGTGTGACCTACGTGACGCTCACCAGCTCTGCCCCCATCAACGGCGCCTTGACCGACGACATCACCCTGGCTGGCCCCATGGTGTTGACCATCTCCTAGTCGGTCTCGGCACTAGCACGGCGGATCGGGTGGCTGGAGAGTAGAGAACATAAAGGATGTACTTCTCATGAGAGGAAAGAAATAGAGGGACCTAATACGTTCGAAGATAGTCCAAGCCAGCTCGACAAAAAATCTCGTCCACTCTATTCCTCTTCCTCTCCGTCGACCTCTTTTCTCCTCTCTCGCCACCTCACGCCGGACTATATGGGCGGGCGTGTTATTTCTATTCTTCACTTACAGGCCGGGGAAGACCGGCTTCGAAAAAGGGGTCACCTCTAATCTCCGCACGGCACGGGGACCCTCATTCTCGTTTCCCTTTTCTTTAACACTTGTCAAGAAAGTTTCTCTTTATTGTTGCAAATACCTACAGAGCACGCAAGAAGGTGCCCTTGCATGGCAGTGGTCGTAGTCGGGGTGCAGTTGGGGGGGGGGAATAGGGGCGATGTCTCATGATACCATTTTGTCTTGACAATAGAATCCATGCGGAAGAAAAATTAAATTACGGTGGACTACCACAATCTTTCGTGCTCAACTGCTGTTTCGTGAGTCTTGACGGAAGGAAATTGGTAGCTCCACCAAGTTGACACTCGCAACGCAGCCTACGTCTCATCGGCGAAGTTGATTCCATCAAGCAGATGATCACTGGCGGCGTCTCCGCCATCAATACTGCCTTCGTGTCCTTCTCGTGGCCTCTTACCTCGTCTTCTAGGATCTCTTGCCCGAATGTAGCGCAACTCAGTATCAACCCACATCAGACTTTTCTTTTAGCGACCCAAATAGCCCACAAATGTGAGGCACGCAAATAAATCAACGCGTTTTTCATGTGCGTTTTTACGAAGACCAAACGAGCCCGATGAACAATTCACGAATGCGAGCATTCGTTTGAAGCTGACAATGGCCATGAAACCAGTTCCCGTCTTGACCGTAGATGACCCATGAAAATCAGAGGATGTCGCGCAATTCCCCATCTTCTGACGTCTCGAATAGCGAACATAGCTAACGACGATCTATCCTGCCTGTCTCTGGGTTCAGCAGACCCTCGCCGCCCTCAGCTTACACATATCGAGCGAGTTGCCTCTGCCCGTGCAAAGGCTTCACCCCGACACTCCTTGTCTTCCTTGCAGAGCAACTCTTGAACAGGCGGTCATCCCGCTCAAACGTCTGCGTCCCCACGGTCCACAGGCCGGCCGTCAGTTCGTCCGCGTGCGTGTGACCGAAGAGTATGGCGCGGATGGAGCCGGCGCAGCGCGCGCCGCCAGCTCGGTTGCGAGCTTGGCGATCGGCCGGTTCGAGTCCTGGTGCATCTGCCGCCGGTAGAGGTGGTTGGTAGTCGAGCTTGTGATAAAATTCTGCGATGCGCGTCAGGATCCGCAGGTTGCCGGCGCATTGTAGAACCGAGTAGCTGCTGCCTACGCGCCGCACCGAAGCTACCGTGTCGGCACCCAGGCAGTGTGCCGTGCTCATTACCACGGCGTTGTCCATCCTGCTGGTCGAGGCGAACTTGGAGTTGGACGGCAGCACCAGAGGAGCTGGGTGCATCTCGTGGTTTGGCAGCGAGGGGGTTAGACATGCAGGAGGTAGGCCCCCTGTCTTGTATCGTCGTGACTGGCTTGTTAGTGTATGCATCCTGCTAAGAAGAGAGAGGCTGAGCTGAGGATGGTAGATGGCAGGCAGCAGACGTATTCGGCGCGATGTTGTGTTCCTTCGACGACGTATTCAGCATCAGCTTGTAGATGGCCTGGCAACATGCTTCTCTCGCGCGCCTCGGGCATGCCGCACCTCTGGCTGTCAAAAATACACGGCCGTCTTCTCGCAAGCAACACGGCAAAATTCAGAACAGAATGCACCAGCAGAGTAATGGTTTCGCGCATGTTTCTGTGATGTGCACAACCTTGAACGGCGCTTGTCGCTCGGGACAGGCATGGGCAGTGACCGGTCGACGTGAGATCAGGAGGGGGGGGGCACCATCCGTTGATAGTATCCGTTTGGCGGCTTTGTTGTGCCTGTTCGATGCTGCCATGCCAGTTGAACCGTTCAATGGCGAGGGCCCAACGCGACAGCACCTCAGACGACGGGTGCGCATGAGACATCTGCGCGATATACGACGACTCTGCACACACCTGCACAGCAGTCGCGAAGCTTGCTGTTACAAGAAACTGAATTCGATAGACCTACTCGCGACAACTATAGGAGAAAACAAGAGAACACGATGCATCGTTGCCCTGGAGCGTTTCTATCGAACCCGGAGGAATACCTACAATGCAGACACCCGGCACGACTCGACGCGACTCGGAAGCCTGAACGCGCTGTCGCCACCGCCGCCCATCTACTCGTCCATGACCGAGGCAAACTTGTCCAGCAATTGCTGGTGGATGCCCTCGTACTACGGCGGGTCAGCATGATCACCTCGCACAATACACACGGTGTTCGTCGCGAAGGGGGGGGGGGGGGGGGCACGGTACCTTCTTGCAAATCTGCTCCTCACCGTCCGAGGGAACCTCGAACTTGAGCTGACGCAGCTGGCTCTGCAGCTCGCCCGTCGCGTCGCGGACCTTGGCCCAGCTCTGGCCCTGCGCGATGGCCTTCTGTGCCTCGTCGTGGAAGCCCATCATGAGCTTCATCATCCATTCCGTCTTCCAGATCGGGCAGAATTGGTCGTAGTCTGAGTAGCCGTTCTGCTGGAGGAAGTCTTCCTTGATGATCGACGCCATGTCGAGCGTGATCTTGTCGGGGTCGGACAGCGCGCTCTTGCCGACCAGCTGCACGACCTGGTCGAGCTCCTCCGAGTCGGAAAGGAGCTGCTTGATGCGGTCGCGGAGGCGGGGGAAATCAGGGTAGTCCTTCTCGTACCACTTGTCCAGGACGTTGGTGTACTTGGAGTAGCTGAGCGACGTGTTGATCGAGGGGAAGTGCTTGCGCTGCGCGAGCTTCTTGTCGAGACCCCAGAACACTTGCACGATACCGAGCGTCGAACTCGTGACGGGGTCGGAGAAATCACCACCAGGCGGGCTGACGGCGCCGACAATGCTGACACTGCCGAGACGGTCGGGCGAGCCGAGCGTCTGGATACGGCCGGCACGCTCGTAGAAAGAGGCGAGCTTGGCACTGAGGTAGGCGGGGAAACCCTGATCAGCAGGCATCTCTCCGAGACGACCGGAAATCTCACGAAGAGCCTCGGCCCATCGAGAGGACGAATCAGCCATCATGGCGACGTCGAGACCCTGGTCACGGAAGTATTCGGCGACAGTAATTCCGGTGTAGATGGAGGCCTCACGGGCGGCGACGGGCATGTTGGAGGTGTTGGCGATGAGCGTCGTGCGCTTCATGATGGGCTCCTTGCGACCGTCGACATCAATGGTGAGCTCGGGGAAGTCCTTCAGGACCTCAGCCATCTCGTTGCCACGCTCACCGCATCCGACGTAGACGATGACGTCCGAGTTGGAGAACTTGGAGACGGACTGCGAAATGACCGTCTTGCCGCAGCCGAAAGCGCCGGGAATGGCGACGGTGCCACCAAGCACACTGGGGTAGAGAGCGTCGAGCACACGCTGGCCGACGATGAAGGGCTCGGTCGCAGACAGCCTCTCGGTCGAGGGACGGGGCACTCGCACAGGCCAGACCTGCATCATGGGATACTCCGTCTTCTTGCCGTCAAACTCGACCTCGAGGATCTTCTCATCGACGGTGTAGCTGCCCTTGCCGGCGATCTTGGTGATGGTACCGCGGGCGCGAGGCGGGAACAGAATCCTGTGGGTGCTGATGAACGAGTTCTCGAAGACGGTACCCCAGACGTCACCGCCCGAGATGTGATCGCCAACCTTCAGGGTCGGGGTGAAGTCCCACTTCTTCTCGCGGTCGAGCGCGGGCAGAGCGATACCGCGGGGAATGTAGATGGACTTGGACTCCTCGCTAATCTTGGCCAGAGGACGCTGGATACCATCGTAGATTCCGTTCAGAAGACCAGGGCCCAGCTCGACGGACAGGGGCTTTCCGGTTCGCAGGACAGGGTCGCCGACGGTGACACCAGCTATTCGCTCGTCAGCAGGATGTAGATAGCGTCGTGGGGGGGCAGGCGCGACATACCGGTCTCCTCGTAGACCTGGATCGTGGCTTGGTCACCGTTAATTCGAATGACCTCACCAACCAGGTTCTCGTGGCCAACTTTGACCTAGATGCACATGTCAGAGACGACGAACAATTCACACAGACTTCTTGGATCGCAACCCACCAACTCATACATAGCAACACCGATCAGGTCCTCGGCGACAATGACGGGTCTGCACTCGGGTTAGTCGTGAGGGGTTTCGAAACGGGGGACAGCGGCGCGCTGGTCGGCGGTCGTTTGGAGAGAGCTGAGAAACGAACCCGGAGACGGAGAAGATCTTGCCTGTGCAGCCATTTGTTAGACATTGAATAACGAAGAAGGATGCATGATGCAGGCGGGGACAATCAATTCTTACCAGAGTTGAGCTCATCTTCGCCGCCCTTGTTGCCTTTCTGCATCGCGAAGCCTGGTCAGCGAAAGTCCGTCACCGAATGTCGTCAACGCCTCTCGGTGGGGCAAAAGCATCATCTCCCGCACGGGGAACGCAGCTGGGAGAGAGCGATGGAGACCAAGGCAGGACAGCTTTGGGGAGGGAAAGGGCGCAGCTTACGGGAGCCATGCTGGGCGGTGGTGAAGGCGCTCGTTCTTTGGATGCTTCGATGTCTTCGGGAAGCACGAGCTTGGGGATTGGGAGGTTCGGGGTCGGAGTGGCGGATGGTGGGAATCGGAAGGTTTTGGGAGGAGATGATGGTAGAGGTTGAGCAGAAGCTACGTCGAGAGCTGCAGCGACAGCAACAGTAGCGGCGCCAGCACCAGCAGCAGTAGCGGGCCAGGCCAAGGCAGCCTGCTGCTGGACGAGAGGCGCGGGCAAACCGAGCACGGGCGGACTTGGCAGCGGTTCTGTGGCTGGACCTCGCTCTGTATGTGTGGCTGTGGCTATGACTGTGGCTGCAGACGAGGCTGGTGAGCCGCCGAAACGTGGAGGAGGTGCAGGCGCGGGCGCGGGCGCAGGTGGAGGCGATGATGTAGGCCCGAACGACGGCGACAGCGGGTTGGCTTGGTCCTGTTTCTCGCGCACGAGCAAGTCGACGAGCGAAGGGCGCGCCTTGAGACGTGGGCGTAATCCGGGCTGCATGCACCTGGTGGCACCTTGCGATACCTGTCAAGCAACCACGGGTATGAACGGTAGGCGTGGGCGCTGTGTCGTCGCGTCGATGGTGATGTCGCTCGCTGTTCTTGGATGTGAGGTACGTGGACCAACCGACCACAGCTGTCGGAGATGGAGCCGTGTGGGCGGTTGAACCCCCCTGCTTTTGCTGGTAGGGGTTCAATTCCGACCAAACTTCCTTTCCTCTTTAAGCCCCTGCAACGAGTTTCGTCTCCCCAGGACGCTTCCTCCTTCAAGGCCAAGATTCCCTCGCCATCATAGGTGCTCAAGATTTCGTATCCTACACTTCATGTCATGCGTCATTATCATTATCCTACAGGGCGTTTTACGTCCATATAAGCAAACCTCCTAGAGACACCAAGAGCACACCATTTCCACGCCACCTCTCAGATCCGAACCATCTCGTGCTCATCTGTTCTCCAGTCCTGAACTGATACCGTTGATCCAAGCCTCCCCGTCTTCGGCTTTCATATGTTCAGAAAGGGCCTCTGCCCACCCTTGCCGTGCTATGTACGTTGTGACCCTGTCGGGTGCCGGGTTGCCGCCCAGCCATTTGCTTTTCTTGTTTCTGTTGTGACCAAATACCGTCGCTCTCCCAAGTGCACCCGTCGTGTTCTTCAGTCGTTATTGATACATGATGGAAGCGTGAAAGCACACGTGTGCCCGCTCACGCATGATTCTCCTTGGACTCAACAGGCGTGTCTCGCTCGCGAGGGGGTGGGGTGAGGCTCTTCTCCCACTCATCCATGAGAATGTTAGCCGTTCGTTTGATGTTGCTGGGAGAGAGCCGATTGACCACGTTTGGCAGAATTTCCTCAAGCTTGGTCGGCGAGAGGATCGGCGTCGTAGAGCGCTCGACTCTGGTGTCAATTGCCATGGCTGTCCGAGACGATTTCTTCTTACTAGTCACGAATCGTCTTAGTCAACAATGCTCACAGCCCTCGGTCTGATTCGGGGTGTTCCTTACAGTGGTGTCTCATTCTCGTCAGCCTTCTCGGGAATGGACGCTATCCCTTCACCGCCGCTGACGGTTGACCCGCTCCAGCGTGTGGACTTGGCAGAGGAGACTGAGGGCGACTCCCAGTTTGACCAGTCATTGTCGTCGATCGAGTCGAACGACAGTGGTGTCCAGGAGAAGTGCTTCGACTTGTTTTTCGCCTTTGCCAGGGGCCGTTCCAGGGATGTTGAGGACCGGGAAGGCGTCTCCGCGGCGGGGCCGTCAAAGGCCGTATCGAGGCCCGCCCGGGGACGCATGGAGCTCGACGCCTTGATCGTCTCCTGGTCGGCAGCAAACGAAACCGGCCTTTCCTTTCTAGCCGGTGCGTCGTGTGTGCTCTGGCGGAGGCTACGGCCGTTGATGGGCTCGTCACCAACGGTCGCCTGGCGAATGTCTTCCACAAAGCTCCAGAGGCCTGACTTAAAGTCCTCGGCTATTTGCTTGACACCCTGCTGGTTCGGGTGATAGGACCGGGGTTGCCACGATGCGCGTTTTGACAATGCCGGATTGACAAAGGGCTGGGCAATGGGTGGGATCTCGGGTGAAGTCATGCCATCGGAGTCCTCGTGCACGGAGAACCCACCATCCGTCTTCGCAGGGGAGAGCAGGGACAATGTTCTCGTGTGGCCGCCTCTCATGACGCGCCTCCGATGTTCCTTGGGCGTGTTCTGGTTCTGAAGGAACGCTTTACGCCGGTCTAGATCTACGCTGCGCCGGGCAGCGGAGAGATCTTCGGGTGCGCCCCCGTTGAGCTGGGGTCCCAGAGGTCGTAATGGCTCGATGTGGCGGCCCCGGTTCCGCTTCTGGTGTGCCTCTTGTGTCGTCCAGTGCTTCTTCAGCTTGAGCAGCTCTTCTTCTGCACGGGCCAGCTCTTCCCTGAGCTCGAGCACCTTTCTCTCTTGAGTTGCTATCGCAATGATGAAGTCGTTGGCATCGACTGGAGAGGCGAGAGCCGAGTCTATCGGCGTCGCGGGGTAGGAAGACAGGATGGTCGAGGGCGGACGAGACGGGTCACTGGTGGGGAGGGCAATGGGAAGTGTCAGCGAGAGGCGATGGGCGTTGCGTGACGCATTCGATGTTGACCGCGACGAACGACCGACGCAGTAGTCGTCCGCAGGCGGCGGTGGGGGTGGCATGGCCTCAGCGTCCATGTCGGACGAACTGCCCCGCGACAGCTCCGAGGCTGATCTTGTCATTTGACTCGGGCGTGGTGGCAGTGAGGGCGTCGAGGTGCATGCCACCAGGTGTGCATCGAGATCCGCCATGGGGGTGACAGGAGCGGGAGATGTTGTTCGGTCGGCGGCGGAGGAGCGGCGACGCAGATGTTGGTTGCTCGCGTCCATGTCGGCGAGGCCAAGGTGGAGGGCGAGATGCTTCTGATACTGCAGTTGAAGAATGGCGGGGTCGATCCTGCTCTGCGCCCGTCGATGCTTGTGTAAATGAATGGCAGACCGCGCAATGTGCAACCTCTTGTGGTGCCGCTGTCTCCCAGCGGAGGAGTGAGCGTGGTTCGTTCTTCTGGCGACGAATGCCTTGGTGTTATTCAGATGCTTCTGGTGGGCGTGAAGGAGTGTATCGGAGCAGGACGAGACGAGGGCGATGCGCAGGAGGAAAATGGCAGTCATGGAGAGAACGAGAGGAAGCTCCTCATGATGAGTTGGAGCGTGAGCAGGGCGGCAAGGCAGGGCAAGGTCTGGTGTAGCAGCGATTGTGGACGGGGTAAGGAGATGACAATCGAGGATGTGATGCCCTGACCGAGTAAGAAGCGTGTGCAGCCAGGGGGTCTTGCTTGGGGTCCAGGCCTGAGGGGGGACGCGGGCGTGGGTTTGACGGAGAGAACGGGGTGTTCGAATGAGCCTTCCAGGCCGATTGGCGGTGTTGATTGGGCGAGGCGGAGGGCCTTAGATTGCGACCCTTCAGTGGAGGTAAGGGGCTGACAGGGGGGGAGCTGCTGTAGTGGTACGCTGTGGGTTTCCCGAGTGGTCCCTGCAAAGAGAGCCTGGGCCTGACGTCTGGGAAGCTGGACACGCCGGAGAATGTGATTTCGCGTGTCGTCTCGCCTTTGGAGATGAAATGACGAACAGGGCCACAGCTTTGCTTGTTTTGGACGAGGATTAGAGACAGGAAGTGGGCGGTAGACGTTGAGTTGGCGGGAGCATTGATGCCAATTTGATGTTTCGTTTCCCGTCCTGATGCTATGACGCAGCACTGGCTTGATTGGGATGAACCTTGAAAGGAGTGGAGAAGGGCAACAGCTCTACTTTGATGCGCAATGTTGATGTTGTTGAACAAGTCGAAATGAATGCTACACGACCAGCCGGGGGGCACGAGAAGTGAAGCGCGTCAAGAGAAGAAGGGAGACCAAGACCCCTTCGCCAGCTTTCGATCGGATCGGGGCAGGGTGTTTGCTTTAAACACGACAACGAGATGCACCATGGGGGGGGGGCTCAGACACGGCCAGCCCGGACGGATGCTGCTGCAGGTCTCACGAGACGAGCCCAAGTGACTGGCCAGAGACAACGGGTACATGGGCAGATGGGGGGGTTCCCGATGCTAATCCCGCCAATTCCCTCACAAAAGTCGGCTGAGTATCGTCGTTGCTCAGCGTCGCTGGGGAGCAACGCTGGTGTCAGCTGTTGTTTTGCCCGTAGTTCACCACATCAACCGGTGGATCTTCGTATGTTTGAGTTGCGACGATCCACCTCGAGTAGCCGTATCTCAGGGGCTTGCAGCAAAGAGGCGTGGAGAAGCATCGCGGGAACCAGGGGGTTACCCCCTTCGACGTCCAGTGCCGCCCCAGTGCCAGCCGTCCGTCGACTTTCTTTAGGTCTAGCGGGTCAGCCTGCGTCCGCTGGCCCAGAGGACGGACCCGGAATAGATCATGCACGTCAGGTTGGTAACTACTGGTTTCCAGGGTGATATCTGCAGGTACTTGCTTCTCTCTGCCCAGCATGCTGCGTCTTTGCAAATCAATCTGAGTCGCTCGGCTCGTCCATTCGGATTACTTCACTGCTGAAGATGCTTTATCAGGTAGGTAACTCAAAGTCAATGCTGGACAAATTAAATGAAAACCCGAATTGAAAGTTCAGCGCGCGGTGGTGACCTACCAGAGCTGACGACAGGCGGTGAACCGGTTATTGGAATCGAATCTACCATGACTCCGCAAGATCTCCTCCCCCAATTTCCCGTGACCACGGCACCCACCAATCATGAGCTGCTGCCTTTTTTCTCCGTAGCTGGATCCCACGCCAATGACACCCCCCCCCAATCACCACGTGACTACATGTCGTGGTCGCGCCTGTGCATTCCTGTTGTGCACAATGCGATTGTGCTGTGACGCGGCGCTCGATTCACTTGACGCGCCTGGAAAGCGGGACAGACTTTGAATCTCACGTGCACCACGTTGACCAGCCCTGCTGCCCCTCACTTGCCCTCATGATGAATGCCTCATGGCCCACACGGCAAGAGTCTAGGGAGGCACAGACAAAGACAGCCAGGCATCAGCTCGTGGTAACCTGGAATGAAAGCCTGCGGTGCGTCCTCGTACTCACCTCTCTGACCGTCATGTTACTCGCCGCTTCTCGATCATCAAGCAACCCTTATTTCGAGACCATCATGGTGGGCGAATACGATGCCCTTCTCTTTCGCTCATGTATGTGATCTTCTAGATCAGCTACAGCAGCAGCAGCAGCAGCAGCAGTCTGCCGACGGAAATGTCGCTCGTAGAATTATCGCTTCCTGGTTCGCCAAACATCGGCATGCCATCAACCAGACCCCTGCCACTGCGGCAGCCCTTTTTTCAACGTTGCTGCCCGATACTCGAACCGATCGCGTGTATGGAATTCAAGCTCCATCGCTCCAGAGAATCGTTGGTCGAGCCCTCTGCCTTGGAATCTCCCGGTTTGCCCATCTGCGTCGCTATGAGAACCCCGGGAGTGGCGAGGACTTGGCCGATTGCGTAGCAGGTATTCTCACGGAGACTGTAAGGCTCTCCAGCCGCCCATATCCATCACTCGTTCTAATGAATTGTAGCCCAACGCCGTCAGTAAACTAGACCAGGTCATGGTGGAGGAGATTGATGCTTTGCTCAACACGCTTGCTGCGAACTGCAGGTTCAGCTCTCATACTGTCCGCCAATCCTACTGGAACACAGGTTGTGAGAACAAAGAGACACTCGGCGAGCTTTACCGCCAAGTGGATGCTCGAGAGGCCAAGTGGTTGACTCGTATCATTCTGAAGCAAACCCACCTCACCGCCCTCGACCCCAACATTGTCTTTGGATCCTATGATGCCCGTCTTCCCTTCATCGCCAGGGTGCAAGAAAGCTTTGAAGTTGCTCTCACATCCTTGCGAGAACTGAGGGCATCAAACCCGCTCGGTATCGGTACACAGAACTTGGTTCACGTCATCAAACCAATTCTCGGGACCAAGGTCGGTCGACAAACCTGGTTGAAGGGCAGGAGCATCAAACACTGCATCGGCGTCCATCCCAAGCGAATCAGCTGTGAGAAGAAGATGGACGGCGAGTACTGCCAAGTGCACGTCGATCTGAGCAAGGGATCCCGAAGCGTTCAGATCTTTTCCAAAAGCGGCAAGGATAGCACACAAGACCGAGTAGGCATTCACAAGTGAGTTTTCAGCCTCTGCTAGCTCTCAGGTGTTGACTGGTGCGAAGGGCTATTCGTGACTCTTTGGGTATAGGCGGTAGCAAGCCGAAGATTTCTCAAGGATGTGTGTTGGAGGGAGAATTGTTGGTCTACAATGAAAGAGTAAACAAAATGGCTGGCAAAACTCACAAAACTCACATCTACTAACGGCAAACAGGAGGGTCGGATACTCCCTTTTCACAAAATACGCAAATATGTCTTGAGGTCAGGCGTTCCTTTAGGCACTCAAAAAGACTCTCCGTAAGTTGTTGTTCCAGCAACATACATTCTAGTTGCTGACCGACTAGGTCGGACCCGCACGAGCATCTGATGATAGTCTACTTTGATGTGTTGCTCATCGATAACGAGTCTCTACTGGGAACCCGTCAAACAGACAGATTCAACCGACTCAGAGACCTAATTATGTGTCGCACCGGACATGCTGAGTTGGTCCATAGACAGGTGATTGATCTAAGCCTACGTCAAGGTGCTTCAGATCTCCGACGAGCCTTCGCAGAATCCATTACTCATCGGGAGGAGGGCCTGGTACTGAAGCCAGATGATCCATACTTTGACTTCAGCAAGGATAAGCGGTCGTTTGCCGGTTGTCCGATCAAGTTGAAGAAGGAGTATATCGGAAATTTTGGCGACGTGGGAGACTTTGCCGTGATCGGGGCTCGATACGACCCTGTGAAGGCAAAAGAGTATAATATTCCAGGCCTGAAGTGGACACACTTTTACTACGGTTGTCTCATCAACAAGGGGGACGTTCAACGGCACCAAACCAAACCTAAATTCATGGTGATTGATACCGTTGAGGTAAATACCACAATGATGAAGACTATTCTCATCCATGGTAACACGCTCGAGATTCCCTTCCTCGAGAATGTCTGCTTGGAATTGCAGATCCCTCCTCGAATAACTAGCGATAAACGCCCAACGGTCGTTTTCCGAGAGCCCCTTGTCTTTGACATACGATGCTTCTCTTTTGACAAACCTGGGAACACGGGGTTCTGGATACCCCGTTTCCCACAAGTTTCGAAAGTGCACTTCGACCGAACGTTCATGGAAACAATGACTTTCATTGAGCTGCAGGCTGCTGCAGAGGAGGCCAGGAATATACCCATCATGGAGGATAGTCAGGAGCTGCTCCATTGGATTAGCCTACTGGAGGACGCCGATCCTCGAGGTGCTGCAGTCGACGCCTTGACTCAGTCGACGGTATCATCTTTGTTAACACCTTCCCCCAGACGACGGTCTAGAACATCTCAACTCTCGAGCATTGCGTCTCCTGACGATACCCCTACAAAGCTATGCCGTGCCCCAGAGATTGCGCTCTTCACAATTCCGGCTTCATCAGAACTGGCGGAACCCCACCATCCCAACACGCAGCCATGCTCCACTCAAGGGTCAAGTCTACGGCATCAAATCCAGGAAGACGAGGGCCTCAAGAGAGGCAGCATTGAGGATTGTGTGAATCGAGCAGAAAACAAGCGACCGAGGTGCAACACATTGTCAGCCCCTGCAATTTCTGGACACTTGCATTGGTCAAGGACTCGTGCGGAATCATCTCAACGCAATTCGTTAACACGACAACCACTCTCAAACGTTTGCAACAACGTGTCGCCAGTTAGTCTCACACCATCTCAGTCATTTTCCCTCGACAGCACGACCAAACAGAAGCAATCTGCTAGGAGCAGCTACACCGCACCATCGTCATTCCCCGTCATGACTAGCAGGGAGATTGCTTCATCTCGGACCCTTGTGTCTTCAACTCCATCGATGAGGGCGGCGGCGCTCTACAACCCTTCCGCCACAGATGGTTCATGTCAGATCGCAGGCCACCGTTGCAAGATGAGGAATCGTGAAATTCTCTTGGCTCCCTGTATTGCAAACCAACTCCTTGTCACCGAGAGTATACTACCGGCGCACGGTATCAAGTCATGGGTGACCGATCCTGAAGACTGGCGCCAGAGCGAGTTGAGACACGCACGAGACGGTGCAGTGCGTGGGTTGATATCACCGCCTCGCCGGCGCAGGAAGATTTGCTTTGTCGAGCGAAGGCGTGTGGAAGCCACTCGCCACATTGTGAAGCAGATTCAAGCACTGAACTTACGACTGCCTGATGGCGAACGCGAGTCGGTCGAGATGTACGACTGGCGGGTGCTGGAAGACATTGACCAACATGAGAAGTCATCCAGGGGTTCATCGCCGGCACCAGCAAAGTCTAACCCATGGAAGAAATGGTGGGTGGGGTTGGTATAGACGTCCCTCGGTAATTGATTCTGCGAAACGCTCATGGGTTGCTGGAGGCAGAACGTGGGCATTTTAGACGTAAAACATGATGTTTGAGCAAAGACTCCGGATACTGAATATCGACTCTATGCCTTGACATGTTTATGCCTTGGCCTGCTCCTCCTCCTTATACAGGTCCTTGTAGCTTTCCTTCAGTCGCATGTGCAGGTGTTCATCGGCCGTCACCACTTTTCTCTCGGCATATGGGTTTGCGTTCGGAGTTCCAGCTTCGGGCTTGAAATTCTTCACTCGGTCACTGGGCACTGGCTCCAATGCCGTCGCACCTACAGGGTGGCAGAAGAAGGCAATGGAATACCTCGGCCCCGTGTCGGACTCGCCTTCCACGGGCGCAGCGTCACCAGAAAAGACGACGCGATGGACGGTGCTCCGGAACAATCCGTTTGTCCAGTAGCTCAGCAGATCGCCAATGTTGACGAGGATGGGTGGGAGGGCGTCGTCCTCGGTACCGGGGGGCCGAACGGGGACGGGAGCCCAGGCGTTCTCGCGCGTGAGGATCTCGAGGCCGGCCTGACCCTCGAGACGGAAGAGCAGGGTGATGGAACCGTAGTCCGAGTGGGCGCCCGCGCGAACTGCGTCGGGGGCGGCGTTGGAGGCGGAAGTGGCTGGGTAGTACAGGAGGCGAAGGATGGTGCCGGAGGGACCACGGGAGGGAAGGTGGGCGCTGGAGAAGAAGTCGGGGGGCGAGACATCGAGACCAAGGCCGAGAAGGTAGAGAAGGCGGAGGCAGAGCGAGTGGCACTGTTCGCGGAAGCCATTGACTTGGGGCTCGTCTGGCTGAATGGTGGCGGGCAGGGGCTGCTGGGCTTTGCCATCGGCAAACTCTCCGAAGTTGAAAGCTCTGGCGAGGGTTCCTTTTAGGGGGCCTTGTGTCCACATGACTTGTTTTGTGTTCATGACTTACTCCTTGTAGTCTCCGACCTGGAACATGTTAATATGAAAAGTCTTGACTGGTAGAAAGCATCTTACCTTTTGCGTCTTGGGGTCAAGAGTTTCCGAATGCATACCCGACCAGCCACGGTTGTTGGTCTGGATAGAACAGGCGGCCTTTTCGTCGATAGGAGCCTTGAAAAGCTTGCGTGACTAGATCGTTGGCTGGTCAGTGAGGGTTTCGTCGTCAAGGGCGAGCGCACCTACAAGATCGAAAGCACCGTCAATATCAGACAAGCCTATAAAATCACCAGTGTTCTTGATATAGATGAAGCCATGCTCGGCAGCTGCATCGACGACTTGGCGGGCCACTCCCGCCTCGTCAACGGCCTTTGAGACGTCAATGATGGGTATGTTTGCGTTTGGGGCCATTTTGATGATCGGTCTGCCGGGGTTTGGGATGCGCAAGATGTATGTATGACTCCCTCATGAAGAAACCAGCCGAGGGGGGAGGTGGGCAGTCAATTGACTAAGGTAGCCTTATCGCGATAAGCCAAGGTGGGATGTCAAGGAGGGGTCCGGTTGTGACGAGAATGTGTCACTTGGGGCACCAACCAGATCTCGACATGACCGGGTCCTGGATGGGACCTTGATATACGATCGAGTGAACCTAGCGAGATGCTTGAATAGCTATGCGAATTCGTCAAGACGTATGCAGCTGTGGGTATGGGTAGTCTCCAATCAAGATCAGACAGTGCTCATGATGTCGCTGTTAGGTTTCTCGTCGCAAGCTGTTTTTTTTTGTGATAGACAGCACACGACTCGTTGGCTCCCCGGCCCGTCCCTGCAATGCAGTGCTTGGTGTGGATCAAGCTTCTGCACATCGGCCTCCATGCCTGTTGATGTGCAACATAACGTGCCCGGGTTGAGTGCCTGGGCCTGCACCTTACAGTACATGATGACCAGCACGGTATTCCTTGTTCCCTCTGTTCAGCCCCTGTTCAGCCCATCCTCGGTGACGAACGGGAGTCAAGTTGAACCCCCCATCCGTGCTACCGCATTGAACCCGTGAACACCCCCAAAGTGACCTCTATTCAAGATGACTGGGGCAGGAAACAAAATCGCACGGGCCACATGAGCTGTGTCGTCGGTACTTTGGCCGTCGCCGCCTCTGGCCAGATCTCAGCCGCGGGCAATCCCCCCCAACCCAATGACACACCAGGCACCGCCACAGGCCACGGCTGGCGCGGACCCCCCAGTCTAAAACACCCGCCGGGCACTTCCTTCCCCTAACAGTCAATCGGTTAGCGCCCCGAAATTCAAGGGTTTCCCTCCCCCGTCAAGCGCCCTACCTCCGGTACTCGCACGGTGACACGCACCTGTGTTCCAGGCATAACAGGCACGACCAGACAGTGGGCAGAGAGAGGTACCTGAGGACCGAAGTACCTGAGTACCAACCTAGCTGGCAGGAAGGAACGAACTGGATTGGACCTCACCGGACAGAAGGTCTGCCCAAGCCCCAAACTTCTTCTCTCCGAATACCTACCTCGCTCCGACCCTCGTCGCCTCGTCGCCGACTCATCCTCCTCTATTTCGAAGGACGACCTTCTTCTTCTGGCGTCATTGGCCCAGCGGTCGGCCGTCTCTGTTCATGACAAGCTCAGACCTTCTTTTGGGTGTCTTCTGAGCTGCCGTTTTCCTTGACCACGGCGCCCTCCTCCCCCCCCCCCCCTTTGTTGATCTCCAACGAGGTCTCGCGACACAGCTGAGCTCTGCTCTACGAAGAGTCATCTCTTCCAATCGAGCTTGGGGAGCTCCGCCAAGCTTGCGCAATCCGAATCAAGATGCCTTGTGAGTGCCTGTGCCCTTGCGATCCTCTTCCAGCTCTGCCACCCCGTCTTTCGATGCGCCCCTCCCACGACCACCGATTACGTCCCTCCTCTCGACAAGCTGCCTCGTCACATGCTTGCAAAGCTCGATGCGTCCCACAAACTGTCCTAGATCTCCGCTCGATGTCCTCCTCACTACCCACCCGGGGGCAATAGTATGTAGGCAGAGAGGTCGATGCCATGCGCACATGGCATCATTGTTGGCTTTGGACTCTCGAGCCTCACATCCACCGAAGCGGTTGTTGAGGGTCAGCGCTGGCATGCAACGTCACACCAATACCGAGCCATTTTAATGAGGGTCATCGCAAGCTTCCGCCAGCGGGCCGCATGGATGTTTTTCTGTTGAAAACGATCACTGCCCTCTCAACAACAATGGGACAACTGGGGCTGACGGCTAGATTTTTTAGCTCTCGTGGAAGACGCCTGGATCAACGGCCAGGCAACGTGAGTCCAGCCCTCTCGAGGCTCTTGATCTGTGACTAAATTGTCGTGTGCAGGACCGCCAACGTATCTGACCTCGAAGACTGTGCCATCGCCGTCGACGCGACCTACTACTTGCAGCTCTGCCTCGATACCCCTCCATCCCGCGAACCTCTCTTGTCCGCGCTAGGCGGGCTTACTGGGCTCGACTACCACATTCGCCAAGATCTAGAACAATGGAACGCCCACAAGATCACTCCGTTCTTCATATTCGATGGGCAAACTCTCCATGGTCAGGATGAAGTAGCTGCCCTGCGTGGCAAAGCGGCCAACAAGAAGACGGACGAAGCCTGGAACCTCTACGCGAAGGGTGAGGCGGAGCAAGCTGTGACTGCATTCGGGGCCAATAGCGGTATGAAATATCAGTCTTCTGAGAGGTAGCGACGGTGCTGACCCAGGTCCTCTAGGTGCATTCCGAGTTCAAACTCTGTACCCTATGCTCCAGTCCATTCTCCAGGAGAATAAGCTGCACTTCCTAGTTGCACCGTACAATGCATCAGCTCAGGTATGCTTAGAGGCTGCTACTGCTGCTGCTGCTTGTTTCCCCTCTTCTGACTTGTGTGCCAGATTGCGTACCTGGACATGATCGACTCTGACCAATGCGCCGGCGTCATGGGCTCGCAAGAGCTGCTTCTGTACCCGATCAACGACGGCGTCATTCGCTCTTTCGACTGGGAGAACAAGAAGGTCAAGGCTATCTTCAAAAAGAGTCTGATTCGCTCCCTCAATGTCAGCGACACTACGTTCACCGACGCCCTTCTCATGACCGGCACCTCATTTCTCTCCACCTATCCCCCGCTTCAGGACACGTCGTACGTAAGGCGCCAGCCTCACACAATTAACGATGCTGTGAACATGCTCCGTACGGCCGACAAATCTGTAGCGCAGTCTGCTTCTGCCTTCAGTGACGTCCTGCAGCAGCAAGACCCTACCTGGCTGGACAGGTACAGGCGCGCAAAGATGGCTGTTCTTCATTTCGTCTACATTGCAGAGTCGGGCGAAGTGAAGGTCAACGACTACGAGCATCTCACCAATGACAACTTGCAATATATGGGATTGCAGCTTCCGGCAGAGCTCTATCACTATCTCAACGTGGGCTTGATCGGCGGCCGTGTCTTGAGCGGCATCACTCACCTCCAAATCTTCATTACACCAACTCTCGACGGCACCGTGTCAGAAGAATACAAGAAGCTGGTTACCAACCAACTTGTTCCCATCCGGGAGCAGACGCTTGCGCTGTTGATGCCACGTCTGAACCGCTGGATCTCACGCCAAGACGTCTCGTTGAAGGTCTGGTACGACGACAAGCTCTCACAAAAGCTCAACCACGCCGGCGTCCAACCTAACCCGATAGGACGTGCCGCGACTTGGGACATTAAAGAAAGTAGTTTCAAGAAGAGTGAGGTTACGGACGCGAAGCCAGGATCCATTTCATTTGAAGTGCTTTCACTGCTCTTCCCTGACTTTGCCAAGGAGACCTTCCCCAAAGAGAAACGCATTAAAGGCATCAACTCGGCTGATGAGATCACCTCGCTCGCTATTTGGCGCTTTCTGCAGCTTAGGGGCTATGTCGATAACGCCCATGGCTTAACAGGTTGGGGAAACGCACTGGCCGTGGCGATTATGAGTCTCAAGACCTGGACGAGTCAAAGCCGACCTGGTGGCTTGGAGGGCTACGAGGCTGTTCTGATGGCCTTTGAGTTGATCCGGCTTGGCGTTTTGCATGCGCACACTGGCTACGGAGAAGCCAATGGAAACTCGCAGAATGGCGCCGATGCGGAAGAGGGCAGCAGCCTACTCATCGGTCGCTGCGCTTCTCTACTGAAGCTGCGACACGAAGCCAATGGATACACAGGACCACTCAGCAAGCCCCTGCTGTACTTCCGTTCACTATCCACGACTGTTCGAGAAGCAGACCGAGACCTCATCGAAGCTATCGTTGCCTCAATGTTCCTGCACGCTCAGTCCAAGAGGGACAGAGATGATTACCTATCATTGAAGCAGAGGTAAGTGAAACATGCGATTGAATGTTTGAACCGTACTCATATTTTCTAGACTTCCCTTCCTTCACAGCCCTGATGTCGCGTTGGGCATTGCTGTCAAGACCTTCTTGACCGAGGTCTCTACTTCTGACACTCCAGAGGTGCGGCAAGCGAGGCTGAGCGCCTTCCCGGCCAACTTTGTGCCGAATGCGATCAACTTCGCAGAGGACCTTGAAATGAGCCTAGCGTTCTTTGACGCCATTGGCGCCGGTGTGGAAACGCTGAGCACAGAGCTTTCAGCCGACGATAAGGCGTCTTGGAGGGCAGCCCGAGACTATCGGGACGCGAGACGGGCCTAAGCATGGTTGAGTGCAGTGCTGGAGCATAGAAGGCACCTCAGTACACGGCAGGCATAGCTTTGGTGACGCTTCAGATGGGAGTTTCTCCGCCAAACGTTGCTCGGAGCTTCCGAGGCGCGGCCATATTCATGGTCGATACGCGCCGAGCTCAAGCCGATGGCGCGGACTGGCGAGGCACTGAGGGCGGAAGAACTGGTACCAAATGCCTGTACTTCATCTATGGGTGGGACGAGGGCCTCGTCAGTGTGACTAGATGTTGAAGTGGCCGGGCCTGCGCCGGGCCTAGAAGGGCGGGTGGCTGAGAGGCACCCCGAGCTGGGTGCCAGCTCTCCCCTCCCATCTGGTTTCGAGTATCATACAGTAGGCTCAGGATCCTGGGCCCGGCAGGCAACTGGCAAACAATATGAACAAAACTACTCGATATTCCAAGCAGCACTTCCAACGATGTATACCATGTGCTTCGATGGACCCGAAGGGTCTGTGAATGTCCACTAATCACAATGTAACATACATGGACTTCCTACGAGGGTGCCGACGAGGCTTGGCGTGGATGACAACTACACGTACGCAGCACCAGATTTCACTCGGCGCATGACGACAGGGTGGGCAGGGCAATTTCCTTTCCTACACATAGCATCATAGGTCGTCGAGGATCCGCCCGGCCTTGGTTCGTGCCCTGCTGAGGTCGTTTGAGACCGATCTCTTCCTCGCCGAAGAAACATGTGTCCTTCCTTGTGTCAGCCAGCATTCTCCAAGTTTGCTAGGTAACCGTATTCGCAAAGTTCATGTCATCGAAAGTCCCAGCATACCCCAAACGCCAAAGTAAACTACAGGTGTTTCGTCAAATCGTAGAGCCCCACATCCCTCCTTGGCTTTGATGCAGCGAGGCGGACAGCAAACTGAATGGCTAAGCAAACTGTTCGCGAAGCACAGCGCGGACTGTGATTTAGATGAGCAAGCGGCGCTTGATTGGTTGGGGGACGGTTTGCCCGTTGATCGTTTTTTGCTGGTTCTTGGATGTCTTCTCGCCCATGGCGCGGATTTTCTCTAAGAGGCGACTAAGGCAGATATTTGTTAGAACTATCGAATCATGACATGTGAAATAAAATTGTGATTTGGAACGTGAAAAGGGGTACCAGCTGAGCATCGTCATCGTTTGCGCCAGACCAGGGTGGCGGGTACGAAGCGATCAACTGGGCCGTTACGATGTAACACGTGGTATATGGGGTCGAAGGGGGCGTCATACTCAACAGGTAGGTGGCCTTTTCCGCCTTCCAATTTAGCAAGGTTCATGATGCTGAGCATGTGCTCGTCTTGCTCCTCGTAGTGTGCGTCCTTGATGTGCTGCTGTATCCTCTCGCGGCCGTCACTGTCGCCTGGGTTGCGCTCCACAAAGTCGCAATCGTCTTCCTGATCGCAGACCCAGGTGCCATGGGGACCCTTGGGTGTGGTATCCAGGAGAGCTTCGGTGCGGATGACCACCTTCACAGGGGGCGGGCCATCGGCTGCGAGATCTTCCTCTTCGTCTTCCTCGGTATCCGACTCAGTATTGTCCTCTTCGTCATCAACAATGTGAGCTGTCTTGGCCACCTTTGCGGCTCGGGAGTCCTCCGAATCATAATCAGAGAGCGCATGTTTGAAAGAAGGTCGAAGCCCAGACATTTTGCCAGACGGCCGACCTACTTTACGCGGGGGCGTCTCCATGTTGTGACCCATGCTGGGAGATTTCCCAATGGGTTTTCGGTGCTGCTCAGTCGCCGTGCCTGCGGCCGGATTCTTAGCTCGCGGTGTAGTGTACTCATTGATCAAAGCGGGCTCAAACAGGGTCGGAGTGATGCGTGGCCGCTCGGCTGCTTCCTTTACGACCCGGTACAGAGCAGAGGGTCCCCAGACTTGCTCGTCAAGCAAGGGCAACAACTCGCTCGCGTAGTACGAGAAAATTTCAGCTGGTGCCTCATAAGTCTTCATCTTGTATTTGTAGTAGACTTGCGATTTCATGCTCGCCAAGGTCATTTTTTGTGGTGGGATATTGTGATAGCTTCGTACGAACTCAAAAGCGTCAGCGAGTCGCTGCCCAGGGGAGCGCGTATCGTCCTCGGCAATGCCACCCGCTTCGACAGGATCGTCGAGGGGTTTCTCCTGGGTCTTAGGTTGAGGGTCGATATCCATGACGTCCGCAACGGGAGTGGCTGAAGCTTGTTCTGTTGACTTTGACCGGCGGGAGGTACGTTGCGGGGCGAAATCCTGCGTGTCGACTTCTTCATCGGCAGCACTTGTCGACCGCGTCGCCCTTCGCTGCGATGTCCTCGAAAGCGCCTTCTGACTTGGCGGATCGGCAGCGCTGGTCTGCTGTGTCGTTACAACACCTTCCGTTGCTGGTAGGATTATGCCCATTTTCTTCTTCTTCTCAATCTCCTCGACCTTGGCAGTCAGCTCCTTATGCCTCTGCGTCAGCCATACAAAGAAGGTGGTGTGGGTCCAGTCAAAGTCCTCCTCTTCATAGCAATGGGAGATGAGAAACGAGGCATGCTCGTCACAGGCGTCAATGACCTCGTGATACAGGGCGCCGTCGCCAGCAATAACGGCGTACTTGTTTTCGTCGCATGTTAGCGGTTGATGCGAGAGAACGTGAAAGGCGCGCTTACCTGGAAGAACATAGTGTCGACATCCAAGCTCTTGAACACCTCTTCGTTGCTCGGCCGTTTCCCTTTTCTCTTGCCCTTCTTGAGCTTGACGGCTTCTCTGTGCGCATCATGGACCTCGAGCATGTTGTAATAGAGCGACACAGCCTGCGCCATCTTGTTGTAGATTGGAGTGTAGTCGATGGAAGGAGGCCTGATCTCGAACCAGCCGCACTTGCCGCCCGCCCAGACGCATGGGCTCTTTTCCTCGCCCTCGGCAATGCCGACGGAATATCGTACGCAGTCTGCAATCTCGATGTATGCCGACTTTGTGGTGCGTTTTCGAACTGTCAAGCGGCATGTCAGACATCTCTGCAAGTTCTTATTAGTGGGGGGTGAAGCAGTCATACACATGTTCTGCTGGCCCTCGTCAGCCTTGATGAAGCCGCGGACGACTACAGGCCCATCAAAGTAGACAGACAGGAGATTGGCCATTTGGCCATCCTTGCCGTAGACTGTGACATCCTCCAGAACGTAGGTTTCTTCTTCGCTGTTCTCGTCGAGGACCGCAAGCTTCAGCACGCTCGTCTCTTTGGCGTAGGTGATGGTGTCTTCGTCCACCGTTGCGACGGTGGAGTTGGACGATCGGCGCTTCCTCCCCATGTTGCTGCTGTGCGGGTCGTCGGTTGATGTGATTTAGGACATTGATATAGGTGATGATCCAGGCAGGGCAGTACTGTGTAGAGGCAAGGTGGATGTTCTGGGAAAAGGGTAGTTGGCAGCGATACGATTTGGTATGGAACGTAGAATCCTTGTGGACTACCCGGCCTGGGGAAGCAGGTCACCCACCATCCATGAAGTGGACGCTAGAGGGGTCGAGGTAGGGATCACGGCACACGCGCCCCGACGCGATCCTCTTTAATGGTGGGTCTGGCTTCGAGAGCCCGTGCGTAGGCATTTGGAGCGCAAAAGCTTGATAAGATAGCGAAACGGCCCCTCCAGAAAAAAATCCAATGCGCTGCTGCATCTGGGTAGGAACGAAGTGCAGGTAGGAAGGTCCCATTGCTGCGACTTCTCCCCAGCCTTTCGCTTCCAAATCCTCCCCCCCCCGCTCTCTTCCCATTTCCAATCGTTGTGATCAATTCAATCACGTAGTTGGTGTTTTTTCTCGCACCAATCGCCTGTCTGCTTTCTTGAACGAAATAGTGAGCGTATGCGAGTGACGGCACGTCTGTGGAAGATGGCGAAAGACACCGTTCTCGAAGGCGTCTTCGGTACGTTACGCCACGTCCTCTCCCCCGTCGCCTCTGCGAGGAAAATGCACCCCAAGACCTTTCCGTTGACCTGTGCCACGATGCAGCCATCAACAAACCTCTGGGCATGAGCTCTGCCCAGGTGATCCGTGACTGCCAGCAGCACTTCAACCCCTCGACCCTTTTCGCACCCCTCGTGCAGCAGGAGATCAGCAAGCGTCTCAATGAGTCGGGCTCGCAGTTCAAGCGCCGCGGTATCAACAAGAAGGGCGCGCGCGTCAAGATGGGCCACGGAGGAACCCTCGATCCCCTCGCGACGGGCGTCCTCATCCTGGGTGTCGGCTCGGGAACAAAGTCCCTGCAGGGTTTTCTCGACTGCACCAAGACGTACGAGACTGTCGTCGTATTTGGCGCCGGCACAGACAGCTACGACCGCACTGGCAGGATACTGACCCGGAGGCCCTATGACCACATTACGAGGGAGATGGTCGAGAAGGAGATGGACAGCTTCCGCGGCAAGTTCGAGCAGATTCCGCCCCTGTACTCGGCCCTGAAGATGGAGGGCAAGCCCCTCTACGAGTACGCCCGCGAGGGCAAGCCCATCCCCCGCGAGATCATCGGGCGCGACGTCGAGGTCAAGGAGCTCGAGCTTCTCGAGTGGTTCGAGCCCGGCACCCACCAGCACCACTGGCCGACCGAGGAGGCCGAGGCCGCCGAGAAGAACCTCGCCGAGCAGGTCTGGCGCGTGGAGAAGCAACAGGGCAACGCGCGCAAGCTAACGCCCGAGGAGGAGGCCGCAGACGAGGCCGCCGTCAACAAGCACGAGGACCAGAAGAAGAAGTTTGAGGAGAGACAGGACGAGCTCGTAAGGGACAAGCCACCACACAAGCGGCGCAAGTCGTCGTCGTCGTCTTCTGCTAAGCACCAAGCGCTAATGTCCGGCGCGTTGGGCCAGCTCCCCGCGGCGCCCCAACACCACACAGGAAAGGGCGCCAACCTCGTCCCGCCGCCGACGACGACCGCCCCCTGGTCCGACAAGGGACCCCCCGCCGCGCGCATCCGCATGACCGTCACCTCGGGCTTCTACGTTCGCAGCTTCTGCCACGACCTCGGCACCAAGGTCGGCTCCGCCGCCATGATGGCCGAGCTGAGCCGCGACAGGCAGGGCGACTTTGCGCTCAAGCAGAACTGCCTCGAGTACGACGACCTGGCCAAGGGCGAGGCCGTCTGGGCGCCGCAGGTCAGGGAGCTGCTCGCCGACTGGAAGGAGAAGCACCCCGACCCCCCTCAGAAGCAGGACGCGTTCCGCAATGACCGCAACCAGATCAAGCCGCGCGTGCAGCAGCACAGCGGCGAGTCCTCGAAGAAGAGGCAGCAAGAGGAGCAGCCCGAGGGGGCCAAACCGGAGAAGCGCAGGAAGAACTCCAGCTCCGGGGATGAGGCGCCGGTGGTCAAAGCCGCGCCGGCGAGCCCCAAGGCGGCAGAGGCCCAGGCCGAATCGCCACAAAAGGTGAACGAGACTGTCCAGGACGACGAGTCGGAGTGGGATGGCATCAAGGACTAACACGTGTAAATTCGCAGCATGACTCTTCGTTGGACAGGCCGAGGCCAACTACCGAAATCGGTCAGTAGGGGGTTCTTCCCGATTGAGGCATCCAGACGGGATGTCTCGGTGATATTTTCAGGAGCGTTTAGATGAGATCACATGGCTGAGGTCCAGGATTGCTTTCCATGGGCCTACCGGCCTCAATGATACCAATTACAGAACAGATTGTCTGCCTGGCAGACTCGTTTCATCTGATTAAACACCATGTCACATGACGCAAACAGTGCACTTTTTTTTAGCGAGGGTGCGGATATCGTCATGAAAACTCCATCTGCCATTCAAGGGGCTATTGTCCTCTCAAAGATGGCATAAGACTGCATTACAACATTATATCAGATCTCTACAGGTTTACATATCTTACACATTATGCGTGTCCTGCGTGCCAGACCAGGACGAAGCCTAGAACTTGCCCTTCAGGAGATTGCCAATCATCTCCCTGGCCGTGATGCGCGTGGTGTGGTACAGCGTGGGGAAGTCAACGGTGCTCGTGAAGCCGTCGGCGTATCCGAACAGCAGCATGGGAGGGATCCAGCCGCGGGCATACTCGAGGGCGAAACAGCCCTCGGGCATGCTGTACTGCTTGACGGTGCCGCGGATGAGGTGGTGAACGGTGCCAGGGGTGTAGACCTCAGGGGTGTAGACGCCAGGTCCGGGGGCGTAGGCGAGCTGGGTGCCAGTGAGGATGTGGAAGTAGTCGTTGGAAGTGTGGCGGCCGGTGTGACCCTCAGTGCCAATGGCGGTACCGAAGATGATGAGGTACTCGGTGATGCCTGGTAATCACGTCAGTTGGAGTCACAGATAGGGTAGAAGGTAGGCTGAGCTTACTGGCGTGGATGATGTACATGGCACCCATGGCACCGCCGGCGTTGTTAAACACCCACTCCTCGTGCAGGTTCACGACGTCGGGGTGCTTCTCGTTCAGCTCGGCGACGATGTAGTTGACAATGTCGGCCGTGTTGTTGCCATGCTCGGCAATGGCGCGGAGTTGAAGGTCGTGGAGGTGGTCGAGGTCGAAGACATAGAAGCTCTCCAGGTTCTTCTCGAGGACGACGTAGATAGGGGTCAAGATACCGAGAAGGGTGGCCAGGAAGAAGAACCAGCCGCCAAGGCTGTTATTGCGCGGCGGAGACATGTTTGCGCGGATGAGGCGGACAAGAATATCACAGGGAGTGAAAGGTGAAGGAGTGTGGGAGCACAATTGGCTTGAGATGGAATCGCGGGCTCGATGGAGAGGTGTCGGCAACCCTTATGAACTTGCAGAGTCGAGCGAGCAGTCGTCCACAACAAGCGTTGTGGGGGTGTTTTTTCGCTGGACCCCTAACAACAGATTCTGCCTGTTGTCACCGCCGGGGACGTCTCTTCCCGATGGCCTGAGAATCGAGACGGAGTGGCTCAAAGTCCCGAAAGCGCCTGTCAGATGAGATCTTTGCAGTGCCCGTGGTGGGTCGCCAGCTGCACCACAGGCCTATTGACGCACTAACGCGATCCGCGGAAAGCGATTGCTGCTTGTCGCGACCGAGACCAAAATTTCCCACTCACTCATTCACCTGCCAGCCTTCCTGACCAGCGACAGCTTGCGACGCCAAATCTCACCACCGCTCATCCCCCTCACAACCGAACACGAATTCGAGAGAACCCACTCACACTTGCAGGGTTTCTGGGACTTCGGATCATCCGGCCATGGCAACGGACGCCATTCCTCAGACTGCCGTTCCCGGCACCGCACTCGGCCCAGCCTCTCGCTACCGCTCCGGCGCCGGTACTCACATTCATGAAGGCATCGTCGTCTCCTCCCTGCTCGGCCGAGTAACGGTCGACACACCTGCCTCAGCCAACGGCCCGGCTAAGCGCCTGACGCGCATTGCCGGCGTTCTCAACTCACCGGCGGACCGAGCAACGATCTCGGTGTCGAGGCATGGTGGCAAGAAGCGCGAGGCACTGCCAGATGTCAGCAACATCGTGCTATGCCGTGTGCTGCGCCTGATGCCTCGGCAGGCGATAGTGTCGATTCAGCAGGTTGGCGACACGGTGCTGCAGACGGAGTGGCAAGGAGTCATTCGGTCGCAAGACGTACGAGCGACAGAGAAGGACAAAATCAAGATCCATGAAGCGTTCAAGCCTGGCGACATTGTGAAGGCGCAGGTGGTGAGTCGAATCCGGGGCCAAGCCGTAAGGTATTGTGAGTATGGTGCTGACTGCAGGGCAGATCTCCTTGGGTGACCAGGCAAATTACTACTTATCGACGGCGAGCAATGAGCTGGGAGTCATCATGGCGACGAGTGAGGCTGGCAACGACATGGTGCCTGTGAGCTGGAAGGAGTACAGGGACCCCGAAACGGGGGTTGGCGAGTTGCGCAAGGTCGCGAAGCCCAATTGAAGACAAAGCTAGGCTCTACGATGCGATCGACGACCGTAGTGTCCGCCGGAAGGACACCCGCGAGCCGATTGATCGACCTGACAGATTTCCCTCGGCCTTGCCGGTCGTGTTGACGAGAGGTATGCCCCCCCAGTCAGGTTAGTGTCTGAAACACGGCAGCATGAGCATGACCGTCGTACCAGTACGACAACTCGCGGCAAGAGGAGCAAAGAGCAGGGGAGCTCCGACAAAGCACGGCCAGGAGTTGGCCTTGTCATCAGTTCAGCAAGTCAGCCGTGCGAGGGCTTCAGAAAATTCGGATAGCACCTTGGCAGATGCAGCTGGCATGGCGGGGGGTTAATTGACTGGACATATTGGCCTGGGCCTGTTTGAGCAGAAGGTCGAGCACGGAGGATGTGCGTGGCAGGTTTGCTGTTCGCTGCAGTTGGAGCACGCCCAAGCAACCAAGACACAATAATGAGGAGGACAGGTAGCTCTCACGGTCGTGGGTCGTCACTGGGAATGCGCTGAGCCCAGAGCGCCTGCCTGACTTAGTCTCCCTCAATATAAGGTCCTTTCGAGCTTGACAGGTGCCCCTTGCCCTCTGGTGCATTCAACGATGTGGCTTGTCGTTGGAAAAGTGCAGTGACAGCCCCCAGAATGTGGGGCCTCTTATGGACGCACTACGATGATCCATGCTTCCTTCCTAGTCTCGTTCCACCAGGTCCCTTCCTTTCCGTGTCCTTGGAACTCCCCCATTCGTCCAGTCGTCCCTTCCGCCTAATCCTAATTAATCTTCGTACCGCGCAGGGGCGCAGCTGCCCATGTGAGAAATGACCGGGACCTGGAGGGGGCTTCACCTTTTTAGACTCTCCCCCCGCCACCGAACACACCTCAGCCCGACACAAACCCAAAGCCCAGCCCGATACTTAGCCCAGCCATCGTCCTTCCACGCATCGTCAAAGCCAAGTACCTAGTTCAGGAAGAATAAAATGCCAGGCGCCCCCTCCCGCCCCCACGCAACCCCCTCCCCATCATCCGTTGGAGAGATCATCAACTCGGCCAGCTTGATTCTCGGTCGCCGTTTTCCCTCCTCCGTAGGCGCAAGTTCACAGTCACAAAGAGCCTAGACGCCTTTTCAGACCGCCTCCTGGATACCTCGAGCACAACCACCACAGCACGCGCACACCATGAGTGCAACTCTCACCATGACGACGACAGCGACCACGCCGCCACTGCCGGCGACGCTCTCTCTATCGACCGAACCCCCGTCCCCGCCGCTCTCCGCCTCCCATTGCTGCCCAGGCTGCGGCTTGGTCCTCCCACCACCCCTCGAACCCACCACAAAGGAGTTGGCCCGCTCCGCAGACAGAGACAGTGCTTACATCCAAGAAGCAGCTGCTTCTCTCCTTGAAGCCCAAGCCCGCATCGCCGACCTGGAGGCACAGGTCCGTCTACTGAACCAGAAAGCCACCGCTGCCGTTGACCGTTGGGCCGATTACGAGGACGAGCTCGCGAACCTCCGCAAGCAGGTCAACGCCCAGCCTCAGCCCCAACAATCACCGCCACAACAACCCCTCCCATCTCCGAGCAGATCATCATTCCTGCCGACCGCAGGCGTTGCGAATCGCCTGTCAGCGATGCTGTCGCGCAAATCGACGCCTAATCTTCGGCCGAGTTCCATCCCGTCGACGCCGACTTTGACAAGGACCCCGGCGCCGGAGGAGGAGGGTTTTGGGGATGATGGTCCAGCGCACCCGCTGAATGCACATGCCGACCTGCTCTCTGCTTTGCATCATGAGCAGCATCTTCGCCGCGCTGCTGAGTCACGTTTGAGCACCACGGACCAGGAAGTGGAAGAGCTCTCCGTGTCTCTCTTTGAGCAAGCCAACGAAATGGTGGCAACGGAACGGCGAGCGAGGGCTCGTCTCGAGGAGCGGGTTGAGACGCTAGAGAAAAGAGAGGCGGACAAGAAGCGGAGGCTCGATCGGCTCGAGGGCGCCGTAGGCCGCATCGAGCGTGTGAGATCCTTGTTGGGCGAGGAGAGGCTGAAGAAGATGCGAGAGCAGTCACGAGTCGAGAATGACATGGCAGGGAGGACAACCCCGCCGCAGGATGACGAAGAGGCCAAGGTTTTGGTCGAGCGACGCGACACAATAGACTCACGAAGGGATTCATGAATCAACACTCGGTATACAGATTACGACGAAATGAAGCATAAAGCATCAGAGATTAACGGGGCATGGCAGGTAGCCTCGGGTGAGGAATAATGGGATGTCAGGACAACGATGGCAATTCCTTTATCAAGGTATGGACCTTTGGGCATTTGTAAATAGAGGCCGAATGATGAGGCACTGGCTGAGTTTGCTAATTGACTTCACGACCCGTCGACCTGCGTACGGCGATACCTCTGCTCGGACCTGCTGGACCAATGTATGTACCATTACAGTATGCTGATTGGACTTCCAGGCGTTGATGGCGCAGTTGGCTCAGCAGAACAGTACGACGCATCGTGATAGGCGTAGACCTCACACCCACCACGAAGCACAGCCTTTTCGTTGCAGCCTGCGTCCAAAGACATATATATATTCAGTGTTGGTTCCCCCACCCATTCGTTGTACAATCCTTAACCCAGCCTTACTGTCATTCTCAAACACATCGTCCAAGGAGTTAATCCAACGGCAAACCACAAACCCAAGCTCGCCATGTCTTCGTTTCCGTACAAGCGACTCGACCTTTCCACCTACGCCATTCGCCTCCTCAATCTCCGCAAAGGCGGCCATTTCGATCCCATTCGATGCAATCTGGTTCAGGCAATCCTGGACAACGAATATCTGATACCCTACAAGGCTCTGTCGTACACGTGGGGCGATGCTTCCGACCGCGTTGAGATCAAAGTTGACGATAGGACGTTTGGTATCACAAGAAATCTTTATGATGCACTGGATCATCTACGAAGCGAGACGACAGATACACTCCTCTGGGTCGACGCTGTATGCATCGACCAGGATCATCACCAGGAGCGCAATCACCAAGTCGGCCAGATGAAGCTCATCTACGAGAATGCCGACGATGTTATCATTTGGCTAGGACTCGGCAGCCATGAGATCGATACCCTCTTCGAGATGATTCAATGTCTCGACAAAGAAAGCATCGAGATATCTCGGTGGGCAGCGATCGAGACTTGGAATGCCCGGTGGTCATCTCTCTTGCACAGAAGCGGCAGCATTTCGGCTGAGCAATTCCGCATACTGCGCGAGGCACTCCAAGAAGTTCTAGCGAGAAAGTGGTTCGAGAGGGTATGGGTCATCCAGGAAGCCTACAGCGCCAAAAGGGCCACAGTCGTCTGTGGGTACAGTGCGGTCAGGTCGAGGGCGTTCGCTCTCATGCCGGCCGCTATGGGCATCGAGCCCCTGCCACAACAACAGGCCCTGTTGGCGGTTATGCCAGGGCCTCTGCGATGGCATAACAGAGAGCCCGAGTCGCGGAGCCTGAGGACGCTGCTCCAACAATTCGGCGATTGCAAGGCGTCGGATGAGCGTGATAATATTTTTGCATTACTTGGTATCGCCTCGGACGCCTCACAGGATGGCATCCTGCAGCCGCGATATGACCTCCCCATGATGAATATTTTGAGAAGCACGATATCCTACTTAGTCCTCGGGACTGTGCTGGACGAATCATTTCGGTTACCTGACTGGAACTTTCGGTACTTATGCCAGCGACTGCATCATCTCCCGGAAGAGCTATTCAAGTGGTCTTTAAGCCACAGCCACAGACTGGCTTCGATTCTCACAAATTGCAATGAGCATTTCATTCTCACTTGCCGTCAACATTCTATTCTGCGCCTTCTGAATATAAACAAGGTCGCGACCCTCGACACAGCGTTGCCTACTCTTGATGGCTTGGACGTTAATGTGGTGTGTGGCGGCTACCCACTCCTCCATATCGCTGTGATTGTCAGCCATGCAGAGCTGGTCAGGCTGATCTGTAAAGACAAGCGCCTCGACAAAACCGCGCGGGACACAGATCTACTGACGGCCCTGGAGCTGGCGGTAAACAATGATAACGTCACAATAGTCAATATGCTTCTCTCGAAACACATCGCTGGACAGAAGCTCCATCACTGGGACAAGGGGAACTCTCCCCAAGCTCCCCTCGCGATTGCTGCAGCGCAGCAATCGACGGATTGCCTCGAATTACTGCTTCAAGCAGGCGCAGATACCGATTCCGGCCCCGGGGCACGATTGACGCCGCTCGGGATGGCTAAGGTACTGGGGCACTTGAGGTCACTACGGATCCTGCTCGAGTATGGGGCAGATCCTAATAGAGCGGAGCAGCCTGATAACTCCCCCTTCCCCCTCTTACCTACCAAACCCGTGGCTGAGATGCAGCGGTTGCTCAGAAAATGTAGCCGTCGCACTTCATATTGGTTTCGGCCTTACCAGAGATGGTTCTACTTGAGACATGTGAGGATCCGGCGCATGGAAGTAGCCCGCACGGTCACCAGGAAGACTACGTTGGCCATCACCAGGAGTGCAGAAATAAGAAGTCTAAGCCTACAAAGCTTCGAAGCACTCTTTTGGAAAGGCTGCAGGGAGCGGATGGGACGTTTCCAGATATCTCGTAAACGGCGCCGATTTGGATTTAACGATGCCCTTAGAAGGTTCGAACCTACGATTTATAACACACGACCAGCACAACAACATTGGGCTCACCAATCACAACTCAATTCCATATATCCAATCTTTGTGAAGGCAGAATGGCGAGCATGGCAAGCACGGCGAGCAGCGCGAGCAAGGCCAGCAGGACGAGCACGGCCAGCAGGACGAGCACGGCCAGCAGCGCGAGCAAGGCCAGCAGGACGAGCACGGCCAGCAGGACGAGCAGCGCGAGCATGGCTAGCAGCGCGAGCAGCGCGATCATGGCCAGCAGGGCGAGGAGGTCGAGCATGGCCAGCAGGGCAAGCATGGCGAGCATGGCAAGCATGGCAAGCATGGCGAGCAGGACGAGCTTGGCGAGCAGCACGGGCATGGCGAGCAGCACGAGTATGGCGATCATGGCCACCAGAGCGATCATGGCCAGCATGGCCAGCATGGATCCCATGGCAAGGAGGGCGAGCATGGCGAGCATGGCAAGCATGGCAAGCATGGCGAACATGGCGAGCATGGCGAGCAAGGTAAGCAAGGTAAGCTGCCTGGCGTCGTGTCTGGGCGATTTAAACCCACTACCGAAGCCATGGTTAGCGCTGGCTCTTTGTGTAAGATATGTATTAGACCAAGAGATATATAACTCAAGGATGATGAAAGCGTATGCGTCCATCAACACTTGCTTGATTACAAGGGTGCTCGGCGATTGCTTGTTCCACAGAGTACTATCCGTGTCAAGGCAAATAGACCTGCCCGATTAATCTCAAAGCAGTGGAAGCACGAACGCAATAACAGATCACACAAGTGCAGGTGGCTTGCCCTGGCTGTGGAACATTTCCTGCACCTCCAAGCCGCGAGAGAGCACTCAGTACGCGCGTGTGAGCCCTTCCCGGTTCTTTCATAAGCTCGGTCTCGAAGTCAACCCGGACAGAACCCGCCACTGCATCATGTACCCATGGCCCTACTGGTTTCCAATGGGAGCGGCGGGCAAGACAAAATGAAGACGAGCCAGGAGTTTGATAGCAACTTATCCGTAGACAAGCTTTACCCTCGGCATTTGTATGTCCGGCTCTGGTCGATGCATCACGTCTCTGCATTCGGGGCGGCAGGCCAAGACTCGAGAAGCCCCCTCAATGAACGTCTTCCGTAAGACATCCCCCCTTCTTCCAGGTACCGAGGAGTCGAAACCTGACCCCTCGAATTCGAATCAGTTGTAACCGGACCTTCTGTGCGGCAGAAGAGAGAGGCCTTTGCCGAAGCAAGCCTTCTCCGCTGGGAGCTGCAAGATGCGTGAGTTCACCCCTTACCCAGATAACGATTGTCTTCGCCCGTTGTTATCTTCTCCCATACTACATCGGCTGCCCACACCACAGTCGTATCTGGCGGCGTTGACAGCCTCCCACGCGAGTCCCCCCACGCCCGTTGGCCGTGCAGCGTGGACAGGGTCCGTTGGTAGGTCGGCCATGCGCCGCACAGTCGAGAACTCACCTATATATCTCAGCTTCAGGCGCTGGACCGTTGATCGACGCTCCTCATCCGCTTTCCCTCCTCTTGCGTCCCTCGACTGCGTCATCATTATGCGTGGCATGCTGCGCGTGGAGACAACAATTCACCGAAGTTCCAACAGCAAACACAATGCAGGTCAAAAAGCAGCGAGAGAGATATTGATTGAAAATGTCTCATCTTCCATGGATTGTATTTCGTTGGCAGCTTCCTGCTTGGGCTTGTCAACCCATGGCGAATCCATTCCTAAATTCAAATATCCAGACCCAAACCCCGACTGTGCGGTGTTCGTATTCACCTTTTTTTCGTCTTCCAATACCCAAACGCCGCGCCAGAATCGCATCCGAGTCGTCGAACGGACTATTATGCTTCGCTCATAATATGTGCCCAGCCAAACCCTCTGTAACCGCTATGCAAACGCAGGTCGTCAACCCGACCGCGCTTCAGTGCCTCGATAGATCGTTCAGGTCATGAAAAACCCCCTTCTCCACAGCAGGACAGCATGGCGCCCGCGACGCCACGGCCTGCAACCACGAAAGAAAATAGACGGATATCCGTCGAACGTATTTATGCCCAGGTAAGTTTGTCGTTTCCCTTGTTGGCTGTTGACCCTGGGAGTCAAAGGCCGTCCGTCGATGTCAGCGACATGTTAGGCCAGCCATTGTTCTTCGTCCCTCTTCAGTCCTCTCATTACGAGTCCCTCGTCCTCGTCGTCTTCTTCCTCCTCTTCTTCTCCACGCTCTTCATCGACCCTTTCCTGGGAAATTGTGTGGCCCTGGGCCACTTCTTCGTGCAAATCCTCTTCTTCAAGCATCCACGTAAGACCATTGGCTTGCTCCTCGAGCGGGAAGACCTCCCGTGCGTATTCCTCCAGGCCCCGAGGCCCTTCCCAAAGCGCCATGGATTGCTCCGGGCAGCTATCGTCGAGCTCGGCGTCGCCAAAGTATGGCGGTTGCTTTTTGGGGTCATCGTGGCCAAGACCGAAGAGCTTTCCAAGAGCCTCGAGCTGTTCTCGATACCCAGTAGGAATCTTCACCTTGAGGTGGATAGGCGCCCTGACATACTTGACGGATCGACCAACACCTTTGGCGAAGACCTTGCAGGCCTCACGCGGCGTCAGCATTTCCCAGGCGAGCGCGACGCGCCGGCCACGCCACTTTGACGCGCCGTCCTTGAAGATCTGGATGATGGCGGGCCCGACATCATGCTCAGCATCGATCCATGGCAGCTTCACATCTTCGTGGAACGGAGCTTCCCAGCGGAAGGACCCATCGGTCTGCAGCTCCATGCAGAAGAGAGGGTATTGCAAGGACGTGAAGTTGTTGTTGTAGATACCCGTGTACACAAAGGTCGCAGGAAGTTCAATCTTGCGGATGTACTCCTCGACCTGGTGCTTGGAGGCCCATAAAGGCAATGATGGCCACTCAGCGTTGTAGGCTGAGTGATCCGGCATGGATGAGTAAATGTAGTGCTGGATATTCGCCTTCTTGGCGGCGTCGGCAAGCGCCTTGCCGATCTGGAACTCATCGCCGTAGAAGGTGGTGTTGATGAAGGCTAGCTGCGTGCCCCTGAAAAGGTCGCTGATGAGCTCATGGTTCACTCCTACGCCGGAAATGGGACCATTCTTGGTGACGTCGCGGTTGTCGGGTGTGGGCTTGTGTCGCGTGTAAAGCTCACCAACGAGGACGGTCACGTTGGGATTTGAGTTCACTTCAGTGGCTACCACACCTTCGAGGTTGCGCAACTGGGCGCGGACGTGGTATCCGACGGCGGTGGCGACTCTGATGAAGGAGGCGGCCTGCCGACCGCTGGCATTGATGACGGCAATGGTCTTGTCGGGTGAGGACATGAAGCGCTTAGGGGGGCGGAAAGTGAGGGAGTTGTTGCGGGAAACGAGGGGAGACGACTCCGAATAGGAGGAGCGGGAGTGCTTGTGTGTCTTGTTGAACTCGGCTGCTGGCTGGTCGCGTTGGTGGTTGAGGTGATGCGTGGCGGGGCGGATAGGTATCCCGACCCTGCTGAGTTGAGAAGGCATGAGGGTCACCATGAGAGGCTGTAAGCAGCGCTGACGAACAATGTGCAACGACCAGACGGCGGAAAAAGCAGCAGTGAGAGTTGTGTTGGAGTGGGAAGATGGAGAGGTGAGAGACGGGAAATTCTGTGACGACGACACAAAGGCCGAAAGTCAGATTGTGTGGAAAGTGTCTGCGCAAAAGACGAAAGAGAGAGGGTTGTCCCCGCTGTTCCCCGGATTCGATGGTGTAAGTAAAAGGGTCTGGCGCAGGACGATGTGGAGAACTGTAAGGGAGGGGGGCCACGGCGGTCGGACGACGGCTCTGGCTTGGTTCACCCTCTGTGTTTGAGAGAATCGGGATCTCGACTTTTTGTCCCGGGCCGGGTGCTGGGAGAGCGATAGGTCAATTGGACCTATGAAGGTGCTTTAAGCTATCGCCAGCCGGAACAGCAAAGACAGCGATCCAATGCAGCACGACGCAAGGGGCAAGCGAAGCGGCGCAAGGTGTTCGGTTGCAGCGCAGCAACGAGCGAGGTCGGACAGCAGATTGCTGTTTCTGAGTAGAGTCAACACCAGTTGGTCGGTATGCAGCGCGGCACGGGGTGGATTGTCAAGACGGTAGAGCACCTTGATGGGGTTGCGCAATTGGTGAGCGAGATGATGAGCGACAAGATGTCAAGGTTGACAACGTAGGGGCTTCACGATCCTGGTCAAGACAAGCTTTGATGGAGCAATCGCGTGCGATAGACCAGATGAGACCTCAGAGGGGGGTTAAAGATGGGATAAGGCGAAATCCGGGGTCCCGTCGAGCTAGAAGGAAACTGGTCGTGTGGCTGCGATCACGGTGGTAAAGACGTGGCTAGACGATGACTGGTGCGGACCAGTCTTTCCCAAAAGACGAGCTGAACAAGTCCAGACGATGAGCTGCCCTCGATTCTGGCTGGTGTGGAAAACCGGGGCTGAACGACAACAGGCTGCTCAACTGAATAGGATCAAGCGGAAGGGCAGGCAGCGGAATAGAAGGAGGGGTGGCTCGAATGAGTACGATGCCAAGCCGTCCTGGGATGCTGGCGAGGATGACGGCGTGGAGAGTTTGTGAGTGTTGCGGCCAACCTGCATGCGAATCTGAAGCGAGAATCGATGAGGAATGGTCCAATCGGGGTGAATGCTGGCCAAGCGTGGCTGCCACCTAGTCGGCCGTTCGATGTGGCCCGACTTGGGAGGGGCTGCAGATGGGTTGAGTGGTTGTGACGTTGTGCCGGGTGATAAATGCTGTTGGATGGTTGAACGAGACCAAGACTCAGGAAAGCTTGGGAATTTTCGTTGTTGAGGAGAAGGGCGGGCGACGGCAATGGCAGTCAGTCAGATAGACAGGAGTGAACACGACTGAGACGCGTGGGGCGCAAAGTCACCGGTGATGGCGCAATGATATAGTGGCTGTTGCCTCTTTATCTCCTGTCTTGCTCTCGATATCGAAAAGGGAAGGAGCACGTGGACGTCGTTGGTGGTGAGATACCGTGGATAGATCGGTAGCAAGTAAGGTAAGGGGTAGGAAGGTATGAATAGTAAGTAGGTAGGTATTTTGTGTTTGCTGGCCCCAACAGAGAGGATCGTGGTCTCCTCAACTCGAAACCGCATTCTCCATCTCCCAGCAGTCACGGAAGGGCCCGCCTGGTCTTTATCCCTCTTGTGCCATGTTGGGCTCTTGGGGCCGTGGCCGCCGCCGGGCTCGCTGCTGGACCGAATGGAGAAGACGGGCTTCCGGTTCGCAAAGCCTTTACACATTGTCCAAATCATGAATTGCAGCCCCCCAATCATGCTCGCTGCTTGTTATTAACACATTGGTCCCTAGTCCTTCCAGGCCGGCCCCTGCCACCGTGCCTACCGTGCCCTCCCCGGTCCTGTCTGTTGTCTGGCCCGTTCGGTGCTGCCCGCACTTGTTGCCAAATGATGCAAGCGCAGGCAAGCGCGTGGACGAGTGCTGAGCGATTCGGCAAGGACAA